AATAGTCCCTTATATTGTATAGGGAGGCGTGGTCGCCGTCACGGCGCGTCGGCGCCGCGTCTGACAGATAGATTGTTCTAGATTAAAATTTCACACCCATTTATCTCAACCTCGCTAAATCAAATATTCAAAGACATTGATAGTTAACGTGACATTATATTAAGTATATTTTAATGAATTTAATGTTATCATTAATAACAATATAAATCATCGGCGAAAATATCTTGGATCAGAATTCGATTCGTGAATACGTGCTTCACTGGCACCTTGATCTAAATACTGGCGATATTGTGTATAGAAAGAGAGGGATAGATCGTAATTCGTATACAAAGTTTCTATGTAATGAATGTGGATTTTATTTAAAAAAAAAATTATATATTAATATTGTATGTATTTTGCACTCAAATGCAAATGTATGAAATTAATTTTATTTTACTGCCGTGTTATGAAACTCAGTTGCACAATAATTTAATCTAAATGCCGTAGTAGGGGTTACAGATTTTATACCTTTCACCATTACTATTTTAATGTTAACTCGAACTAATCACGTGTATATTTTACATAACAGTAATTCTAATTAAAATTCCGTATAACTCTTGTGCACCGAAATTAATATTGAGTGTACGCTATTCAACAATGGAAATGTAATAATGTAAGTGTTTAGTAAAAGTAACAGGCTATGAATGAGCGCACAATGAAGTCGGCTGTCGCAGACATGCCTTTTACTTGCCATTGTCTTTAATGTTTCTAAGAGAAGAATTCACATTAAACTAGTATTGATAGACTTAAATGAACTACGTCCTTTAACGATTGAAACAGTTTTGTTTATACAAAATATGAACTATATACTGGACACGAAACGTTTGTGATAATTCCATTGGATTTGTTACATTAAGTGGCGGAAATTCTATTAAATTGGGTAATAGCTGGAAAGAGGTCCGTTACGCAGATATTTCGATACACAGCCTCGTGACAGCGACGTAAGGCCGTGCCTGCAATCACGTCGCCGGTGAGAGGCCAGCCTTCGTTGTTCGGAAGGTCGTCTTATACGGCTAGGAGAACGGCAAAGGAATCCTTTAAAGACACGCCCGGAGAATGTTTGTTTGATGCAATTATGTTTTGAATATGTTATTAATATTTTTATATATTGTATGTATCCAGTTTCATTGTTACTTATTAGTAGAATCGATTGATTGAGGCGATAACAGAACGCACTTTCAAACATCGTGAATGTATATCTTGTATATATCTAATCAGCTGCACACGTTAAACAATTAATAATGGAATAGTTCAATAACCTAATGAGGAGGAGTACAATGTATTGTTTGCTAAGTAATCTGTATAGTTTGACGTATATGTTGTATTTTTGTTAACATGGAGAACGCAACTCAAGCAATTAACCTGTTCGTTGAGCGTGAGCGAACCGTGGTTCAGTAGTCTTCAGAAACTGTAATCGAATATAGAATAAAATAACACCTTCGTGATAATATTTTAACGGATATCAGTTTACATTCAAGACGATATGAATGGAGTATCTAGATAATTCAAACCATCTTGCTTTCAAATACCACTCGCTATATCAATTCAACATTATTAATTCTTCTTTTTTTTTTAACGTTTGTTGGACGGAATTAAACGAATCGCTGTTACCTCACCAGTGCCAACGATTGCGACAAGACGGCCGTATATTCTATTAGAAAGTCGGTGAATATGCAAATAGTATTGTAGAAACCTCACGAATAACTGCCCGCTCACATCGCCTTTAAATGTGTCTGCGATGAAAGTGACGGCTACCGTTACTTATTGTTTGACCATTTTTTTATTTTGCAGTTTCTTGTTTTGAGTTAAATCAACTACGATATGTTGTTCTTTTTATATAATTCACATGCTCGGGAGGTCTTACTTTGTTTCCGTATTAAACTTGTTTGAAAACAATATCGTGTTTCGCGTCGGTTGCTTACGGTTTTTATATATACATATATATTTTTTTATGAATCCTGTTACTTTTAACGATTGTGTGAAAATCCATATAATTTAGACGGTTTATACTTATTACCGCGACGAAAAAAGTGTTTGAAGTAAAGATTATAACTATTAATTGCTATAAAATGAGATAAGGTACTTGATAATATATGTATACGTATATACGATTTAATATTTATTATTCTCAACAGTTTCCATTCGACATATGCAAGGTTACCGGATCGAAACGCAAATATGTTATTTAGTTATCATTATTGTTGCCATCTTATAAGTTTAATATGTATATAGAAAATAAGATAATAAACAAGTCGGTAAGCAATTAACGTTGGGCCGATCACAGACCAGCTGCGTGGATTTCCCGCTACGATGCGTGTTGAGAACTATTTATTATCGTTCACTGCTGACGTGCGACGGTCGCGAGGTAATGTGAATTGTGTACAAAGTCTATGGCATTAAAGTTGATTTTTAATTGTGCGACCTATACCACCTCCACAACGTTACGTCAATAAGATACAACACGTTAACTGGCTCGGCTGGGGCGTATAGCTGACCGTTCTGCGTCCGGGTTTGTCGCATAGAATATGTAACACGTAAAAAATACATATATATATAAAAAATAAAATAATATATAACACGAATTTATAATGCGGACTCTGTTAGCGCTCGTTTCTATTAATATGCACGCAATAAAATAACTACAGCAACAGCTATATAATCCAAGGTATAGATATTAAGTAGTTGTATCTCGAAGCGAACCGAACCGGTTCGGTCGGCCTCTCACTTTATAACTCTGTACCGCTTGCTGTGAAATTAGGTAAGCAACAAAGCCTTGGTCGTTGCGCACTACGGAAAAACTAAGGAAATCATTTGATGCGAAATTATTCAACTAATTTCTCAACTTCAAAACAACGTATATAAACTACGCTGTTGCTGCTACTACTACGTCATTGTTGTGCGTCAATATGAATGTCGTGTTTAATTTATACGTACAAAACATCATCTTAGTACCGCCATGGTAATAAATGAAAGAGGAATTTCCTCCGTATTTTCCGGTCCAACAGCGACTAAGGCGTAGACTTGAACGACCTTCACTAAAAGACAAACAATGTAACTGACAACCTTGACATAATCCTAACTGCAGGCGATGCACTGCACTCATTACCTAAAATATACATCTAGTCGTATTAGTCATAACATGCGTTGGATGTCATCAAAATTGATTATTAGTGGCGGGGCGACAATGGATTATGAAGAAGCAACAGCTGAAATCCTCGGAACGTTACAAATGCGGCGGGCTAGACGGCTGTACACCGAATGCCGAAGTATTCCGCCGCGACGCGCTCTTTATATCGGCCGAGGTTGCTACCGTAGAGAAAGCCGCGCACCGCGCTCCCCCGCTGTGCCTTTGCTCTTGTCTCGTATTGGGTTTTTTCCTCGCCAGAAGTATAATTATATATATACATACATTATACGATATATATCACAGCTAGATTGTGACTTGAAGGACATGAACTTTTTAATTATTAACTACCTATGGTTGGAAATGAGTAGATTTAAATGTTTCCCCTAAATCTATTTTTAGATCTGAACGATTTTACCATAAATAAATCTTCACCTTAACCTCTCGTATTACATTTATCAGGACAAATATAACTGTGATGGCTTTGAAAGATTGATTTTCCTTTATGATATATCGTATGATGATCGTGGACACGCTTTTAATGGGTTAATTGGCTGGCATTGTGGTGCTGGCAGACGTCGCCAGCCCGCGGTCCGCGACCTTAAAGCGACTCGGGGGCACGCATGTAGGTGACGCGCGACACATCGCCCGAAAAGATATTTGATATTTACCGTATCATTATATAAAATGTTTACGATATATGACTAATATACTATCGGGACTATTATGTAGTTTAACTTCTTGCCTGTCTTAAAATATATACTAAATTTAAAATTAATATACAGTCTTTTGTGTAATTAATGTTTCAGTACTATACATAGATGGAACGGAACGATCAAATTTCAATCGCATATTACGTTCTCCTGCAAATTAATGAAACATCGCGTGTGTTTTGTGTTTTGCGTCGAAACGGTACGCTGCGTTTAGCGTTTGCTCATACGACTGTGGAGGCGCGACGTTGCCATTCCAGGCGATGAAAGTAGTTACTATCCCCAGAGTATATTACGAACAGAAACAACACTACTGTATATACATACATACAATGAATGATGATATGTAAAGATGTTTATACGTGTTCCTATTAACAACGCGACTCAACTCACAAATGCTATTGTTGTAGAATGTGAATAATTCAGATAATAATGTGAGTATGGTTGCCAGAAGCGTTCAAATTTTCTCATTCTTAAAAATAACTAATGAGAACGTAATGACACAATGACCAAAAGGTATATTCCGTTTTAGTAGATTTCCAATGGAAATGTATTATTTTCACTTTGCGCGTACAAAGTATGTAAGGGGAATTAGATAACAAGTTTTTCATTCAGATAATAACGACTCATTTCCTTTCATTTGATGTTATCATGTTCAGGGTGATAATTTGGAGAATAGTCATTTCTCTATTTACTGATAGTAAAACAAAATAAATATATTATCGTCTGATTTTAGTAAAATAATTCGATTTATTAATTATTATTAATAAAAATATTGTTTTATCACGTATATTGTTCGTGTCTGTGACGTATGTTTTACAGTTGATAAAAATTCAAGATAATCAAATTAAAAATAATATATTGATGAACTCAACATATTTTAAGTTTATTTTGAGCCAACTAGGTATACATTACTAACGAATATTATTTAGAAACAGGTGTTGTAGACTCAAACCATAATGGATTTTATAACCTAAATTGCTTTATTGCAAGGAAAACTTTGTCTTATTTTACAATAGAGGTGAACATTGCGACCTTTTCATACATATATACACAAAACGGATAGATTAATGATATGTGATGTATTTAAATGGTGTGATATTAATTTGTTGTGTTATTTATTACAGAAAATTTCCATTCCGACGCCAAGTAGTAGCAATGGGACGTCGTCGGAGTCAACGTTTCGTTTTAGCATCAACAGCAATGCGGAAATGGAGGGTCCACAGGTATGCTATAGACATATCTCTCAGTTTTATAACCATTTAAAGCCGTATTGTTTATTATGTTTTTTGTAATCTATGACGAATCGATATACGTAACTCCTTTAGGATAAAATGCTAATTATTATCATTTCTTTTAAATATAGATAAGTCGTTTCCTTGATAATAAATATTTAAGCCAGAACACGTGATTAGCATTATAATATATTCGCGTTGATAACGGCTTTAAAACGCTTTCGGTTGTGAGATTCAACCTGTACTTCTAGAATTTTCTACAGTATATGTATATATTTTTTGTCGAATCATTGACTTTTTGTTATTATTAGTTTTCAATTTAAAAACTTGTTTAAAAATAAATATCATTCAAGCGTTCCTTGAATTGTTAACCGCAAATTTAATATCATTTTGTTGATTATTATTTATTACTCTGAGCAAAGTACCTATTGATCATTAAAACATGTCGTACGTGTGTTCCTAAATGTTGTTTATAAAATATTATATCTATCGAAAGTCAAATAAAAACCTTATCAATGAAAGGTCCATTTCACTGTGATAACAGTATTATCGTACTCTATTAAAAGAACTGAAAATATTATATAATTTAATATTGATCATTATCTTACAAGACGAGTATATTTAATATTTAGTATTAATAAAATTATATAGAATATGAGGACGTTAATGTCTTCTAGTTATGGTTAGTAGGTCGCGGACCGGTGTATTGTATAAGTTCTGAACGACGAATTCGACAGAGCTGACCTAATGTACTTCTTCAATAAAGTGTGCCCTGAATAATATGATCACATATGAATTTAATACGAACCTAATTAACACATTTACATTAGATAGCACATTTATTGATGTAGATAAAATGTACATTCCTATATACAATCATCATACTCGTAAGTTTTAAAGATACGAAACAATAAAATATTGTATTGCAACTATAATTCGTTTATTACAAAAATAAATGATTTCTCATCGAAGTTTTTTTTCAAATTATTTTGTAATTAAATTAAAATTACAAGAACATCGCTCTTAAACGAGATTGGACACGCATGGACCGATAATCGCTAATATCTTGTTTTATGTAGTCATTAGTGAGAAATGTTACAAAATAATTGAATATCGTAATGAAAATGAAAAATATATTTTAAAATTTTAACATTATATCTCTATATGATTTTAAATTTAAAGTTTTATTTATTTAAGCATAATTAATTTTAATAATTTGTTATACTATGTTTCCGTTCATTGTTTTAACGTTATGTTGTATATATTTCAGGGTTCATTCGAGTGCGTTAGGAGCGGTGGCGCCAAACGTCTGGAATCGTGCGGCCCGCTGCCGAGAAGGATGCGAGTACAGGCCAACGACGACTCATACGAGGCGACCAAGGACCGTATGTCGAGGACCATAGCTGCCGAACAGAGCAAATGGTACATACGAATGACCATGATTAACATTACCTTGTAACATATAGGAATATATAATAGATAAGTTATTTAAACATTGTAGCACACGTGTCATTAAACCAAACCAAACGGATATCGGGAGACGCGTCAAGGTACGATCCTGCGGGTTCGCGAATGGACCAGCGGCTCAGCTCGCCGCGCGGTTAGAGAGGGCTGAGCGTCCTGAGCGTATTGAGCGTCCTGAGCGTCCTGAGCGTCCTGAGCGGCCTGAGCGACCTGAACGTCCTGAGCGACAGGATCGTCCCGAACGACAGGAATGGCCCGAAAGACCCGAGCGACAGGAACGTCCTGAAAGGTCTGAAAGGCCCGAGAGGCCTGAGAGGCCCGAACGTCAAGAGAGGCCGGACAGAATAGAGAGGGTTGAGAGACCGGCGCCGGCGCCCCGGCCGCAGCCCCCCGCCCCGGCGGCCGCGCCCCCGCACACACAGCCGCAGCGACCACCCCCCAACCCAGACCTCACCAGGCGGCCTCTGAAGTGAGTAGTACTCTGTAGTATTTGGATGGCTTAAAGACTGGTTATACTACATTAAACACTTACTTCTTCATTCCCACCTATCACCAGGTGGGATTGCAGTCAAGCAGTATAGTATTAAGAATCAGTCATCATACTCCTGATAGATACTACGTTAAGTTGTAGTCATTCCCTTAAGATATTTTATTTTCATAATCGTATTTGTGTTTGTTGTTACTCTACCAGACGAGACCTTATAAATGTTTTCGTGTTTTAATTGCGTGATTCTCGGTATCTCACGTCGGAAATCCCCGAGTTCATTGCAACTGCAATTTCATGCGATGAAGGCTAGGGACTTTCCCATTTTCGTTCTTATATACAAACATGGATATAGTATTACAAAGGAATATGCAATGTACTTTAATTAGGTTTTATATATTTGTTTTCAATACTCAAAGTGTTCTAGCTGTAAAAACAACTGAATCAATAAAATGACGTGTCCACTTGTATCAACAAGTACGAATATTTCGCGATGTTTACTTTAATAAAACTAAATATTATTAATGTTACTGTAAAAATCATACGAAATGAAAAAAAATCCAATTGACAAATAGGTTTTATCGTATGGAAAACAATATAATAATAATATTAAGAGCTTTTTTAACAGGTGTCAATATGAATAATAAATGTTAGTATACATTATCGTTATCGTAAACCAGTCAGATAATGTGCGGTCGTTTGGTACGGGAAATGTGGTTATTGAATGTAGACATATTTAAAATGTACAAACAATTATATGTAATGATTGATGTACAGTAACTATTCACACGAAACGCTTCTCGCTTTCCATTTTGCGGTTTTGCAATACGACGCCAGCTTTATATGACGATTAGTGCTTGAGTGACTCACGCTCCAAGGTCCCAACGCGAATTATTAAGCTGCATAACCGAATAATAATACGTATCTTACATTTATCCATGTATCTATTTTAATAACAAAGGCCCGAGTTCAACGAAAAATATACGATTGTTTTAAAATAAACAACCGATTGTACTGGATGAGATGGAACGGAATGGATAAGATGAAATGCTTGTATTGTGTAATCGTTTGTTAAATTTTAACTGTAGATTACACTTCAGTGGACATGGTCATTTTATTCCTAGTCTCATAAACGGATACGTATTTATTTAACATTATTTTTGCCACATATGGTAGTCTTAATGCTAGATTAATTATTTATGTCTAATTTAAAACATATGTAGAGCTATAAAAAGTAATTTATGGAATAAGAAAAAACATTAATATTGTGAAGTAAATCTATTTTGTATAAATGTCACCATATAGGGAAAATAATCATTAATATAATAAATTGAACGTTTATAAGTTTTTTAGCACAACTCGATATCGAGTTTTGCAGTTTTGTCTTATCTGACTCCAAAATAAAATACGATATTGCATTTAACATTTACTGTATCGGATACATTATTTACTATAAATATATATTCAAAGGCATTCATTTTTTTCCTTTCCAGAGAAAGACTTATACAATTATTAGCACTGAAACCCTTCAAGAAGCCAGAACTATACGCAAGACTCATAAGCGGTAATATAACATGTCATAAAATGTTTAAATACATACAATACTCAACTCGACTTATAATAACGTCACCAACATTACAGAGGGTATCAAAGAAAAGGAGCGTAGTATGGTTAACAAGATACTGCCAGAGATTGGAACGCTCAAGGACAATTGTTACCACTTACGTAGACATATATGGAATGATGTTAACGAGGATTGGCCTTTCTACACCGAAGATGAGAAACATATGCTGAAGAGGTGAATTTTTGTTATTAATATTTCACACATACCTACACACATATACTATTGTGTTTTGATTATCTACGTATCACGTTACAGTAATATGATAGTTTCCACAGGAAGTCAATATGTGATACAATGTATGTAGATGTTTGTAGCGATTCGACTCGGTTTATTATTCGACTCAGTATTATAGATATTAATCTATTTAAATTATATAAATGTTATCACTTTAAGTCACGGAAAGATACGTTTGTGACAGTCGTACAGTTGTATAAATACGGTAAACCAAAACGACTTACATCAAACGACTTTGGTATAGTTTGATTTCTTGAAAAAATCGGTTCCTTAAGATTATAGAACAAAATATATAGTATAAATGATGATAAAAATTACTTTACTAAACACGGATAGATAATAATAGGATAAAACAGACAAATCTGTAAATATGGAGCTATATATTTATTAATCATCACTATCTATCATGTAATAAATTTTTGTACATAAATCCTCAGGCGGAAACCTCAAAATCTAACACCGCCTTTGAGCAGCGATTCGGCCAATTCTCTATCGCCTCGCGCGTCGCCCGGCAAGCGGCCGTCCGTGCCAGGAGACGAGCTGCCGGCCAAGAAGCAGCGCATCTCACACTACAGGCGACCATCACCACCCTCATCTGGGTACGCGACCACCTCCTCCGGCGAGCGACATGCCTCTGACAACGAGGACGACCGCACCGGTAAGATTTGTGGATTTCCAAAGGGCGGCGTCCCCCCATAGATTTATTATAACATATATATTGTAAAAGGTAGTCATCTCATTGCAAGGTTTAATTGTATATATTTATATGTATATTTTATATGTTTAATATTCCCAAAAAAGAGCATAAAATTTATTTATAAGTTTTGAAATTAAATTATTTATTTCAAGGTAGTCAAGAGGTTCATTCGAATCTTTAGTGACAATGTTTGTCTTTATCACTGGTACAGTATAAATATATTAATAAACCTTTAATAAATGTATGTAATATTTCCAGCGAGCGAGGAGGTTCCTGTAAAGAAACAGCGCGTTTCTCAGTCCAGACGGTCTTCACCACCCTCGTCAGGGTACGCGACCACCTCCTCCGGCGAGCGACAGGCCTCTGACAACGAGGACGAACGGACCGGTAATAAAAATAATTATATATATAATACTAGCTCCACCCCGCGGTGTTACCCGCGGATTTCCGGGATGTAAAGTAGCCTATGCCTTATTCCTGGACGTCAGCTTCCTGTATACAAAATTTTATCAAAAACGGTTCAGCCGTTTGAGCGTGGAGAAGTAACAAACATACACACACACACTCACAAACTTTCGCAATTATGATATAAGTGGGATACGAAAAAGTATCATCGTCTATTTGCACTACATTAACAGAGTATATTAATCCTATTAGTAATTCCATAATATGTTCTAATTATTTTTTCTTCATACATATTTTTCTGTCTCAGTGTGTTTTTTTTAATAAATCGAGTTAATATTGTGTTTATTATGTAAACGGAGATGAAAGGAATAGAAAGGCGAAAAAGAAAGTTTATAACGCCCGCCTCTAGTAGGTCATTAATAACACACACTACTTATAACTTGTTATTCACATATATTATGTCCAGAGAATGTTTTATAAATATATTACGATATTTAATTAATAATGATATTATATTTGAAAACGATTTGCAATCGTTAATTATTATTGCCGACAAACAGGTTCACCGACATAGTCTAATTACTGAGTTATATACAAGCTATTACAAGATTTTATTATACAATACATCTTATTGAAATTATTTTTCTTAGTGAATCATTTAAATGCTATAATAAAAAAAAAATATTATATTTATTACATAAATCTGTAATAATATATAAATGACAAGAGAATGCAATTTAAAAAATATTTTTTCAACAAAACATATAATATAATGTATGTCATTGTGTATTAAATTAGATCACAGCTGTCATCTCTGTATATTTTGCAGTGTAAATAGTTTTGTTTACGTACATGATAAGTCTGTTTGTTAATTTGTTATTGACTCGGTTACATATATTATCCTTGTCAAAGCTGTCATTATCTAATACATGCATGCATGCTTGAGGATATTTGTAATTCAATTTGATCCCTTTGTTGCTTATTCAAGTTGTAGTTTTGTTAACAAATACTTTTGTTTCTTTTTATGAAAAACGTAGAGTTAAAATATTAGTTATTTTATTAATAACTAGCTTTTGCCGCGACTCCGTTCGCGTGGAATAGTGACTTACAGCAGATTTTTGGTTCTTCCCACATAGTTCCCGTTCTTGTGGGGTTTTCGGAATGGTCGAGTTCCCGTAGAATTTTCAGGATAAAACCTATGTTTTTTTTATTCACAATGAATTACTCTTAACCAACAACATATTTATTTGTTTATTTGAATAAAGATTAATATTATTATGTTGATACAACTTAAACAAATTATTTCGACCAAATTAGATACCATAAAAACGGTTTTTGTGAGTTAATCTTAAAAGATAGACATATACTGTCACGGAGTGTTTTGTAGATCATTAAAAGAGCTATTATTCTTTCATACATATTTTTTGTGTATCTTGAACCGTTTTCACGGCGCACGCAATGGAAGGCTTCAAAGATGAAATAATTTCTCCCGTTTTTTACACATTTACCACTATATCTTTTTTCCTATTGGTCGTAGCGTGATGTTATATAGCCCACAGCCTTCCTCGATAACTGGAGTATCCAACACAAAAAGAATTATTCAATTCAAACCAGTAGTTTCGGAGATTAGCGCTTTCAAACAAACAAACAAACAAACAAACAAACAAACTCTTCAGCTTTATAATATTAGTATAGAGAAGGAATTTCAATGTTGTAATAACATTTATTTGTTGCTATTTTCCTCTTAAATAATATTTGCAATTTGTTTATTACCTAAAGTTAGTTGATAAGTAATTATTTATTGTTGAAAATTACTTATTCATAGCCATTGTTAATAAATATTAATGTGAACAATGGATGTCTTCATTTATTTAATATTTTTTTGCTTTTGAAATTTGAATTATATTATTATATGTATAAATCTCATATTTGTGTGATAAGTGTGTATTAAATCAAATTTATTATTGTTTACAGTTAAAAAGGACAATGGGTATACTCTCAACTTCACAACCGTTAAAGATCTCTGTCCAAGTCCTGTTAAAACGAATGGTTTCAGTAGAAGTAGTCCTCCTGTAGAGCAAACGAGTATCACAGGTATATAGAAATATTCATAACATAATAATTGATAATATATATATGTGTGTGTGTGTGTGTGTGTGTATTTGTTATAATATTTGTTGTTTACAGTAAAAGACATCACAACGGAACCATTAGAAAATACAGCTTTAACGTCCGTGCCTGAAGAAAATAATACGACTGATTTGGTAGACATTGAAAGGTGAGATTATTCATATAAATATATTAAGGTTATACTATATTCAATACATAATATTATCGAGCTAAGCTTGATATAATTAGTGCGTTTTCCTCATATATTATTTATCAGTTGGTCGGTAATTGTCGTGTAATTTTGCACTACTAATTATATACATTATTGGCAACTGTTGCAATATCATATTAGTGGTACATATTTATAGAATAATTTCATTATTTCGAAATGTTTAGTACATTTACTAAATATACAATATAAATATTCAATTTTCAATTATAATAATATCTCTTGCTCAAATGTATGTATTGATATAAAAAAAAAATCTTCTAGTTTTTACATAGACGAACTATGTTCATATAATTTGATAATTAGAAAGTGTTTTATATGTTTATATAATATTTAATTTGTATGATTCCAGGCAATATCCTCCAATAACAAGTTCCAGTACTCGTCGCGCATACAAGAACGAGTTTGCGAATCTGTACACAGAGTATCAATCGTTGTACGGTCGTGTGGCGCAGGTGGCAGCACTGTTCACACAATTAGAACAACAACTCAAAAGAGCCGAGCCTAAGAGCCCATATCATAGGGTAATAATATTATTAAGATATAAACAACATTTAATTATATGTATACATACAATGAAGGTGAGGAAACCTGGACTTATAGTTTCACAATTATAAGTTTGAAATCACCAATCCGTCTTGAGCAAGCGTGGTGATTAATGCTCAAACCTTCTCCATGTGAGAAAGAGGCCTGTGCTCAGCAGTGGGCTCTGATAGGCCGATGACGATATGTAAGAATTCACAATATGATACAATAAAGAGAAATTTAATGGTTAGGAGAACTGTATATAGATTTTTTAGCGATGGCGTAAAAATTTGAATGTCATAATGCTTTTAACACAAATTTTAAAAAGTTTAACATTTTATTCTGCTATTAATGATAGAGACATACAACAAGTGTTTGAACAAACCCAACTATCATGATAATTAATTAATACTGATTTAGTATGTCGCATTATTGGAATACTTCGATTTTATAATTGAAGCGTATTAAAAGAGACGGATCTGTTAATGAAATTAATTTTTTAAACAAAGATTTATCAAAATAGAAAAAACTAATAACTAACTGCCACAAAGTAACCGAAATGTCGGGAGTTTGTAGTTAAAAATAATTATAAATGTGTAGTAATTTCGAAAAATATTACTTTTATTTCAATAAATATTCGCGAGTCGCGATAGTCTTATCTCATTAGATCTCTTTATAATAATATTTTGTAAATAATTTTTTGTACTATTTAAATTAACTTCCAATGTTATTCAATGTTATTATACATGACAATGTCACCGCACGGAGCACAATGAATGCACTTTATCGGACGGTATGTCACTGAACCTTGGGTTAGTAATAAAATGAAAAAAAAATTAAAAGATTAATGTACTTGTGATATGGATACAAACGGATGTTCGAACTCAAATACTATATAAATTATAACTTACTATATATAGAAATCCATAACTATATTTCAATAATCCAGAAAGAGTGTAGCATTAAGCAATCAAAAAATCATGACCCGTTTGTAGTAAACACGTTATAACAAATTCATTTATAATAAATGAAAGTTAAATTCTATTTTCATTTAATAAACTACACTGAATCTTTAGACGTCGTTAAAAGCAAGGTCAACAGCTCACGTTTAAAGGTTACAATGCCAAGCTCATTTCAAGGTCTCATGAATACATATAATGCATATGTTTTATAAATCTTAATGTACACTAAAAATATATGATTTTTCTGTACAGTTTTATTTGCTAGTTATAGTCTGTTAGAAGACATTGCATTCATGTTTCAACCTTGGTTCATTGTTTTCAACATAATATTTACGCAATTCTTTTATCTGTATTGGCTAATGGTGTCAATTGTAACAAATGTATACTATTTATTTGTTTCGTTTCTTATGTATAGATACAAATTATTTTTATAAATTTATATATTGTCTATAGCCATAAAGTGCCAAAGATTATTCTAATATATATAAATACTTTTTGATATATTAATCTTCTAGCGAATTTATATATTTTATAATCATTTTGTTAGTGTTGATATATATTTATATATTAATGTTATTATATATAATCCACAGAGCATAGAACAACGTATTGTAGAAGAGTATCATCGTATGCGTAACGATGCCGACTATCAGCGTGAGAGGCGGCGCGTTAATTATTTACATCGTAAACTAAACCACATCAAGAGAATGGTGCATCAGTACGACCAGCTGGTGAGTAGAAACACACAAACAGACACACACTCACTCACAGAGATATACACACACAGCATAGACATACACACAGACACATTCAAATACATATGTGTATAGTTATATATTAACATAGGAATGATCAGACAATAACGAATGGATATCTCAAATGTAAAGATGATACACACGTGGTTATATTTAGGAGGTAGTGAAATGAATATAAGCGAAAATAAAGCAAGATGTGTATAGAGATTACAATGAAAAAAATAGTAATACTAAAAACACAAACATGAAACTAACAACTATGCAATATGCAATTTAAGTTAGTGTACAAATAAGTTAGAAAGTGTATTGAGGATAAAGTACGTAATAATATGACTCAAACCTTGGCTTTTTAATAAAAAAACCGCTTTCGTTGATTAGAACCCGCCCTTATACGAATACGGTTACTTGAAAATTACAGATTTAAGGATTTGACACAATAGAACATCATGTCTGAATATTTTAAAAACAATTGTCTTTAAACAATTTGTCTAATAATATATTTTAAATGTTTACATAGATATTAAACATCACTACGTCTTCACTCTTGATGCTATTTTATTTTCGTGTGCCAACCTTGGCCGCGATAAATGAATCTTTTATAAACTTTCCGCTATTAATCATATATCATACAATACAATAATATTTTGTTAGGACAGCATTATTTATATCTTGCTTTATATATTTTCAAGTCTGTTACACGTTTAAAGGATTTTCCAGTAAGTATATATGTTACATATATGATACAAAAATTCTGTCCGGCCGATCTAAAACGTTCGAGCCGAACGAATAATCCGGTGTTCCAAATTTGAAATGTAACAGATATTTTTCCGAATGACATTTTTCGGTGGCGTTTGGCGGGAAATGATATATGTATGGCGTACCGTGAAATTAGGAAAATATGTAATAAAGTTACGCAATATTGTTAGAATTTAACTTTGTATAATATGTATGTATAAGGTACATGGCACTAAAGTAATAGGTAGCTATAACAAAATAAGTTTATAGTAGTAGTACCACAAAAAATAAAAACACTGCTTTAAAGAAGTATAATATTTCGTGTAATGTTGATATATTTTTTTTTATAATCAAATGTTATATAACTTGTTTATGTAGATAACGTCTCCCGTGATAAGTAATCAACAGACTATTTTATATATAAAATATCACGTTCGCTATGTGATTATAATAAACACGAGACTTATGTACGTTATGTATTTCATTACGTCAATCGCCGAGTGTTATGTGGAATATGAAGTCATATAATTTAACAAATTTCCTATTACGTTATAATGATTTAGCGATAATACTTTTTTTCTTGTAATATATAACAGTTTAATATTAATTATATATTTTTTCCCAGCAACTTGTTTAATACACTTTTATATTGCAAATATAGTGTTAGATTTATAAAATTGTGATTTATATAATGCATTAATATATGGTGTTAGAGAACAGCTTTTAAACAGTGAAATAACACTATATCTTTACCACAAATTCGAAAAGTAACATATGTACAAATTTGAAAATAGAACTCATTACATATGCAAACTTTGTTGTACAGTAGTTGTTTTTTTTTAAAGTGTGTATGTGTTTGTGTTCCAGCGTAACCTGAAACCGGAGCGCGTGTCAGCTGCCAGTACTACCCAGGCGTACTGACACTCGAGTTACCAGCCCGCCCGATGCCTCTAACACCACCGCAGCATCGACACGGCCTATACAACACTCCCTAGTGACACAGATTATACAAGTGTGTGGACTCGCGGTACAGCCGAATTGCAGTATTGTAAATGTGTGTAAACATACATATATATATATATATATGTGAAGAAATTACAACAGCTAGGTATAAGCTTCCGTTATCGAGATTCCTATTGATGCTGCCTTAAAACTTAAACTGAACTCATCGTTGATAGGTGTAAATCATATTGTGGATATATCTTCGGTATTTTAATCTTTTTTTTTGTCAATGTATCGATTTATTATTCTTTGTACGTTATTGGTATTTGTACACACATAGCCTTCTGCCGATTTGGCATATAAGTACCTATTGTTGTTCGGTTGATGGATATAATGTTTAGTTAAAAAAAAATTGTTATAATGCAGCGATATATATATATTTTTTAGTTTTACGGTTCTTCCATTATTTTTATGAAAGGAAACAATTTATTTGAAACGACTAGCGACACCAAGCGGGGATCGTACTTCGCGTTATACCGGATATGAGGGCCCATATTGAATTTTAAGAAACATTTATTAAAAAAAAAACCTAGCTAATTATATTATTACATATTTTCGGACATTAACTGTATTTAATGTATATCAAACTTTATTTTTTTACCAGATGCTTGTAAGTTTCTGCTTTAATTATAAAATATGTGAAAATTTTCTATGAATATATATATATAATTTAATTGAAGCAGAATACTACAATATAAGGTTAATATTGTACCATAATGTTATTTGCTATTGTTAGTAGTAAAGGGTCTAGACTACGAGCGACCTTTCTACGTATCTATAGGTCCTTCAATTTGTTTTTTTTAATAACAATTGGTTTTTATAGTGTAAATAACTGAATTATATATATATTAATATCAACTAAGTACATAATAGTCCAATGGTAGATGTTTGTTCGTCCACATTTTTATTACACTTTAAAAATTTTGCCGTCTGATGTTATAATTGTCCAAGTAATTGCTTATAAATAATGCCATAGTCACATTTTCTGGATAGGTTCTTTTTCATAAGAATAGATAGATTGTGAATATTTTACAATATGAATGTCATTTAATAAGACTTCTATCGATTTTAACATCACTTGGGCGATTTTTCGACAAGTCTCGTATGAATCTATCTATATCTTTTTATGTTGGACGTTTATAATTTTAACGCGTCTTGCCCAGCTTGCATGTTGTATATAGAAACAATATAGAATGATATATCATGTTCTTGTTAAATTTTAATAATGGGTAGTGTAATATCAGTTTTTATTTGTCTTAAAATTAAATGATTGCCTTATAAACGTACGGAATGCTCGGTAGCGTTATTTCTGTGGGGAACATCTGTGAATGTATAGAGAGTAGATTATATGAATTGGAAAAGTCACAAAAAAAAGTAAAGAACATTATTTGTATGATACAGCAGTAACGCTTATCGGGTCTTGTATGAGAACGTGGTCATAGATTTTTGCCAAAATTATAAATACGTTTTTTATATTTAATGTTAGTTTTTAATCGCTACATAAACGTCTTGTTAGCAACAACCGGCCAGTGTTGAACATCCACTAGAGATAAGGAAATATTCTGAAACCAATTCAGAATAACCCTCCAATCACAATAAAAAATTAGTTATTTTTAGTCTGCATTCGGGTCGTTTCCGAACAGAGTACTTACCCTGTAAATCTTTTTTATTCTATTATATTCTCAATTCAATTGTTAATATTTTAGTGTTGATGCCAAACTATTACTATACTTATTTCATTTTTCGTCTCTATATTGTCACTGTGTTTGTCCTTTGGCATATCGATGAGTACTCCACGGACCCCAATGTATGAAGCCGTCTTTTTGTATTGTGTCCTAAAACTAACGTCCATATTCGAAAATGATTTAGCATTAAGTAATTCTGATTTTATCATTCGAGAAACAAAAAAAAACTAGGTTTTTGTGAGTCCATTGTTTTCATAATATAATTTCGCTGCAAACAAATGGCAGGTTGACGGAAAGGCTGCTAGAACATTCTAAACACAGGTCCGCGATATTGTCCATAGATTTCAAGATTTTTTATTTTAATGTTTTATAAATTGGATTTTATATACTGTATACAGTTTAGGTCTTAGATAAAGCTGAAATGGCTTTTCCTCCAACTTACCATTCATAGCAGATTCGTTCGAAGCAATATGTCCTTAAAGAGAATACGTCATCATAAAATTGTTTCCACATATTGTATATACATACTTATTTGTTATGAAATTAATATATATGTTTAAATAGTATAATGAGATCATATTGAGGTGAAGTGAGGTGGGTTTACAAAACCTTGTTGTTTGATGATGTTGTTTCAGTTAATTTTTGTCAATTAATGTGTCAAATGGCGTTGCTATTTCATTTTCTTTACTTTCATTAATAAAATCAAACAGTCAATTGTTTGTACGTAATGATGCATTTTGCGTCAGAGAACGGTCAATTCATACGCAAGTGTCCTTTGTTTGCTCACAAGTTTTGTTATAATTTTAAATCATTTTACTCAATAAAATGCTCAATATTATGGTCATGATATTAGATAATTAAACTTTGCTTTGGAATCTTAATTTATTTAATATCCTATTTATTTTGAATTAATTTAAATTCACCAAAAAAAAAAGTAATTAATTTTAATGCTTTAGTTCTTGTTTGAAAATTTCATTTCAGTTGTGACAATATAAAATCACTTGCCCCGTAAGCCTCAGATGGATGTGTCATCACAAACATTATATATTAAAATAAAGAAACATAATAAGGGAACCGTTAAAAATGTTATTGTTACCAGTAGTTTAAGCAACGATTGTTTTATAAATGTATAATAACCATAATAAAAAAATTATTATTAATGATCTGTTTCTGATGATGCGCTGATTATTATCATATGTTGACTAAAATGTTATGATTCAAAGTGGACATTGTGAATATGCATTCCATTCGTCTCATTTATAGCACTGTTCATTGATGCACTTGAGAATTTATAAATTTTAATACCGCCTTACAATTTATCTAACTATAATCTTGTTTAGATTATATATTCTATGTACCTTAGCTATGTAAGAATGCCGTGTGGCATGCGACATGTGATCTTACAGTGTAATTAAAAATTAAAGTGCATCAATTATGTAACATACAATGTGCAGACCACTTTAAAATTATAACAAATTTTTTATATAGAAAGATGTTATATACCTTTCTAATGGATTAATCTGATATAATGTCACAAAGGGAGTTATAATGTCAAACGTTGCTCGATTGTTACCGAATAAGTTATTAGGGAGGTCGGACAGAAATATTTGTATTTTGTCATATTTATACAAATTGAAAATATCTCAATGAAATATCATAGTCCATTGTACAGTTTAGCCGATATTTAGTATCTAGTAACATCGATTTTTTTTTTAATCATAGTTAGCGATATATAAGTAATATTAATTCCCAAATGTATATTGATCTATTTGTTACGTGATAAAAAGCGATGCGTCTTCATTAGTTTCATGTATTTATCGTTCGATTATTTTTATTAGTGTAACTTAAAGTCAATCTGGTTGTGTTAACCCCGTGTATAATCTTAACAATGAATGTTGGCCTATATCATTATTATATATATATTTATATCTAGCTGGAAATTTGTATGTGCGTTGTTTTTTTATCACGTATCAAAACCTAACAAGTTATACTTAACATAGCTGATATTATAGCGGCTTAAGGCGGGCGTAACGTGAACACCATACATAATTTGTTTAGATTTAGATGTTTGAGTTTGCTTATTTTGATCAAACGTTATTGTAAATTTGCTGTACAGATAAAAAAAACAAATATGGCCGCCGTCGCGCTTCCGGCCCGACGGCGATCCCAAGACTGTCGGTTTACTGAACAACTTAAATACTATGTATTATGTCGATGTAAATAGAGAGTACGATTTAGATACATGGAAGTGTTATGGGAAGTAATCGTAGTGTTATACAAGGATCGCTATACAATATTAAATGGGAACAGAAAATATATATATGTATATGTAGACGGGCCGTAGGCTCGGCGGCGGCCTCAACAATGCTGCGATATTCCTTGTGCCCCACGAAATATCAGTGCATTATATGAGTCGTGATGTAAAGACGATGCGGTAGTGTTATTGTGTATAGAAGTGTTTATACAAGCTCGAGTCAGCCGGACGACCGACACTTGCCAGCCGGTTCGAGCGAACGACGACTTGCTATGAATCCTGACATCGGCTCACGTTAATTAGCTTATAAATATTTCATCAAAATATAAAATACACAAAAAAAAATGGATATAAATTTTTCGACCAAGTGCTGGTTGTTTTTTAAATTATTAAAATGTAAAAAAAAATAGATTATAAACAAAGTATAGGTACAATTTATGAATTATACTTTTCTTTTCGGCATTTCGTGTAACAGTGGAAGAGGTTTAGCTTATTTCGCTACTCATGAATCAACTATATTGTATACAGTTGTTTTAAGTTAGAGCATTCACTGCGAGCACTCTGAAGCATACTAGCGTTGAATGTTCCTTTTGGTGATTTTTTTTTGCTCACGTCCTCTTCCATTGCTTTATTTTTTGTTTCGCCAACTGTCTTATTGTATAATATGATTTTGTTAAGGCAGGGTAATGCAGAAATAAGAAGAGGTACTTTTTTATTTTAAAATAGATTGTTTGAATGTTTCAATTGAGTTGATTTAATCCATTCAATGGAATTTGTATTGTTATGAAACAAGCAAGAGTTTGTTGTTTTTTTTAATTAAGTCATTTTAATTTTCGATGGTTAATGAGGCAGCTAATAGTTTATTACAGTCAAGTTACCACTCAAACAATAGTCAGGTGAAGGCTCTCTTTGGCGTTTACATTGTATAATTGGCACCGCGTCAATATAGTCTAAAGTTTATGTAACACCGCTGAGTGTATGAGCTGAAGAGAGATGGTGGATAGTATTGTTAAAAAAAGGTACCTATTCAAAATCTGGTAAACAGACTAACTTGTTCTAGAGTCTGATAGTGTTGCTGCAATGTGCATTTATGCTATCTTCATTTAATTTTGAATTGTGGGATCAGTGCCAAAACCTTCTCTTCTTGTTTAGCTCAAAAAGATGCAATTGTTAGCATGCTTGACGAAACAGCTAAGTTATTTGTTTAGTTAGTCTGCCATTTTGTGAATATTTTGTTTTGATAGTAATATGTAAATCTTTTATAATATATTTGTTTACAATAAATAAATGACAACATTATAAATAAATGAAATTGTATTTTCCATTTAAACTGAGAAAAAAATATAAAAAGAATAATATGCAATGAATTTTTGCTGTTTCATTTCACATTTGCTTATATAAATTATATAAATACACAACTTAAGTATTTTAAGTATTCATTATCAAATTAAAAACATCATTCATAGGAACAAATATTTCTAATATGAATAAAAATTCATACTATTGAAAGTCAATTTGAATAAAAGGAAAATAAGAAAAATCCTACTGTGAACTGTCACAAATCTCATGACCGTACAAGTAGAGGGCAGCACTGATAGCTGTTTCCGTGCCCTTCAAACTTTAATTCAAAATTGCTTTCTGAAGCACAATCTTTCTTATATAATCTGTCACTATTTTAGTCTGTGATCTTTGACATTATTAATCTGTGCTAATTTAGTAACTCGAGATGAAACATTGTATAATTTAATGTTACATTTTGTAATTTGTGAATTGAAAATATAATAATGATTCATTTTAAAGAAAATAAGAATAAGTCAGCCTTAAGTACAAGATGGGCGCAAATGTCCAAGCAAGAACAAATAATCGAAAAGAAGAAGATGGAGATCCAAGCCAAATTAGAGGCTCAAAAACAAGCTGCTGCCCTAGCGGCTCAAGCGAAATTATCTAAGTACTTAAAATATATTTTTTTCTATCTCTAAATTACTTATTATTGAAAGCATTGCATGGTCATAGTGTATAGTTACAAGCGCAAATATATAAAATGTAAATCAATTAAAATATTGCAACTAGCATGTTTTTGCAACTTCTTGATTAAAGCTCTAAATCCACTCCCTAGACATTGTGAAAAGTAAGGGTCGTAATTACGAAATTATAATAAGAGTAACAGAGTCCGCCCTATGAGCTTTAATTCAACGTTTAATCAAAACAACCTTACGATTTTTATACGTATCTTAAATCTTTACACCTCGGAATACCACACCCAAATATTGTTTAAGAACGTCTTATAAAAAATATATATTTTAAAGTAATGCTTATAGTGAAAGATAATTGAAGTTGTTAAACATAACTTTTTTAGACCTGCCACCAATGAAGAAACTGGTCCAAATATATTTTCCAATGATGGTAGTTTTATGAGTCAATACAAAGCATTGTTAGAGAAACAAAATAAAGAAAAACAAGAAAAGGAAGCGAAGGAGAAGCAAGAAAATGAGGAAAAAGCAAAATTAGAGGAAGAAGAAAAGAAAAAACCGGAAATAAATGTTAAGAAGGAAGATGTGGATTCGGAACTAAATGATAACTTAAATCACAATTCAAATGATCGAAGACAAGACAGAGGATCTAGGTATGATATAAAATGTTACTTGATGTTGGGTTAGATATGTATCTTTGCACATATAGAACATCTCTTCATTGTATTGAAAGAAATCGTCTTACTAAATGATTATTATAATAAAACAAAACTAATATAGTATAATAATTACATCTCGATGTGAACATGAAAATTTATTGCATTTGTCAATTTGACACGATCATTTTTTACTCATCAAAGTCTATTTGTCTTTGAAAAATTAGTGGTGTACATAATAATTATACAATTAACTACTTTTTGTCTGCGACTTACTTTAATTTCAAACTTAGAAATGTATAGCTGACTAGGGGAACTCTGTTTCTCCTTAAAGGCAGTAAAACCTTTTTTGAACTATAAAGGGGTTTACACCATTTTCATTCTTAACTAAAGATATTTATAATCATTAGTATTTGAACTTTAACCAACTCCCAAATATTAAAAAAATTTGATTATACCAAAATGCTCTACTGTATTCAACATGCAAATAAATTAGGCAATCAAAAAATTTGCATTTTTTCTGGCATTTAGCAGACGGAACTAAAATTAGGTAGCACTAAAAAGTATTAATTAAACATTTTTTTAAATGGTTAGTGATCTTGTTATACTAATTGATCTTGATGGCATGGTCTTTTGGGGTCCTTGGTTTCCAAATGAATAAAGGATTGGATTTTTTAGTGCTATTGGGATGCAAGAAGCTCTTCTGTGTTTTCGTTTGCATAGTGCATTTCAAAACTCATTAAAAACCCCCCACTAATAATTACTTAACAAAATATTAACAAATTGAAGTAGTTATTTTTTTAATACTTTAATGTAATAATTAAGATTAGAGTATTTGAAGAGTACTCACTTCACTGGGGGGGATAGACAAGTCTTCGTCAATATCAGCTGATCATGTTTGTTTACAAGATTGCCAATTTCTATTGAAAAGAACTATAGCAGTTTCTAATTGAAGATTTTACAGTATTTGTATCAAAGCTCTCACTAGTAACTAAGTGACCCTACAGGCTTGTAATTGTAGTTTCTTGTTTATATTGTAACGATGAACCTAACTTAGCATAACCACAAATTGATGTAGAACTCCTAAAGAATTATATTAACTAAATGATTATTTCAAATTAATTCTAAATTACTAGTATTTATTTTTCATAAATGTTCATAAAGTTACCTGTAATATTATTTCTCCTTATATTACTTGAGTTACGAAATTAATTTTCATGAATTGAATTAATATTTACATTTGAATTATAAACTTCTTTTTTGTTGGATCTATCATCAAAACATCATTTCTTAATGATACATTATTATTATAGATAATTTTGTTATTGCAGTGTATTTACTCTGATTAATCAATGTTGTTCGTCAATATTTTATCTCTCTTCAAAATTGCAGAACCTTTTAGAGTATACTATGTACATCAATAATAACATTATAGTTTTACTATGGCTAAATTAGCTGATATACTTACTATCAATTATAAGCTTATCTATCACATTGAATAAGTAATTTTGCACATATTTTGAAACAATGATTAATGAATATCAACTTTATCCTATACACTTTTTCATATTTTGAATTTATATTCCAGGGAGCGACGTCGTTGGAGTGACAGAAACAGAATGCGTACCCATAGTCCTATCACACCAGTCATAGAAGACAGAAAGAAGATGATAGACACCATGAATATCCCACCCTTAATGCAGTTATCTGTTAGACCTCCCGATGACCAATCTCCACTAAATGCTTCCCACAATCCATGGCAATCCAATGAGGGTACACCCTCGAATGATGAATATGATCTTGAAATGAAATCTCGTGATAATACTCATGAAGATGAAGGTTCAGATACAGGAGCCAGAGGTATGATGGCACCTGGACCTGTGACGCAAGGATCAGGCCCAATGAGACCTTGTCCAATTGGTTTTGGGCCAGGTCCTATGGGTCATGGGCCAATGGGACAAATGGTACCTAACCCAATGGGCTCAGGACCACTAGGTCCCGGTCCTATGGGATCAGGTCCCATGGGTTCAGGTTCTATAGGTTCAGGCCCTATGGGTTCTGGTCCTATGAATTCGGGTCCTATGACTTCAAGTTCTATGGGCTCAGGTCCTATGGGTTCGGGACCTATGGGTTCAGGTCCAATGGGTTCAGGTCTCATGGGTTCGGGACCTATGGGTTCAGGCCATATGAGTTCAGGTCCTATGGGTCCAGGCCCAATGGGTTCAGGTCCCATGGGTTCAGGCCCTATGGGTTCGGGTCCCATGGGGCCAGGTCCTATAAGGCCAGGACAGATGGGATCAAATCCTAACATGCCACCAGGTTCAAATATGGGTCCTGGATCAGGTCCAGGTCCAAATATGGGTTCAGGTCCTATGATGGGGCCTGGAGGGCCAAACATGCCGCCGATGCCCCCTTTTATGAATGGCCCTCCTAACTTTTCTATGCCACCAAACTTTATGGGCCCTAATGGTCCTTGTGGTCCAGGCCAAATGCCGCCAAATATGTGCGGACCTAATATGCGCGGGCCTAGACCAAATGCTCCAATGCCACCATTCTTTCCGCCATTTAACAATCCACAAATGGGTAACAACGGCCCACCAAATTCTATGAATAATGTTCGTTTCGGCCCTAACGGCCCTAACTTTGGATCACGACCACCCTTTGGGCCAAACGGCTCTAACTTCGGCCCCAACAACGGACCTCTGAATATGGGTCAACCTCCAAACATGCCTTTTATGCATCCAAATGCATTACCCCCTAATGTCATGTCGGATTCGAAACCCTTGGATATACCACCTCCTGATCCTATGAAGCTCGGAAACATACCACCTCCTATGCCCATGACCCTTAACCACATTCCTCAACCGAATGACCTTGAACCAGGAAACATACCAGCTCCGAACACATCTCAAGGTAAACGCCCATAATAGTTAGCAAATTTGTTATGTGCTAAAGCTAGCGCAAGAGCGAATGTGATGTATGCTTACTAGGAACTTAGAACGAAATCTTTGTATGCAAGAATGAATAAGTCGACATGCGAAAATTTTCTAATGACATATTACGTTTTAATATTCATAATTTGGAAGAAGTTAACACAAAATATTTACTTAAGAGACAAGCTGTTATAACAAACAACTTGCATACATTAAAAATATGAACTCGTGACTTTGAAATTTGGCACTTGTTTAAATAAATACTATACGTGAACTTGAACCATTACGGTCATACTTTTGACACGTGTTTGTAAATATATAGATGTTTATTCGTTGTTGCATATCGAAGACAATTGCATGTATCGCCCGGGGTTGTCGTCACTATGGCGCGGGTTAATTTGTACAGTGGTTTTGGAGCGGTCGTAAGACATATTGTTGACTCGTGGTGTGCAGTTCTCTCTGCAGATACGTTCCCGCCGGCTGTACTACGAGCCGCAACCGAAGTGGCAACCAACGGCGACCACTGGGAAAATGTCCTGAATGCTATACACTCACAAGACCAAAATATGTGGTAATGCCACTGTAAATTCAATTCCGACGGGAGGATACGTGCTGTATTCATTTTTTATTATACTATACATAGTATGGGCAATGTCGCGTAAATAAAACCCACTTTATTAATTTTACACGATGCGACAATGTCCCAATAGTGTTTCAGGTTCATTATTACCTTTTGCACGTTTCCGTTGGCTTTCTGTGTATGTTTTTATTTACTATTGCAGGTTTCTTCGGAATCCAAACTCGAATGAATATAAGGCGTATCGGGAACTGGTGAATAAGATGCGGGGTGAGGTTCAAGACAGGAAGCCGGAAGTGAAACCCGAAGACAAATACGAACCTGAATTCTCTTTAGAAGACGATGACAGTAACGATAATAGACCGATCAAAGATGAATATAAACATAGGTAAATATATATACATATTTCTTCTTATTGGTATAGTCATGGATTGGTGGTTTTTTTATTTAAACCCAGCTTATTACGAAAAATAATTGCCATAGAAAAAAAGATAGGGAACTCTCAAATTTCATTTAAACTTACGTAAATTTTAAAAGATTTTATCATTTAACAGTTTGTTGTAAAATTTTAGCATCTTTCTAGTTTGTATTGTATTGGGACAAAAGTATAGATTATTTTAAATAACTTTTTCTTACTCTTTTCGACATTTAAGATGCTAACAAAAATAGAACTATCACTTATTGATAAATATGAGTTGAATAATACGAAATATATGATTTAAAAGTTCAACATTCATTTGTTTCATAATAACAATATTATTAACTTACAGCAACCAAGAGGCTTACAATAAACGTGAGCAGACGAGCTCTCAGAGCGATGAAGATTCTGATGTTAAGAGAGAAAGACGAAAGAGGAAGAAGTCTAGATGGGGGGACGACCCGCCTGTAGATATTAAACCACCCGGTGTTGTATTACCTACTGGAATACCTGGTATAATAACAATATTCATCTACATATGACCTATATATATGTATATATACTAGAAGACCCGGCGAACTTCGTATCGCCCTATAATCAAGAAATATCTGTTATGTTTTTTATTTACATTTTTGGAGTTTACCTATTAAAGCCATAAATGTCCGTGTTTTGAAGTGCGACAGAATGATTGACATATTAGTTAGTTGTCAAATCTAATGTCAAAAAAAACGTCTGTATCAACAACTACTAATAAATTAAAAATTCATTGAAAAACATTGTCCAGCGGACAAAATTGTGAATCTAAACCATTCCCAGATCCTCTTGAACACACACAAATAATTTCATCAAAATCGGTCCAGTTGTTTGAGAAAAGGTCAGTGACATACACACTCACAGAAGAATTATAAAGATATATCTAGTACACCTAGATCTTAATATATAGCAAATTATTATACTCAAATACAACTATTTAAGGTGCAAAATTATCAAAATTAGAAGAAGACGGATTAAAACTGACTACAGTTAATAAAAATAATCAAGCATTAATGCAGTATGCAATGATTAATTATGGAACGACGAATTTAAATGCCGAGGATTGGAAGAAGTGTGAAGACAATTTTAAATTAAATCTGCTTTACCAGGTTTGGTGTTTTATTAATTCTTACTTGCTTTGTAAGAAATTGGGGTCTAAATATTATTTTTTCTCACAAATGTCATGTAAAATGTCAAGTAAATCCATGATACTTACTAGTCTTTGGTTAAAGTTATAAATTCAGTAGCGCGAAAGTAATATTGAGATATTTTCATACCGAAATTGTGTATATTATAGAAAATTTTGAATTTTTCAGGATATGTTGAAGAAACGCCAGGAAGTGGAGCGTTTAGCTGCGGCTGGGAAACACAAGTATGAATATGACAGTGATGAAGATGTAGCTGACGGAACATGGGAACATAAGTATGTTTATATATATCCATCATAATATAAAAATCATCACAATATACATAAACTGTAATAAAAAAAATAGTATCTTTAGCTATAAAATTCTCCACTAAATAATGAAGGCAGTATATATATGGCTAGAAATGAATAAGATTTTATTAGAAAATATCCAATGTTTAAATACACACTTGTTTATATACACTATGTTTAAATACAATATATGTGTGTAAATAATTCTTTAATGTACTCTTTTGACTTAATACCAATGATTTCCAGATTACGCGCCAAGGAAATGAATGCAACTGAAAAATGGGCAACGGAATTAACAAAACAAGCTGCTGGTAAACATCATATTGGAGACTTTCTGCCTCCAGAGGAACTTAAGAAGTATGATATTAAAACTAATTAATATATATTTTACTATAATTAATATAAGATAATCAATATATTTCTTTCATATATAGATTTATGGAAAAGTATTCAGCTTTCAAAAGTGGTAAAGAACCAGATTTAAGTGACTACAAAGAGTATAAACTGAAAGAGGACAATGTTGGTAAGAACATATAAAATCAATAATTATGATATATAATTTTTTTCTTAATTAATACATAAAATCTATATACAGTATAGAATGAAAATTAATATAATAAAACAATTTTGCAGGATTTAAAATGCTTCAGAAACTTGGTTGGAATGAAGGTCAGGGACTTGGGGCAGAGGGCACTGGGATTATAGAACCTATTAATAAGTAAGTTGATATATATTAATATATCTAAATAATATATTATATTTTTGGGATATACTACGCCGTTTATTTTTGTTTAAAAACTACATACTCCCGACGTTTCGGCTACTTTTCAGCAACCGTGATCACGAGCAGACGAGATGATAGATTCACAAATAAAACATTTTCTTTCTTTCTTCTTTCTAGATGTAATCATGTCTGGTCCTGAAGAAATTATTAGTTTCATATTTTAAATGAATGAAATTGGTGAAAATCTTAGATCTCATTATATCAGTAGCGAGTATTCATTTATATGAAACTAATGGTTTCGGATTGCTACTCTTATTTTATTTAGTGATCACGGTTGCTGCAAAGTAACCAAAATAATATTAAATTAAACGCGTATGTAGTAATACAAAAGTATTACATTCATTTATTTGTCTATGGATTATAAGTAAAATAAAATATCCTACTAATATTATAATTGCGAAAGTTTGTGAGCGTGTGTGTTTGTTTGTTACTTCTTCACGCTCAAATGGCTGAACCGATTTTGATAAAATTTTGCATACAGGTAGCTGACGTCCAGGAATAACACATAGGCTACTTTACAAATGAAAATACCAATACTACTTTAAAACCAGCTAGTATTTCATAATTATCATTGAAATAATAATATTTCCAGAGCGAACCAGCCAGTGTCGAACCTAGGTCTGGGCGCTGCGTCAGCTGAAGGCGCGTGTCCCGATGATGATGAGTTCGACGCTTACAGGAAGAGAATGATGCTGGCGTATAGATTCAGACCGAACCCATTGGTACCATCTTTATATATACAGTAGGACCTCGATTATCCGGACTAATTGTTGTCGGTAGGCATCCGGATAATTGAAAGTCCGGATAATCCAATATATGAAGAAAAACGGGCTTTTTGCATATGTACATATGTAGTCTGTACCATGCATATGTAATGTTAGGTGTTTATTTAAAACAACAAATACAAATGAGCGAAAATCAACGTTTATTAAGAAATTGTACATAATGTACGTATAAGTGTTATAAGTGGCATGGCGTTATGCAAGTTCTGACATGTTAATCTATACTAATATTAAAAAGCTGAAGAGTTTGTTTGTTTGTTTGAAAGCGCTAATCTCCAAAACTACTGGTTCGAATTGAATAATTCTTTTTGTGTTGGATAGTCCAGTTATCGAGGAAGGCTGTGGGCTGTATAACATCACGCTACGACCAACAGGAGCAAAGATATAGTGGTAAATGTGTAAAAAACGGGATAAATTATTTCATCTTTGAAGCCTTCCGTTGCGTGCGCCGTGAAAACGGTTAAAGATACACAAAAAATATGTATTAAAGAATAATAACTCTTTTAATGATCTAAAAAACAGTCCGCGACAGTATATGTGTATCTTTTAAGATTAACTCGCAAAAACCGTTTTTATGGTACCTAATTTGGTCGAAATAATTTGTTTAAGTTGTATCAACGTAATAATATTAATCTTTATTCAAATAAACAAATAAATATGTTGTTGATTAAGAGTACTTCATTGTGAATAAAAAAAATAGGTTTTATCCTGAAAATTCTACGGGAACTCGACCATTCCGAAAACCCCGCAAGAACGGGAACTATGTGGGAAGAACCAAAAATCTGCCGGAAGTCACTATTCCACGCGGACGAAGTCGCGGCAAAAGCTAGTGTTAGAATAAACTCGTCGCGATTGGCAGTCCGGATAATCGCGAATTCGGATAACCGAGGTCCGGATAATCGGGGTCCTACTGTATAAAAATTTCATGTTACGTGTTTGTCCGCGATGGACTCCTAAACCACTAAACCTATTTTAAATTTGATTTGCATTCCGTGTGCATTTTGATCCAACTTGAAAGATAGGATAGCTTACATCTCAATTTATAGTTACAATATTATTTTATTGCACATTATTTGTCTATTAAAGAAAATTATTTGTCATTATTACAATTATTATCTATTGACTAAGTTAAGTATTCAAAAGATGGCGCTATGTAAAAAATACAAACGTCATATATGAGCGACTATTAATAATAGCATAACCATCAAGTGTTTCTGAGGCTAAGGTATCACCTAAATTTATTTATTAAAAAAACGTAACAGATATTTCTTGATTATAGGGCGATACGAAGTTCGCAGGGTCTTCTAGTAATAATATAAATTGCAATATTCTTAAACTTTGTGGGTGAATTTTATATCAGGAGATGTACCTTCGTAGTTTTCTCTCGCTTCTCACGTAAAAAAATTTGAAATTTGAGTGAAACGACCTCAATGTTTCAGTACCGAACTGTTTTTATTTAGACATGGGTTTCGTTTACCAGCCCTAAAATTGACATTTTTGTTCTGATTTAAATATTTTTTTCATTTAAACTTTCTGAATAAAGGTGATAAATGACTTGAGACGAGTCGGTCGCTTCATCCAATGAGTGGATAAAATAGTTCCAATAAAGACACTTTGCAAACGTAACACCAGCAAAAGCCAACAGCACTAATAATAATTATACAAATTACGAAGATATATAGATGCATTTAGTTATTGAAAAGTATAAAAATTATTAAACTTTTAAATGTCTTCATGCACCAAACATTAACTCACAAAGAGTTTGATGAGAAAATAATATATATTTTTTATTTTCAGAACAACCCACGAAGGCCGTACTATTAAGGATATTTTACATTTATATTGATTATCTCTAACAATTGTTACAAATTTAAGTACATTTTAGAACGGTCAATTTTATGCCTGTATATTTTTAAACTTTGATTATTATATTATTATAATATAAACCCTTACTATAAACTACAGCATTGTTATATAAATGTATTTTAATTTTTAACGTGTGTTCTATGTTTATATAATTTTTAGACAAATAAGTTTGTTTTAAAAAATTGTACGAGTGAGATGAATACAATTCAGCAATAAAATGTTTATTGAAACCATCCAAATTAATTTAAGTTAATCTATATTAAGTACAATTTCGTTTATTTCGAATATAAGTTTTTTAGTGTGCTAGCTATTGTTAATATTTAATAAAATATATAGAAAACTGATACTTGCATCATTATATATTATACCTTATTTTATCTTGGTCCAAATAGTTTAAAGGTAAAAAAAGAAGAAATTTTGTCTTTGAAAATATTCTACGAGACGTGTGCAATAAATTTGCATTTGCCAATTATCTTGTTTAAAATTAAAAAAAAAAACTTTTTTAAATTTAGTACGAGGTTTAAATTAGAACCTTAATATTGGTACTCACATTCACAATACTTCCAATTTAATGAAAACAATACATTGAATGTTTAACCTTTCACATTAAGAGAAATTGTAGGCCAATACAATGGAGCTGGTATTAATTCGCACCTCAAACACTTATCAAATTTCCTGGAGAATAGATCGTGAACTCGTAACATTTGAGTTCATAATTATAACTCAGATAACGGTTTGAATTCTTAGAACACGTGAATTTTTTCATTCTGATCTAATTTCTGATGAGTCAAAGCTAACTCGAACGCGCTAACGATTCGGCGTACAAACTAAATTTAGATTTCAGTGACAATTTATTTCCAACGACTATAAAGTACAAACAGTCTTAATAGTGGATAAGACGCGTATACAACAATATACTAAAGTTATAAAAACCAGTGTAAATACGTAGTTGGTGATTAAAATGTCTGAGTTAAAACTAAATAATGGAACTAATCGTGGATTGCGAGTGTATCATCAGGTGAATTCTAGTAGCAGTGATGCTTCTACGTCTTCTGGCACTTCTGATAACTCAGACCCACCATTAAAAAGGTTAATCGGCGTTTATTTACATATTTATCAGATATTTTAATTAAAAATATTATGCTCTCCATGTATTTATCAATATGTTTAAATTTTGTTTAACTAACAAATTGACTAGAATTTGTGTGAACATATTTATAAATATTCCAAATTTGAATTCAAATGTGTTGATTAGTTGCGTTTATATTAATTTAACAATCAATGTTTTAAAATTCAGTCAGAATGTCAAAAGCGGACAAAATAATAGTTTTTTTAAATCAAAAAGTCTGTTGTTATTCAACATTCAACAACTAGAGCCCCGAATAAAGAATTATAACATTTTTACAAGCATTTAGTATGTGTTAAGTGTACCTACCTATCATATTATTATATTATATTATACAAAATATATTATTTTTTTTATAAATAAAATGTATCTTATATAATGTAATTTGAATATTAAAGTTTAAACAGCTGATGTAGTAATTGTCAGCAGTTGTTCCTATTTATGCATATCTACGTCAATGTATTTATCATCGGCATCTAATGACGTAGTGAATTTATAAAATATATTAGGTATATTATATATAGAAAGTTTTGATATCCTTTAGATTTAACCGGTTGCTTCGTTCATCAGTGGCTCGACATTGGGCCTTTTTTAGAAAGGATCAGAAAAATTTGAGAAGTCGTGGTAGATCTGTATCGGATGCCTGTCTATGTTCAATTGTTGAAAATGGTAAATATCTATTTTTATTTTATTAATATGAAAATTATATTTTATCATCTCTTTGGTTTTGGTGTCTGCGTGTGAGTATCAATCTGCAAACTCAATTACCTGTTTAAAATAAATCTGAATATTCATGCGAATTGAAATAAATTTGAAACAGATAATTAAGAATTTAAACGTAATAGAGTTTTTTATTGAAAATTGTAATTAAATTCAACGTTTAATTTTGAAAAAAATATAATAATGAATTATTGGTAAAAATTAAGTATTAGAGGATTCATGAAAATATGTTGAAACAGTTTGACTAAGCTCGTACTGGGCTATTTTCCGAGTAATGCTATTAGCCCGGAATTATTCTCAAAGGAACTCAATTTTCCTCAGATTTGGGATATTTGGATATTCCAATGGCATCGGCTCGCCGGTCTCTTCAAGCATTTAACACAAATGTAGCATGCGTGGCTGTACCGAGTTTATTAATCACGTAAGTATATTTATATTTTTGAGCACACATTTGTAATTAAAGTCTTATAAAATAACATACATATATATATATTTTTTATCAATAACGTTTGAGATTCTTAGGTTTCGTTTATTTTGTAGAAAGTCAAACAATGTGTACTACGGTTATCTGGTTGTATCTAGAGCCTTATTTGTCAAATAGTGATAATAATAACACCAGATAAGCGGCTATTGTGTCCTCTGGCTAAGGCCGTTAGTTTTAAGTAACACAACAATAAGTAAGCAGATACATTACTCTAAGTCGCCATCTTGTCAAATTAAAAAATAGTAGGTAATGTCAGTCGTCCACGCTTCTCTTTTTTATTTCACTTTCATTGATTATAAAATTACAATATTCCGACCAAAGATTATAAAATTACAATATTTCGACCAAAAAAAATCTTAATTTAATTTTATTATAAGATACATAAATTAAGTTTAAAATTTCATTTAATCCACTTTTAACTAACATTATTAATAAGAAGAAACAACTTTCCTTTGACTTTCAACTTTTTGTATACAACATTGCATCTGTTACCTACTTTTGAGTTTTGACTAGTTTTATTCGTTATATTTATATAACCTCCGTTAGTATTTCCGTTAGCATTTAATTTCCTTGAGTTTTGTCTATCTTAAATTTATTTTATAATAAAAATGTTTTAAGTATAATAAAAATTCATTGTCATGAAAAGTATTTGTACCTAAGACTCTCGGGAAACCTCGTACATATTACTTTGTCTAATAAAATTATTATGGAAAAATGTTAATTTTAGCCATCGAATCGGAAGAATTTTTTTGTTAACTTTTCTTTTAACATAAACATACCTATGTAAATAATTCAAGAGAACCTATGTATACATTAATTTTGTGAATAGTATTCTTGCACGATTGGGACCACGAATGGGGGAAAGGGAATTATATGTAAAACTGTTAAATATAATCAATCATTTTCGTCGTAATCTGTGTGACATATCTTTTCACACCATATATTGACGAATATATGGCGTGAAATATATGCATGGACATATTGCAGACAACTCCATAGCATGAAACGTAATTTGTTGTGTCTGGGCAGCATGTTAGAATAATAATGTAAGGGTCGCACCATTGACCTATTGATTGTTGGAAGTATCTGTCAATAATATCGGAACTGCTAGCATAAGATGAAGAGGTGTAGTGGCGTAGGTTTGATTTATACTTTTCAAACATAGTGTCTGAATTTAGAGGTAAATTTAATATGATCTTTATAATCGGCCTTTAATATGCATGAGACATCACATGAAAACCTTCTAAATTTCCAAAAAAAAAACTTCCAAATGATCGTCTTAAACTGGTCACAGTATGAGTGTGCATACAAACCGTTTTCCATTTCTGTTACAATAACCTGTAAATACCATTAAGTGTGAAATTTATGAATGAAAAACTATTAATGCTCCATACGTAAGCGTGATGATGACATCTTTTACTACGGAATGTAGAGTTCTGATAGTGTGTAATTGTTTTGATTTGACAGCTAACGGACATACATTAAAAGTAAAATTCCGTTTTTTTAAACTTTCAAGATAAAATATTTCACTACCATACAGATATTTACAAAAAATATATAAATTCGTCTTATAAATTTTGGGATAGTAGATTTTTTATTTGATGTACTATTTGTATATGTATATTAGTAGAATGTATATATTTTGTAGAACAGTGCAATATTTAATTGTTTTCTTCCGTATATATACAGGGTGACTGGTGAATTACTATCGATATTTGAGGACGTGATATTTGACGATCATATATGACAAAATAAAAATTAATATAACATAAATATTAATAAACTTCTAAGTAAAGTTAACCAAAAGTTGTGTAATTAATTACGCATCGTATGAACACCCTACAGATTAGGTATACACTGACACTCACACATACGCGTGTCGTGACGTGGTGTTGTATCAGCACGCCGCCGCACGCGTCCACACTTGAACACTTGGAACGTGTCAACACTTTATTTATTTATAGGGAAATTTTGTCAAAAATTAAGTACCTATTTTTTTTACATAATTGGAATGAGAATCATGTACCGAGTATTCTCCTTAAATATTGATAGTAATTCACCAGTCACCCTGTATATAGTATACCTCTAACCTTGCATAGTTTTTTAAATATTTTTGTAAACATAGGGTATTATTGAATTTCTGCATAGTTTGTACAGGTGTAATAATCATGATTTTCATTCTCTATACCCTCTGAAGCTACCTTTTACGTTGCAGTGTGCACTTTGGAGATTACGTTTTGTGTAGGTATACCTTTTTGCTCTCAAAGACTTAGATCAGAAAATCATATTGTCTAGTAACTATCATATAGTCTATTAGAATACGATTTTTGTTCGACCTTTCTAGAATATTAGCAACTAAATATTTGTTGTAAGGATTTATTTATAAAAAAAATTCATCTTTTATCCCAACCTTTGTTGTCTGTCATCGTGGGGTCTTTCGTGTTTATGTGATCGTAAGCTTCATGACATGGTAAATCCCTGAATTAATTAAAAATGTTATTATAAGTGAAGGTCATCGGGCTCAATAATCGTAAGAAGTCTCCAATCATATCTTGAAAGTCCGGAGTCCCTTATGAATAGTAGGCCGTAAGCAGATATGTCAGTTTTATTTTATTTAAATTTTTTATTTGCTTATGTCGTTTCCCATCTTTACTTTTAAATCATTTTCTGAAATCTTATTTTCTAAAAGAATAACAAGGACTCTATTTTTTGCCATAAACATTGCATATATGTATGTATGTATGTGTATAGTTATAATTACGATACTTCTTATTAAACATAGGTAGGAGTGGGCATTATCAAGATATTTTGGACTATGATAAATTAGAAACCATAGTAACAAGTATAAATAAAGAGGTGGCCTAGTGGTTAAAAGGCCCGCCTCTCATGCTCGAGGGCGCGGGTTCGATCCTGGCCCGGGCAAGTACCAATGTGATTTTTCCGAGTCATATGTACTTTCTAAGATTATTTAGACATCACTGATTAATGCTGATTCCCAAGAGAGGGTTGATGTCAGGCAGGCGGCCAGTCGTAAAACAATTAGCCAAAAAAAACTATACACAACATGTAAGGCCCTGGCTAAAGCTGGGAAATTGCCAGGTAGAAGAAGAGTAACAAGTATAAATAAAGACTATAGTAGGTACATCATAACAAAATGTAATCTGGAATTTCCATTGCTGTTAGTGGTTTATTGATTTGTACGTTTTGCACTCTTGCCTGATGCATAACTAATTTGGATTTTGTAGTCTACATTTCTGCCCCATGATCAACCACTGCTTTCTTCTCACTCGCAGCCTTTGTTTGTCTTCCTTACTGTTTGTTTACTTCTCATTCTAAACTTCTAACTTCATAGGATAAATTTCTAACTCTTCATAGTCATTTCACATTCGGGGCGATGGTGGGTATATCGACTGAAGTGTAGGTATATCTTTAAATTATCTTGCTCTACCACAACTTACTCCGTAGTTCTTTGCAACCATTTTCCAACATGTTTGTTCTTGTAATCTGTGGTTCTTCTACTTTTAAATACATGCTCATATGCATATATACATGCTTACGTATATTACAAGTGTATGCTTACATTTATGTACTTTAATTTTCATTTCCATTCCATCGAATTACGACAGTGGGTCATTTACGATATAAGTTGAGTGAATTAGTTTTTCTTTATCAAGTTTTGTCACAAATAGGTACTTGATATGTTCATTCGGGTACTGTGGTTTTGATATAAATTCAAATGAGCTCTCAACATAATTATAGCGATTTGACAACGAAACTGAAACACTTAGTGATAACGACGCTGATGTGTTTTTGCCGTCCGCTATTTAGCAATTTATTTTAAAAGGGCAAATAGGTCATTGTTACCATTTTAGCGTAAATCTATTATTGTTGTTTTGAGTTGCGGAAAATTTATTAAGGATCAAAGATGATTTATTTTCAGATTTCTTTTTTTCCTCTCATCAATCTTATGCAATAATAAGATAATATCTTTGTAATATCAATCAATATTATGTATGTATTCGTGACTTCGTCACATTATAGACCTTTACCAGGATCGAGGCCCCAAGCCAGTTAGCTCAGATATTGAAAAATGACAATCAAATTTAGTCTCTTGGAGTCTTGGAGATACAAATTACAAACAATAGCATTTTATTAGAACAAAGATTTTTTTTTTGAGACAAACCTGGTAAATAGTCTCTAATTATGTTTATATCGATTGTGTATTTTTTTATTATTTATTGATTATAATTGGCTGACTAACTATTAGTTCACTCACGTGGAATCATGTTTATTATACAAAATCTGAGAAACGACATAATAACATTTTATTCTGACATATATACATGCTTTGAGCCCAATATAACACAAGGAAAAGAGATACAAATGTATTTACTAGTATTAAAAATCATCATAGAAATGAAGCCAGAATTAATTTTTTTTATCTTTTTGAATTCTATGGCTCCTTTTTATAGAAGTTTCTGTCTTTTCTTAGAAGTTCATTGTCATTTTGTTAATTCCTAGGTTTCGTTAATATTTAAGAGACGTCAAAATATTTACTACTAAAACGTGGTTACCATTAATTTAAATAATAATAATTAATTATAATTAATGCTTATCGCATAAAATACAGAAATGATTTTTACTCAGGGTTTATAATCTACATAGTTAATATTCAACGTTGTCAAGGTTAGTATGTTTAATAGAACATAAATTCTTATTTGTAAATATTAAGGCCGTTTTCAGTAAAATGTTACTGTTTTTTAATATACTATTTGCAATGTATTTATATGCTTTGACTTTTGTAAAACTACTTTCTACGTAGCTTTTAAGAATAGATATCGAAAGTGTTTCAATTACGTAAAGTGGAAAAATAATTAAAATACATGAGAAAAAATTAAAACAAAACTATTCACAAAAAGATATCTTCGTTTTATCCATATAAATTTAAACTTTAAGTTATTTTTTTCCCATACTAAACGTTTTTAAACCTTGCTTATTAAATGACAAAACACTTCAGTTTTGATTAAAGTAATATTAAATAAATAAAATTATCCACAAGGTCTTTGCCTTAGTCAATATTGAGAAATTGTTTTTTAAATAGCTTATGAAAATTGCCGCCATTTTTCCTATCGTACATATGATTGCAATCAATATTATGTGCAATGCACCACTGCGCATGTTTCTAATAGACCAAAAACAATGGATACAAAAATAGGCTTTATTTTTTGGAATCCAAGAATCATTTTTCAGTAACTTTATTGTCTAGCCCAGATGACAGCTCTTCGACTTGTTAGGATCGGTACAGTAGAGAAGTGTTGGTTATTGTGGAAAGAAAATAAACGAATTTATATAAAAATCATTTTAAATGTGAATGATATGCTCAATATCAGATCTTTGGGACTTTTAATAGTGTTGTGAGAGGTTGAACTGCGGCTATATTAGTCGTCGGTAACTGAAGTGATTAGTTTAGTTTGGGTAAAATTCATTACGTATATTTCTTAAGGTAAAGGGTTATTTTGATAACATGTTTGTTTAATTAAAAGTAAAGTCTCGTATTTTTCTAGTGATTTGACATTGTATTATAAAAACTTAACAGTAAAACTTAAAGTTATACATGTTAGTAGTTAATATTATAATTTTTTCGAACTGTAAAATTCTTGGGATAAAAAAGCAAACAATTTTTTAAAACTACCACATTTCTTCTCATTGAAGCTATTATGAATGCAAAAAATAAACTTTTGGTGCATTCTTTCCTATGGTATTTGTAGATAATACATATATTTAACAGTAATTCCAATATAGAATTTAAATTAATTAAGAACTATACCGAAAAAACGCATAAAACCTCATAAAATTGATAATCAAATTTAAATTCAGTTTCATATAATCCAATCAACTTGTAAGTCATCTTAATAATGTAACAGTATTTTCACAGCAGAGGTTCTATTTGCGGCATTAAAAAAAATACATCGCTGAATAATCTGTGTAAGGGCAAATTATATTTGAACTGTGTCGCCTACGATTTAAACCTTAAGTTAGTGATATGGTGTTACGAATTTTGTGCTGTATATTTTTATTAAATAAATAAAAGTATTTCGTGACTAAGTTGTACATAAAATACCAAGTCATTAGTCGCCTGAAGAGAATATTTCGGTAAGTGCTCTTAAATATTTAAGTATACTAAAGATGAAGAAAAACTATTATATACATACATACATATAGAAGTACTTGTATTCCGTAAATTCATCAATTATGCATTATTAAACGAAATCTTATCATGTTTTGATATTAAAATATTTTTAATATGTACCTAAAGGTTTTTTTACGTTATTTGTTAAGCTTTCGTTGGTTCCGTAGAACTAATGTTACATTTAACCCACAATAGGGCATAAGCAGAGCCTTATTTCTAGGTGATGGGCATGGCGTTCGAGTTGGTAGTTCATCTAGGTTCCGACCATTAGCTCCCGCTTGCAGCTTTTTGAGAGCTTATAATGCCAAGGTATTGGATTGCATGTGCATGATATATGAAATTTATATACGCTCCAATATATAATATAAGAATACTTTACCATCTTTATTGCTTTATTTTCAAGATTTTCATGAACTTATTGATTTTGTCTCAACTATGGCTTAAATAATTCTCGCCCCCAGAGTATGCAAATGCTGTTTCAAAGTCTATACACATGCTTGGTCATAAATATGGAATAACATACCCGATGTTTTGCTTGCACTTTCATTTACATTTTCAGATAGAAAGAGTTATATTATTTCTTTGTAGAACTTATATAATACGTATGTAATTATTATAACATTATTAAATATTTTTTTGTAACGCATTTTAATAAAACTTATTGTACTTTTTCGTAAAATATTTAAGCGATTTCTTTTCATTAAATTCTGAATTAATAGTAATTATGAAATTAATATTATTGAATAACTATTTTAAATATTTTTGTATATATTAATCGTGATAAACGAACCACGGACTATAAACAATAAATAATAATAAATAAAGATTTACTAAGTGAACGTTTCTATATACATAATATAATAAACACATTAACGATGAGATGATCGATATTATGTACCCAAGTCCCAAGATTGTGTGAGTCTCGTAATATAAAAACGATGACTTTTTAAATTGCTATTATATAAAACATGTGACTAAGAGACAGCTAACAAAATGTATCGTAGGAAATATAAGCGGAGAGTAACACAAAAATACCTTAAACATTTTAATTGTAGGTCATAAAATCTTATAAAAGTATAAATACGAACTTTAAATCTTGGAAAAGTATATCAGTTTTGTTTATTAACGAAAATATTACAAGGTATACACTATACTTCTTACCATACACTACGTAAATAAAGATACACTTTTTTATATTCTTTTTGATGTAATAAAATGAGGTATAAAGATATAATTTAAAAATGATAAACCAAATTTTCTTATAATATAATTGCAAGGACGTAGCTTGTCTGTAAAGCAAAGTCAAAACTTACTTCATATCTGATATGTACGCAATTTTTTTTCTCGAACAATTTAGTATGTGCTTGAGAGTTCTAGTGAGATTTTGGATAATATTTCTTAGGATTTTTGTATTGGTTTCGTAGGTAACAAAGCGCTTATGTATGACCAATGCTTGCATTGTCTTTCTCTATAATTATTGAGCATTAATTCTTATACAATATAATGATGATGCAAAGACAAGAAGGCTTTAATTTGATATTGGTATATTTTATCATTTGCCTGAATTTTTGTCTACGGTAACTCCGAATTTAAGACCAAATAATAGACAAGCGTAGCTAAATCAGAACTAAATTTTACTTAACAATAAATAAAAGAGAAAAGACAAACAAAAATAAAATTGTGACATAAAACCTTATAATACTGTAAGTGAATTTACTAGATCCCGACACGTCTTAGAGGTGCAAGTGTTGCATAATAATACCTTCAAGAGGTTTCCCAAGTCTATTTTCGTCTTACATAATAACGAGACAATAGTAAAATGAGTCAAGCTGTCGAAGAAATTACCATCTTAATCAACATTAAAGATATTAAAAATGCTTTGCTCTGTACAATAAGCACTTTGACCAGCACATGAGTATTCAATTTATAATGATATGATAATGATAATGATATGATATGATATGATAATGATATGATATATGTCAGGTCGGCGGGCGGGTCGACTGGTGTAGTTGAGGACGCCAGCGACGGCAGTGACGCCGAAAGACGTCGTCATCTTCGTGTGCCCACACCAACTCATTTGGGACAGTAAGTGGAATAAAAACATTCATATGTTTAAGTAGTTATTGGCTAATATGTATATTCATTAGTGGTGATATACGTATAAGCTGTGGCTTTGATAGCAAACACTGAGGAAAGTGGTAGTTGGTCAAGATATTCGTATAATTATACTTTAAATCCGTTTCAAACGTATACGGTATAATTTCTTAATGCTTAGTGTGACATTTTTATTGAATACTATAAAGATATAAGATTTATTAATTCTTTTTCCATAAATGTCTCATTAAGATTAAGTTTCTATTACTATATCACCGTAGATATACTTCGATATAATACTAAACTTGCCAGTTTCAGAAAAGCTTTGAATAAGATTGTCCATAATTATCTATATAATGAATTTAAAGGTAATTCTTAAATATTCGTTTAGAATTTAGTCTGAAATTAGTTATAAAGAGGTAAATAAATATATTTTATATACTTCGTCATTATGTATCTACTCATGTTGCTAAGGTACTTCTACCAACAAAATATGATAATACATTTATTTTGCTGCACGTATTTTCTAAATATATGAAAACAATTTGTTAATTAACGAAATTTTCCATGAGGTAAATATTAAATGCAGTAAAATTCGTTAATATCGGTACTACTTAGATGGCTATTTAACGTTACTTTAAAATAATAGCATGTTAATTTGAGAGATAGACGCTATAAAAAACTTGTCGAAACCCGTCGCGACATGAACACTATCGTGTTTAGGTAAAGGCTTGGAGTTAACGAAATTCGTTAATTAAAATTATTTAAACATGTTTTAAATATGAAACGGTTGTTGGCAACGTAAACTGTAAAGGTGTATAACATTGAATCTTGTGGGGAATTCATGGGAATTATCAAAATATTTATTGAAATTAGTATAAAAATCATATAAGAATTTTACATTCAAATTAAGGTTGTACCATCAATACACAAATGACAATATAGACCGTAACCCTGCCTTTTTTATCCAATTAAAACCACCTATAACCTCTGTAGATGATTTGAATAAATTAATTGATGAGAACACTCTTAATACAATTATCTACCTCTACTCGATTTTATTAAACATTTCCTTTATTAATTTTCCTCTATTGATAGAAATCGTTCGACTTTATAACTCCCACGCCTTAATAAATTACATTTAGGTCAAAGTCAGCCGTCACACACTTATACAATAACTAGATCATTGAAGCCCTGTAAATACATAACACTGGTTCACTTTGTACTTGAGGATTACTTATCTAACCACCGGTTTAAGAGACAATAAGATTATATGGCGACCCAGCTAGCTATGTTCATTGCTCTGATATTTTAATATAAATTCTTATTTCTATATGTATCTTACATTGTTTATTCGATTTTTCTCACACTTATCCGTAGTAGCTATTAAAACAAAGATCTGTAGAAATAGAAACCTCTGTAATACTATAGCAACGAAATTATTAACAATCTGATAACATGTAATTCGAAAAAATATCTACTGGATTTCTAGTATAACTAGTTTAAATTAGCGCTTGTTAACTTGGGAAAATATGTATGGATAAAAAAGGCTGATTCACTCATACCAGGCCATTCACTCGTCCTAAACGTTATTTTTCTTACATTAACGTTATTTTTCTTACAGTTATTATTAATTTAAATAGCACTGATTAAAATAAGAGGTTACATTAAAATAAGAGGTGACTACTTTAATAATTTCTATACAGTCTACCTGACAAGCTTTTCAAAAGTACTGCATTAAATAACTGGCAGAAAATCAAGATCTACATCTTTCAGCTGCAGTAAAATCTAAAGGTATCCACTTCAGGGGTACTTCAATTATACTATCTATAATTGATTTAATAAAATTTATATTAAGAGACAAATAATAGTACAATTTTTTTGCATTTAAATTATCAAAACTTTCAAAATCTTTTTGTGAATTAAGTTTGTGAGGAAATATTTGACGTTTGCTTTAATTTTTTTTTTTGAAGTATAATAATGTCGTTGGCAAAATATTACACGATTCCAGTGCAAATGAACCCATAGCATGTATGTAACAGTATAATGGTAAAATAGGTATATGATTTGAAAACAGTAGGCAAAGACATAAAAAAAATAATGACATCAGAAATAGGTTGTACTCGTAATTGTAATAAAAGCTTATTTTATATTTCGCATAAAATGGGATTAAATTGATAGGAAACCAAATTCTCAAATCAGTAAATTATTAGATATATGTATAGGTATATGTCGAACAAAGTTTCGTATGTATATGTCGCCTTACTTGCACATGTTAGCTCTTATTTCAAAGAAATAACCCTGTTTGCAGTCGTTATAAAATCGTGCTACGCTCAAGTTTAAAGGGTTTTAAAAGCTGTGTATATAATGAATTGTTTTGCATTTATTGTTCTCCCGCCATTGTATTAAATTTAAAAACGTGAAATATTTCAAAACAAGATAGTTTCATCGAAGTATTTCATTATTTATGAAATGTTTTTACTTTATACTTTCTTATCGTATGTAATTTGTAAAAAAAATTAATGGAAACAAAACAGTTATTTGATTGATCCAACTTAAAATGACAGTCGAGTTTATGAAGTCAGTTTTCTATTACACAATCGCTTTAAAAGTCAAAAATATCTACCCATACACCAAATTTCAATATTGTAAGTATGAGACATCTTTTCTAGCGTAAGTGCTATTGGGTTAGTTAAAAAACCCGCATAATGCTATTTCCTGTAACGTAGCCAGATATGTGTTTTTAAAGTCTTTAATAAATACGGGACAAGAAAACTATAAAGATAGGTACACAAATGATTGTTGTACAAGATTTAACTTACTTCGGTAAACTCATTTAGTTCAAAAAGCTTAAATGTTTGAAGAAAAATTTACTTTTTAGTAATACTATATTGCATGCATTTTTTTAAAATCAAACCATCAAGTTTTTTTATAAAAGTGTTAAGTGTTTAATGTTCCAATTTACTTTTTGCTTTTAAAGCACTTTGCAAATTAAGATTCTGTATAAAATATAATATACTTACAATTAAGATATATTATTATAATGTTATATATTATGTGAGTTTGTCAATACTTTTATTTTTAATATGTTAGTTCGGTTTAGGTTCAAAATGTCCAAGAATGTTTTAAACTGATATTAATTTTGTAAGAGGTAAAACATGAAACATTATTCTTTCGTAGTCAGTTATAACATTTAATTATAACTATTCTAAATATGTATTTTTGTTGGGTCTTTGTATTTATGCGATTATTAAGAATTCTGTCGCAAAGTTATTACATAAGCAGCAACTCTCAGTCTTCGAAGTCTACGACATTAAATTATAAATTCTGATTAAATTCAGGTATATATACGATTTCTGTTTTATAGGATCAAAAATCTATGAATACAAAACGTTGGCATAATAAGTCCTTAACACTCTTTCACGAGAAAGTGTGTAATTAACCCTACGGAAGCAATCATGTTGACTGCTAAAATTCCGACCAGTTCATTTCCTACAGTGGTTTACTAGCCAATAGCCATGTGGGTACATTTTGTTTTAGCGGAAAGGCATTGTAACTGCTTCACAAACACTTCGCTAGCGAAAAAATAAGTCTGGTCCTGTTACAATCCTTTTAAGTTGACATTTGTTATAGCGGTGCTGTTTAGTATGCAAAAGTGTAATGGAATAATTTTCTTCGGAAGTTTTCCTTATTTCTTTAGCATGGATTTCAAAAGTGTGTCTTGTTAAATGTACTTCTCCGGGCATGATTATGATCCAATGCTAACGAGTAAATAGCCCCATGAATTAGGAGAGCCCGTGCTTTCATGGCACTCCTAACACGATGCTCATCAGAGACATAGAGATAGAGAACGGTAGCTCTTATGGCCTCGCTGTTTGCCACTTATAGTCTCGCTGGAATGACACGTTAAAGCTTGCACTAAACTCATTTGAACCTCTCCCTGAAGTTCTACTGCTCAAGACGCTACACGACGCAACGCTTCCTTAGACCATGGTTTTTACTTTATACATATATCACTCATTTATCGAGAACTCATTTATTCCTAATCAGTTTTTTTTTCAACGAGTAACTTTAAGTGTTGATAGATAATTAATTTGACCTTGTTCGTAGTAGGAATATTGACTGGTTAAAAAACATTGTTCACAATCTATTACTTATATAATTTTAATTTTCTACCAATTACAAGATAATTAAACGTAACATTATATAATGCCGATAAAATTACTAAAGTGCATGTCATACTAAAATACTAGGTAAATATTTTTCTTAAATTAACATATAGTAATATGCAAAACTAAAATTTACTTTGTATTAACAGTATCTTTTATTTACAATTGAAAACGAGATAATATCTCAGTAGCTGTTAGTGTTTTACCGCGTTTCGAGCGTTGCTAACGAACTTTTATAATAATTAAAAGAATTTAATTTAAACTTTTATTATAATTAAAAGAAAAAAAACACAGAAGTGAATCTTAATGTCAAATTCGCATTTTAATTCTGTGATAAGTGCTGTGGTTTTTGCGGTGAAATGGAAATCACAAATGCAAGCGGAAAAAGACAGATTGGAAGTTATGGATTCGTTATCCCGTCTCAAAATTCCCTGGGCTCTGAGGCGCGACAGTCTCCCGATTGCGACTATACGTAAAGCATGGTTAAAGAGTCGAGCAAGTCTGTCTCCCGAAACCTCTATGCGAAGGGGGTAAGGCATCTTTGTATTATTACATGAACATATAAAAGACATCAATCTTTTTTAGTTTATTTCACAAAAACATAAATAATCATAATTATATATTCCTTTGAAATGAACAGATTCCGATTTTTTGTTATTTTATTAATTACTTTGATTGCTTTATCATGTAAAATAATAAAAATGAATAATTTAGTCGGTATTCATGGTTCGGGAATTTTGAAATAAATCTAAATGTTCTATGAGATTAGGTTTGGAAATATAATATTCTGAAAAGGTCAAGTAAGTTAAACTGACAAACAATGCACACCGGCTACCAGTTTCTTCCTCATAATATGTATGTTTAAGTGTGTTTCTGTTTAAAAATCTTAATATTTGTACATTTTACTATCATCTTTTTTAAAATTAAAAACCAAACATAGACAAATATTATTATACCTACTGGGACAGTATCGTTAACATTATTTATATATATGTAGTGGAATGTTATAAAACACTGTTAAAAATGTAATCTATGCCAATTACGTGCCAGATGTAAATTTTTTGTGATAAGAGTGATTATGTGCTTGTTATTTATCTCATACACATAAAGGTTGCTTAATATAGTACAAATTTATATGGTCCAATTTATAATTAAGAATAGAAATTAATAATTAGTACATGCAGCTTCAGATATCTTTCTTATTCTACTACTACTAATACTATTTACATTTTTGTCATAGTTATATTTAAACATCTAAATTTTATTTAACTTAAACGCGAAAATGTGTTACGAAGCTGTATATAAAACAATTTCCCTTCAGTCTTAACTTACCTAATTTGTGTAAATAATTCAATTGTTGCTTTTTTTTAAGGCCGTGTATTCTATCTATAACTAAATAAAGAGAAAGGTTAAGACGCAGTAGTCTTGTAAATTCCTTTGTTTAGACAAATGAAGAATATCACTCACGACACATAAAAAACATCAACAAACAGAGTGTGTAATATGCGGGTGATATTTTAAACGCAAAAGTACTTCCATAACTTGAAAATATTCGCTTACATTATTTGCAAAAGGCAGTTTAACGATGGGTTTTGCCAATGTGAATTTACTACACATATCCATGTCTATAATAACAAAATTTTAATGGTTTATATATAGTGAAATACTTATTTAATATATCAATTTCTACATTACAGCTGCCTTTATACGTTGTGTTGAATTTAAAACAATGCCATCGTAAATAAAGATAAGGCTTACAAATATTACTCTCTTATGTGATAAATGTACTTGCAACGAACCGTCGGATATATTGATTAATTACATTTAGTGTATCTTTCGAATAACATTATGATTGAATTTCTTATAAAAAACGCCTAATATATTTTACAATTCCTTGATCCACAAATGAAGACCGTATTCAGTGAAGCGTTTATTCATTGGTCCAACGAGCTAGCAACAAATGGGGATATTAAACAAACACTTCTTTGGTAAAACGACTCACTTTTGAATACGCTGCTCCATTTCGAAGTGTATGTAAGATACACACAGAAGCTAGACATTTCAATTTAAAAGTTTTATGTCTTGGTCTAGGTATGTAGAAAAGAATCAGATGTTTCTGAAGAAAAAACTACTTTTATAGATAATTACAATAAACACTATTTTACTTTTATTTAAATAGAACATTTATAACAAAAAATAAAACTAATCCCTTGTGTGAGCATATCCTTGTCAATACAAATCTTAGTACAAATGTATAAGAACACAATAATGTTAATTAGAGCTCTTATAATGTTTTTCTTATACATATTTAAGGATGAGTTCACTTATTGGCAACTCAAATTTTTTACTTCTCTCGATTTTAACAAAATTTAACGTTCGAGTTTTATTTTCAAATAAATTTACTGTGACAACTTTTGCATTCCGTTTCACGTCACAATATTATCTATAGGTACCCTCAGAAGTGTTTTTGGGCGACGGTGACCACTTACCGACATAAAAAAGTAATCACAATCGTCAAAGAGCCTTCGAGTGTTTTTTTGTGGGAAACTTTTGTCTATATAATTGACAGTCGTGGCCACCGATGTATAACTGCAAATCGTCTTCAAATTGTAGGCCAAATGCCAAATAGTTACATGCCAAAGAACGCCACGCCTTCAAAAATTGCGTCGACGTCGTTTACGTCATTAGCTATTATTTTTACGCATCGCAATAGTAAACATCCGTCCCAACTTTCAAGAATTGAATGAGACTATACAGAGTATATCGTACACATTATATACGAAGCTACTACAGAAGTCAACAAGAGTATTTTGATTTTTTTTGTATTATGTATACAGAGTGTATGTACTTTACCTTATACTTATGTCAATAACTCCTCGATTTTTATTTATATTATGACAAAGTAAAATATCTTATTGTTCTTGATTTTGTTATAAGTGCATTTTGCTATTACAATTTAATTGATCCTATTTTTAGCTTGCAGATATTTTTAACAAATTTAATACCATTAAGGTTCTAATGAATTGTCCTAACAAGAAAGAACAGTTAATTCAAGCCAAGAACAAGAGATTTACCTGATATCCTTGACTTTTTTTATATTTTTTAACACTGTTGTTGTTTATGAAATTCTATGCTCTAAACATTAGTCTCTAATTTCGTCGAAAACATTTTGTTGTATTTTTAAATTTTGTTGCTCCTGTTCAATATTATAAACAAACATTCTCATCTTAACACGTAGTTTATAAAATAATGAATTCATCAAAACTATGTAAAAATAGCAGCTTACATCAGGTAAACATGATACGCTATGATGATATTATCGTCAAACTCGCTCTAATTACTGCAATAAAAAAAACTATTTTTGAAAACAACATAAAAATATACAGGGTGACTGGTGAATTTCTATCGATACTTGAGGACGTGATATTTTACGATCATATATGACAAAATAAAAATTAATATAACATAAATATTAATAAACTTCTAAGTAAAGTTAACCAAAAGTTATGTAATTAATTACGCATCGTGTGAACGCCCTACAGATTAGGTATACACACACACGCACACACGCGCGTTCAGCGGCGTGGTGTTGTATCAGCATGCCGCCGCACGCGTCCACACTTGGAACACTTGGAACGTGTCCACACTTTATTTATTTATACGGAAATTTGGTCAAAAATTAACTACCTATTTTTATTACATAATTCGAATGAGAATCATGTACCGAGTATTCTCCTTAAATATTGATAGTAATTCACCAGTCACCCTGTATATTTGGAAATTTCGAATAAGTGGTATAGTTTTTTCAGAATTCTTTTCAGCTTAGTTGTACAGTTTTTATGGTACATTGTAGTAGTGAATTTGAAAAGCTTCGTATATACCTAGGTAATGTTCCATAATAGGTAGGTAGGTATGTTAGTTACACCCTTGCTTTGGTTCCCGTAACCCTGGAGATCCTACTATAGCAGGTACTTCCCATAATTATCGATTAAAACTGTCACGCGATATCAGGATAATATTTTTTCGTTCCCTGTAAGGCATTCACACTGCACTATGCACACATATTTTTTACAATTTTATATTTATTGATTGTTTCTGTTTTGTAACTAAATACTTTTAATATAATTAATTAATATGGAAATTAAAAATCCTCTTAAAAATAACTGTTATTCTTAGTTTAAAGAGAAAAAAATGCTATAAGGAAGGCAGTACGATTTTAACTGTTTAATATAAATTATATTTGATTTTAAAACAGCCTCAATATTTATCTTTAGTTAAATTCTGTGTGTGGCTATATTAATATGTAAAACACGTATTAATCGCATTTCCTTTCATCGTTATTACTTTGTCTGCCGTCTACGTTGAATCCAATAAGAAAAGGGCGGGGGAGCATTGCGCTAGCCGGCTCTTTATACGTTAGTTTAGTCTCCGCCAACAGCTGTGTGAAGTTGAACGAGCATTTTCGAACGTTAAAACAGTTACACGCGCTTGTGGTTACTGAACGATAAAATTATGTCATATAGTTTCAAAATGATATTTTATGAACGTAAATACTAGTTTTTGAAACTAATTTCTTTTTTATTTCGGTTTATTTTATTTTGTATAAAATCAAACTTTATTATAATTCAATATATAGCTAATTAATTACAACACAAAACGTGACGAAACTTCAATAATATTAATAAGTGAAGTGATGTGATTTAAGGATCATATTTAGTCAAGGTGAATACACTGGAACTTAAAAGTTTTGTCATAACTAATAAGTGACCTTATTTCAAATTGTCTATGTTGAACTGGGTATGACCTTCTAAATGAAGGAGTCATATCCTGACGATATTATGCTGTGTTTCGTACAAAGTTATAGTGATCGTGAAAATGGATGTACTAAGAATGGGAAGGCATGCAATGGCACTGAGGTCTCTAATTATAAGAACTTAAAGAAAAAACACAGAAACAAGAGTGATTCTATGATAAAAGATTCCAATAAAGAAGTAGGTGTACAAAGTGATATAGAACTAAGAAGGTCCTATCGAAATGTTGTGGGAAAATCAAAAGATTCTATAAGTAGAGTTCTGCCAGAGGTGAAGAGAAGCTTCAGTGATAGATTTTCTGTCATAAGTGATGTCAGCGGCAAAAAGGCTCCAAGGGCTCTGTTGACCATACGAAAAACATGGTAAAGTTGGATTAACCATTTACTAACATATAAATATTAAGTAATAATTTAAATCAGGGGTGACCAAACTTGATAGGACCGATGGCTAATAAAAATAACTAAATACATTGGTGGGCCGCAAAATATTTATAAAAATACTGGTGATAATAATTAATAACTGATTAATGTATTTAAACAAAGAAGATAAAAAATATTCTACCGGACACAATAATCCAAAACGCAGGCCACATGTAGCCCGCGGGCCTCAGTTTGGACAACCCTGATTTAAGTAATAATCAAAAATTAATGTTATACAAAGCATTATTTACACCTAAACGCAACACATACTGTTATAAGGAAAGAATTTATGAGTTAGTTATTAAAAATAAGTAAATAAATATATAAAGTAATAAAGGACATATAAAAGTTGTTTTATAGAGCTGTATGATATCATTTATAATTCCATTCTATTTTCATAATATATAAGGATAAAAAAACAATAACTTGTCTTTATAATTATTGCTAATTAATTGTGACTTGTTACAACATGTCAAGATTAGCTTGGATGTGATATCGTTACAAATAATTGATTTTATATATCTCACATCTTTTATATTAATTTTGTAGGTATTATATTGAACTATTCATACTTCTAGCTATTTTTACATGAAAAATATGATATTATAATATTTTAACAACAATATAATTGCTTTTATATCTATTTAAAGTAAAAATATTGTGACATTATGTAAAAAAGTCAAAAATGACTACAGTAACTCTCCTCTTTATTTCAAATTTGAATATTTTACAATTTTACCACATCAATGTTTTATTTTTCTTATAAATAGTAAATATATTTTTGTATGTTATGACATTATATTCTTGTTTGCCATGTAGCAAACCTCTTCAGGGTCAAGTTAAATAATTACCGAGGTTAAATGAGGTTGATTGCATAAGTGAAGTATAAAAAGTATGAGTGTTTTAATAAGATTTTGATGACATGTTTATAGGAACTTAGTATTTATTTAAAGATTAGAAACAGGTGTTTTATGACCAATCATTGTTAAAATGATAAGATTAGACAGTTGTTTCACTTCATGATAAATATATCACTTGAATAATATCTTTTTGAAACACCTTAATAGTGACCAAGTTCGTATAAGTGGACTTTTACATACAATTTCTGTAGGTGCTGATAAGTCTTTAATACTTATATATTTATGAGTCTATATGTTTATGAGTCAAATAAAACATATTGATTTTTATGTCTATAAATATTATTATGGATTGTCATATCAGATAAATTTCAAGACATCTTATTCATGAATATTCTACAGCATATTTATCAGTAAAAATATTGTGGTGTAACCTTTTCTTTAAATAAGTGTTAGTTGTCTTTTAAAAAAAAGGAGCAAAATTGCCCCCATTAGTAACACAATGGATTTTTAACGAATTATTATTTTACTAATATTCATATATAACCTTTAAGGGCTGATAAGTGTGCTTAAAAAAATTAACTACCTATAAAAAAAATTAATCCTTTTAACTCTATAACAAATAGAAAGTCTTAACAAATTTTTGAAGAATATATATGTATAGAACTTCATTGGAACATAATAATCTAGAGTTTTTCTAATATGCAACAAATTATAACTAATGAAAGCATAATAATAATCAATAAAACAATGGACAGTATAAGCAACTGTTAGTAATGATTCTTATTACTACTAATTTACATGTATGCAAATATGTAAAGTTATACAAAGCTTTGGTTGCTCACAGAAACTGCTGGAAGTAGGCAATTAATAGTTGCAATTGGTATTTCATCTGAGAATCATGTTTCACAAAATGTTTGCGTGTCAGTCTGTCGCAAACGCAGCGATGATAGATTTCTACCATACGCTACTGACCTGGTTTACGTTGAACTGCGCTACCGAAATAACTGATACGTTCTTAAGGCCAATATATTATTGTTACTTCAACGGTTCGTATTTTTTTTATAAACGTGGACTCTTGCGTAAAGGTTACGGCTTTAATGTGCTCTAGTTTTTTTTTTCTGGATTAACCTTTTTGGTCGTATATAACTAAGCAGCATAGAAAGTAATAATATATGTCTAAAATTTCTCATTAAATTCCCGCTTTTTAACACATGTTTTCCGAAATCAAAATCTTCATATTATAATGCCTCAAGACTTCATCTATTCAGAAATTCATGGTTTCATCTTTCTCCATCTATTTCAAATGTCTGTTAATTATTATAAAAAGTTATTTATTTTTTCGTATTTTTGAAAATTTTCTTTCGCTAGATAGCTTTTACATTACAGACTATTTCTTCTAAAGTTTTTTCTAAAGATGTCTGTTATAGTAGACAACTTTAGTATAGTAGACAACTATGATGACAGCTCTGTTGGTGCTGTGTTAAAATTATTTTATGCACCTAAGTAGTATCGAATAATATTATTAAAGTCGTTAGACTTACAGTAAGTGCCATAGGAACGGTCATATCAGTTTATAGGTAACAATATTTAGTTATTATCACCTCATTCCTGACATAGGACTTGGTGTCCAATTTTCTAAAGTAAGAGTTATTTGTCAATTTTCTTTATACGGCTGGACGTTTGTTAGATTATCCGAAACAGTTAAAAGCCGATTCTAATCATAACGTAGGTTAAAGAATAGGTTTTGTTGCTTATGACACTAAACAATTATTTTTTTTACGTCCTTTATTCATCGTAATAAAGTAAACACTTCAATTATTATACATACTGACTTTTGTATTAAAACTTACTTGAAATTATTTCATAGTTCTCATAAGATGCAATTTCTATAGTTCCAATTGCAATCAGAAGTTAGTCCAATACCACAGAACACTATTATTAAAACTTGTTTATTATGTGAAAAATACTCTTTTTACTTATTATAATCTATAAATAATTAATAGATTCTTACCTTCGTGATACAATTGCTAAGTTATATAATACGTAATGCTAAAAACACTCAGCGATGTTGAATAAAACATAAGTATATTTCGTGGTGGCTCTCAGTTGAATTGTCCTTCCTAAATTGGTCTGTTTGTATGCTTCCCGTTATAGAGGATCTGAGCGCGTTTGGAAGTTGGCTCTGTGCCAACATTGGTGATGTACATTTGATACAGTAAAGAGTTTGGTTTTATTTCATTCTATACGTATTAAATCATCGTTTAACCAGTTAGTAATTGTATTGAAATAGGTTTCTATTTGGGTATCAAACAAATAGGTATTGTTTTATAAACGTATGGTATCTGGTTCATGGAATCATTTAAGTCGATAGCCCGACATAAACGAGCTTAGACATTTATATGGGTTTTACGAATCTTTATTGCTTTAAATTCACTAGGAAGTGAAGCATTTAAGTAAAATGTTACCTATATAAAATCATATAAACCATTTTGAAGCAAAGTTGAATAAATATTCAAGTTTTTTTAATTTATTTTAAATGCTTATATCATAATTTGTTATTTTATGTTTAATGTTTCGTACTGTTAAATTTTATAATCGTCATTTGCCTTGAACTGTATGGGTGGAACATTTATCTTTTTCATTGTTACTTATTTAAATAACTACCTACTTATATTTATAAAGCGAAATGATTATTAACATAATAACTATATAAGCATAAAAGATTTTACTGCTATATATTCGCGGGATAGACAGCAAATAATGATAAAATCCATATCCCACTAAAGTTTGTTAAAGGAATTCTACTAATCTTATATTGGTAGTACACACTATGCATTTAATAATTCGAAATGGGAACGGTCTTCGTCCTCAATAAGTTTTTTGTTCGTCGTAGGATTTTTCCACGTCTGCGTCATGTCTTTCGCATGTTAATAGTTCTAGTAACAATAACAGCACCAATGTATTGAGATGACGAAATTATAGATAAAACAACTGATTAATTAATTATTAGTCCTACCTCATTAAGTTTTTAGGGCTAGAATCTCATTTCAATATACATATTTTTGAGAAGTGCTTTGAAATATTGTAAGGGATAGATATTTGCTGGATAGCTATGAAATAAAAGAAATGATGTTTAATTTTTGCGTTATTGAGTTCGCCGAATGGGAAAATGCCATGTGTTGTATATTTGATTAGTCCCTGAGTCAAGGCTGCAAGAAACTTCGACATTATTGATAAGTCAATACACGTGTAGGTTAAATATAAAGTTATAATTAATATACATTGTATGGAAGCCGGTTTATGAATTTACTTTCGTTTTATTAATTTGATTTTTAATGACTAAAGTTCTGGTGTAATAATTTAATGGTCACATAAATGTTTCAAATGAGAGTATGCATATTTAACGTTATTCTGATATGGGTTACATTATCTCAATATTTTGAACTTTTGAACATTTTGCAAAAACATATTCTCATCTTTATTTCCTCATAGCTAAAAACCGGCTAAATAGATTTTTTTGTTTCTGCCAGCGACATTCTCCACTTGGACTTCGGAATTGGCTTTAAAAATAAAATAATTTATATTTAAATAAATATACATTGTAACGACCTGGCAGCGCCATCTATAGTATGTGACACATATCATACCAAATACAAATGTATTTTGGCTTTCCTCAGGGAACTAAACGGAAATTCTGAATAAATTGATATCTATGTTCTTATATTTCATTTATATACGGAAGGTTGTATCAAAATTTACATGAACCAGGAACAAACATTCATAACATCTTCCAATCTTTTGTATTTCTTATATTAGTAGGATATAGATTGTTTTAGTTATATGTGTAGTTTTGCCGTACCTATAAGCAAACAAATTTGACTTTTATTCCTAGATTAGGTCAGATGTGTTATTGTTTGGGAGACATGTGCAATCAGGTGCAGCTTTGTTTGGCTTCCTTCACGTGTTCTCTCAGGATTCTTGGCGACCGTCCAGATGGCCGTTTGGTTCGATAAGATTATGTTTCACATTTGGCTTAATTAGATTTTATCAGTTCAGGTGGGATAAACAATATTTATTAATATATTACAATATTCGTAAACTTATTCGTTAATGTAATACATATATTATCACGGCGACTGCACTAAATACAGTTGACTAACATTGGTTATACATCAAGATAATTTTTCTTTGTAGTGAAAATCAGAACGTAATTTACCAGGCTTGTGGGATCGGTGGAACCTCCTTATAGTATCTGTGAAGTTACAATAGAAAAAGCATTTACAAAATCTTATTTCAATTCCATACTACAAAGAGGTCAGTACAATCTCAAGTTGAATGATTCTTTACTTATCATAAGGAAACAAAGGGTATGTAGTTATTGAGGATAAATAAAGGACAAACCTTACAAAACCTCCCAATGGCGAAAACGCTTTATCATTCAGTGGCACGAGAACCGATTGAGAATTCAATCCTTTCGGTAACTTTATGAAGTATTTCACACTGCCAGGTATAAGCATGCCTGTGGAAGAAGTTTATTTATAATTTGTATGGTGATAGACTGTTTATATTACAAAGTGTTCGTCTTGTTACCATTTGAATCATATCTGTACTTTCGTAACAGCGACTGCATGCTCGGGTTTTGTATATTAGATAGCACAACTATAGCGCAAGGCTAAATAAAATCAATAGTAAATTAATATGCACATGAGAATTCTTAGTATACATAATTTATACTGACATTGATTTACCTTTTTAACTTCTTTGATTGTACCTTTGTCGTATTTAGGCGCATATTCCTTACTGTCTCCCTCATCGAAAGGTCTTTCTATGGTTTTGACATTAGATTCTTGCGAGTCATTTATATTAGCTGTCACCGGATCTTTATCCACGACCGGGGCTTCTGTTTCGTAGTAAATAGGCAGCATTTTCTATAAACAAGATAAGATTAGACTAAATTTATTGCTTATACAAACACGGCACACATACCCACATTTTCGTTTACTGGAACGTTCAAAAATATGACCAGTAAAAGTCCCATCAACCTCATTGTGTACGCTTCGAATGACTTCCTTGACCGAACTGGTATCCCGTATTCAACATTCATACCGACTTTTATAAACAAGCTCTTATAACTATAATTTGAGAATTTCGGTAAACATACGTATGTTTTAAAACAATCACTTTCTCCACAATGACATTTAATTTTTTTGTCAGTTTACAATAATCAGTCGGAAGAGTAGCAGACAGAAAATTTTGCATATTGTTAGTACTTTCAAGAGTGAGTAGATCGTTAAGTACAAACGTATTATATATACTTGTTAAGGTATTTCTGATTGAGCCGTAAAATTATCTCATGGTTCCAAAAAAATTTGCTTAATATATTTTATTATATGAGTACACCTGCTAAGCTTTACCAGGCTTAAAATATAAAGACAAATCAATATCAGACTGACGATGTTCATAAATATTGTTTGTTGGTTTGCAACTTATAGGATTAACCTGAAATAGAAAAACAACTTACTTATTGCGCGGATTTTATTAGGTACTTTTGTTATTTTCTTCCATATCATTTGATTGTTTTCATTATTGTCGCTTGCTCCTCGTACATCTTCAAGGTAAAACAATATTAAAAGCATGGAAGGAATGCTCTTTCAAAAGTTAGCGTAACAAATACCGTAACGGAAATTACGTTATAGAATGTACGTAGTTCGTACTATACACATGCAATCGTTATTACTTAATAGCAAAATAAAAAATGGTCCAAACTACAACAGTAATCTTGAATACATGAGGCAAAACTTTTAATAATGTCAGACATCAAGTATAAAGAGTTTTAATTCCGCTTTCTAGTGTACTGAACGGTTCGTTTTTAGAGATTTTTTTATATTGAATCCACGAAACATAGTCCAATCAGATAACTGTTAATAGAAGATATACATAAACTAACAAAAAAGATTTAAATACCGCTATATTATTAAACATATTGAAATATAATTATAAAATACCTGAATATTCGATAAACAATTTCAAACTAATTCTGTTGTAAAGTTATTTATTTTTATTCACTATAACCATTAATTTATTTGAGAAGGTGAAGTATTTGATGATAATTAAAATTTACGACTACATTAGAATATCGACTCCAATTGATAAATATTTGTTATCGTGGGTTACGAACTGTAAACTGTTCATTGTATAATAACGACGTCCTTTAAACCAGCCTTGGTTACAAGTGACAGTAATGTTGCTCTTAATTCGCAATGAAACAAATAAATTTGTTGTATAATTTTATTGGAATATGATAATATTTTTCCTCTTGAATTCTTATGATAAATTTAATCATCTTATTAAGGATAATCAATTGGTTTTGTGTTCATCTTTTTTAACAAACCTTATTGAGGTTTTGAATTTTTTTATAAAATAAATTATTTAATTGAATTATATTTTTGGTAAATGACAGCTGTTACCAACAAATAAATTATTTAATTCGACTGGTATTATAAACGCTAATATTTTGTTGATGAATTTATGGACATATATAGATATTTATCTATTAAAAAAAAACATTAAAAATGTATACATAGTTATTCCAACCTGACACTAGATACTTGGATTAAAACAGTTATCATTTACATAGAAAATTCCCGTCAGGATACTGTCAGTATAGTAGTTTATATTAAGTCACGTGGCACAAATGATAAATGATCCAACGGCTTCATAATAACATTTTATTTTACACATCCGTTTCTCTATGGATGATATTCTGTTATGCACGTGGATAAAATCGGACACAAAGTCTAATAGCTACATAATTTTCAAACAAAATCTTTAATAACGTAATTCATCACGTGTTGAGACGTTGTTAGCACATAAGCGAGTTATTGTTTGATAACAAGTCCCCTTCATGTCATATATTAATTACTAATGGATACGGTACTGATGGACTATTTAGTTAAAAATAAGAACACTTTGAAATGATTTAAGAAATAAAACCATTAAAAACTATTTATTTATCTCGTGAATTAGAGCGTGACACATTTACCTTATTAAGACACGCAGACTTCAACCCAAATGTTATGTAAATAATTATCTACACATGTTCTTGTATGCAATTAGGTTTCTTTAATTTAAATATTATTTATATATTTAATATCAACGAACATTTTATTTTGGCGACAAATACGTTGACGAGTTAGTTGAATTTTTTTGTTATAATGACAATTTTAATTCTATAATTTTAAATTCTAATAGCGTAGAAGAATTTCTTTTAATACTGATTCGCTGGATATAGGTTTTAAATAATAATGTGATATATATAAAATGGGTTTGGAGAAGTGTTCTTTAAAGAACTTTACATACATAAATGATGTGTGTCAGATATCTCTTCGATTATTCTATATATTTATACGTTGGCATATATCGAAGTTTTGAACAAGCTAGGTGACAAGAAAACTTGCATGAAGTTAGGTTGAAGTATTGTCTCTGGCTTTGGCTGTATAGTGGAAATAAAGACGAAGTTGAATTTAGTTTCGTCAGTCAACATAGTTTGAATCTAGATAAGACTCCATACAAATTAAAGGTGTAATTGGTTTAACGATTTATAGTCACCTTTTTCTAGGAATAGAAATAATTTAACTGGAAGTTACTGCACATTTAGATCTGTGAGATGTTAATATGAAGGAAAAATGTTAATATGTATGTATTTTATATCATGTATATATTTTTAATGTTTCTTTAACTTCTGTGCACACCCTACTTACTTCTATCCTACACTTTCTGGGTTGGCTGGCAGAAAATGCTGTAATAGCGTTAAGTCCGCCCTTTGTACACCTCTGTTTGTGCAATAAAGAATAATAAAAAAAAAAAAAAAAAAAAAATTGGGCTTTTTCATGGCATAAAAGTACCAATAGTGGTATTCAAATTCTTGAAATATTCTGCTTGAACTTCTAAATTTAATATTAAGCTATGACCGTTTGTGAAGATATATACATATGTATATGTTACAAAAGAACGCAGTACATATATGCTGTTTTACAAGGAAAAGTGAATATTTGCGTTTTATGCCTATGTTATTTTTATTCTCCATTACGCACCCAAAAGTAAAACATTTTGATCCACCCTCGTATGAAGAGCTTAATATGATGAAGTTTATGTAACTCAAACATTGCATATTTCATAGTCTGTTCTAAACACTTAGCTTCACTTTAAACAATTAAGCGACCCTGTTCTTCAAATCATGATATTAGTCATTTTACCTGTTTTCAACTTTTTTTAAAGATAATATGTCTAATTAAAATCAATTATTATTATTGACTATAAATAGATAAGATATTTCAAAATTTCGTTTAAAGTAAAAGCTCATTAAAGTTACATACTTTATTATAAGGAACAATACAAATACCTGTTGGTTCGTATTTTCATTGACTGATTTCAGATGTAAAAAACGATTGCACAGAAATTATTTAGAAATAGTATTATCTTAACACACATATATATTATTGTTTATCCTTCGTCCTACTTCGATTCTTTTGTTTTTTCAGTTAATTCTATGTGAATGTTTGTTGTCGATAATAGCGTGTATTTAATTAATCTTTTATATTATAGGTCCACCGGGAACTTCTCGTCTGGGGCGGCGGGTGGCGGGTGCGGGGCCCCACGCTCTGCGCCCGCCACCCCGCTACAACTGGAACCACACCGATCAAAACATGACAAGTGAGTGAACGAATGAGTGAACTATGTAGTAAATGAATGAGTTGGTATACGATCAGTACATGACCTTAAGTAGATTTCATATATGTCAGAGGTCTCTCCTGACTGGTTATCAAAACCAATTAATTGCTTTACTCATTTGAACTTTTTTAAATAATATTACATATTGTATGATACCAACTATAATTATGTAATATCTGTAAGGCTATAAAACCCGCACAAATTAACTTTACTTAGGGACCATTTACAACATTGTAATGTAGGTATAATGTACATATGTCCCACTCGTGTGTTTCCACTTTATATATACTTTCATCAAACTTTAACAATTTTATACTACTTTAAGTGTTAATTCAACATTTCTGTATCGTCCATACCGTAACTTTTATTTCCTCTTGACAATTAAGTATTCCGTTATAATGACTTGTACACCAAAATAATGTTGTAAAGTAACTTTTTAACCTGTTTTTGTCACGGTTTCGTAGTTTCGAAATGAGTTAAGGCCTGTGATACTATTTTATTTTGTATATATTTTTTATATTATACGTAAACTTCTTACTAAAAGAAAAGGAGTCGTAGAGAAATCATCGTCATATTAAATTAAGACGAATTATTTCTCATTATATCATGTCGTTTTTGATTGAACTTTCGTCTCGAAAAACCTCGTAATTGTCGGTATTCAGAATACCTACTATAAGTTTTTATGGTCACCTAATTATTACTAGCAAGTTCGAGGATTAGTAAATGAAAAACTAGAAGAGCGCCGTGAGAGTGAGAGTGGGTAGAGGCAAACTTGTGGTAAAGTGTAAAGGTAGAAGTTAAAAATATGTATAAACTGGTATTTAGGGCGTTGTATACTTTATGCATTAATCACATATTATATTAAAAGTCCTTAGAATGTTTATCAATAAAATATTAAAACATCATGAATCACGCTAATTAATTAATTATATGATAATATTGAACAGTTTTAATATAGCCTTATCGCACCTGAGACGATGGTTTGAACAATGATAAGGTACGAGTGTGTATGACGGATTAGGAAAATTATTTTTACGTATAAAAATATGAATCACATATAAAATATATTATATAATCAATAACAGTATTATTGATTTTTATTACATTATATTCCAGATATCAAAAAGCTTTTGACAAAAGATCCATAAATATAATTAGATATAAGACTTTCGCGACTATTCATTTAAATGAAACTTATATTTTTCGGATTATACTGCGCGTATTTTATTATTTTAAAAACTACACACTCTCGACGCCGAATTTCGGTTACTGAAAAGTAACCGAAATTCGGCGTTTAATATTCGTTTGTTTTGACCCATAAACATCAAATTTTATTGATGGAAATCCCTACTAATATCATAAATGCGAAAGTAACTCTGTCTTTCTGTCTGTCTGTTACGCTTTCACTCCTAAACCACTGAACTGATTTTAACAAAATTTGGTACAGACATAGAGCTGACCTTGAGAAAGAACAAAGGATAGTTTTTTTCAAAGACTTTTGAAAGTTTCTATTATAAACGCGATATAACCGAACGTCACGCGGGCGAAGCTGCGGGCGGAAAGCTAGTATACTAATATTATTTCGAATTTTAATATCATAATTACTAGACTTTTCATACAATGTAGTGAAGAACTTAACTGCATTGACGTCAATTATACCGTGTTTTTATAACAGTTATACTGATAACTTTGTTGATGATATAAATGTATGAATTTGGCCTTAGTAGCATCAGGTCAAGGGTTGCGAATACTTCATTATTCAGTGACCGATACTTGAACGTGAATTTATGTTCATGAAAAGTCGCAAACTTTATTATATGTGCATACAAAAAGTAATTAAATAATTTTTCTATAAAGAATTATTAGTTTAATAACCAAGTTATTTATTTTTGAAATACATACTTAAGTAATTATTGTATTTATGTTATGTGGAAGAAAGCTCAGTCTACTCGTATAGTACTGCTAAGCTAAAGTAGCTAAGTAAGTAAGGGGGTATCATTATTTGAAGTCAATGTAGAAAATCTCCTTTTTAAATTTCTCTTTCTCAGTTAATTGGGTAGCTGGAATGAATTTCCCAGAGAGATAAGTTCATTCATTGTTACGTCTATTTAGTATAAATTTAATTCTATGTTTGTTGTGTATAATCCAATAAAATTATTTGCTTGTGAATTAATAATTATTTAAAATTTATGTAGTCACAAATCGGTCCTAGATGACCAATCCCTGTAATAAGTAACACTGTTGTGGTCATAGAAAAAAACACAAAGGAGGAATAGTTGTTATATATTTTATATCAACATATTTATTGAAAGAAATAAAAATTTTAATGAATTAAAATTACATCATAAAGAGATTTATATTTATTTATTTATATTAGTGAACAGAACTTAAAGAGTAGAACGTATTTTTTATATCGAACTGCCAGTAAGGCATAAATCTAAAAAAATCCCTTCCAACTTTATTTGAGATGACAGTTAGATTTTGAGTTCGCCTCCCAAATTTAATAAATCAAATATTAAATTTGATGAATTTTAAATAAATTATTTAAAATTAATTAAGGAACTTGTAAGTTTCTTTTAAGATTATTGCAAATAATTTTCTCATACATATGTCAGTGAGGATGTCCGCATTTCCGTTTATTGCCCCGGATGTTGCCAGTGGTCCGGAACCAACTCGTTCCTATAATTGTACTCGGCGCTTCTGCTTTGTTCCTTGAGCTTTGCGAGTTTGGAATATATTTAGATGCAGTCGTAAACTAATACGGAAAATACTACATCGCTGAGAATGTATATTATGTATATGTATATAAAATAAGTGATTTTTACATAATTTGTAGTTAGTTCTGTTATCGAAATGACACATAATCGTTCAGGTAAAATATTCCGTTAAAAAAAGTTCTATTTGTATTTAAGTAATGTAAGGCCAATATTATTTCTAATGTTACTATAATGATCTTTGAATTTAAAAATATATAGCTGATAATTACTATGGGTACGTAAAAAATATGTATTTTCAATAGTGAAGACTTTAAACACGCAATAATTATTTTTCTTATATTAAGATGAGATTTTAAGTATCAACCTAAGTCAAAACTCACAAGTCGTTTTTGTAAGGTAACACTAACTTCGCATTGATCTAGACGTCAATCAATCAATTAATATATTAAATTAATAAACCACACCTGACATTGGCAAAATCTATAAGGAAAAGGAAATCAAAGAATATATATAATAAAAAGATTTAGATTAGATAGAATACAATAGAAAATAATTATGTTCAGGATATTTTACATTAGTCGTACGTATCACTTCTATAATAAAAAGTTCAAACATAATGTGTTCACTTTTTAAAATAAAATATTTTTTTGTAAATTTATTTCAAAGTAAGAAAATTCTGTAAGCAATTAACTTCACGTATTGTAAATTTTATTTCTGCCAAAATCATCAAATCTGTTTAAGATTCCACGAACAAAAACACATACATATATTTTGTAAAATAATTAGAACAACAACCGTATATTTTGGTTCGCATTCGACTTCTTACAAACATTATACAAAAAGCTAATAAATTTAATACAAAAAATTATATATCTGAATTTATTTTTCTCTTCAAAAGAGCACATTCATAATTAAATCTCAATTTCTATCATAAGTTAACATATGGAATTCCAATTCCTGATTCTCAAAAGCGTTGCATATCAGTTTCATATTTAATTATTCACAGAATAATAAGAGCAAGTCTAATAAAGATATTTGATATTTGATAATGTACGGATGTTTGTGTGTGGAATCTCTAGTTGCGCCCATTTGTTCAATTAACACAAATAAAATGATGTACCTGACTTGTGTGCGGAGTAGCGACAACAAAACAAATAAATAAATAAGATATATATAATGTATACATAATTTATTAAACATAACAATATTCTTGACAGTAATCTTTCCTTATACAGAAAATATAATAAATTTACCTAATAATACCTGATAATGTTTTAGTGATAAAATAGCACAATCAATTAAAATAAATTGAATGCAAAAGTAGTACAATATCTTACTCCAAACTTGTCCAAGTTGAAACTAAATTTAATTGCAATTGGATTAGCGGTTCATCTGTGAAACTGTAACAGATTGACAGAGTCGCTTTTATAATATTAGTGTTGATTTTGTAGCGGAGTAATTTCATCTTTGTAGAAAGTTGTCGTCAACTTCGAGGTCTAATAACATCGAGAGGTTTTCTGTTTCCTTCATTTGTTACTAACGAATGATATCTAAAATATTCGAGTATACACATGTAAATTAAAGTTTTTTAGGTGCTATACTTTTTTTCTATTTTTCTAAATGTTTCCGACATTTCGATACTTTTACGGATAATCGCGGTTGCTGAAAATATGTTAGCGACACGTCAGGAACATGTAGAAATAAAATAATAAAAAATGTCTAGTTTACAAAAAGAAATGTTTCAATAGTTAAAACTCTTAATAATATATATTTGCGTTTAAATTTAGTATGTATATAACTTAAACGTTTTATTCGTTACTAATACTTTTATGATAGCTCGAAATTGACTGCTTTACACTTCTGCGCCCGCGCATCTGACTTGATAACTCGTTGTATAAAATACATATGTTTTCTACATATATACCTATTTTTTGTGTATATCACCTTTAAATCGGCATTAAAATACCTTTCAAGTTCATTTATTTAACCCTACTTCTCTACTGCCTTTCTCATATATACATATATTATCATTTGTTCATATTGTGATTGGGACAGTAGTCTTTATATTTTCTTGATTTACATGTCCATTGTTTCGTCCGATCGCTACTGTGTTTATAAACGGACGCTCTTTACTCCGTTCTAAACATTAATAGCACGTACTTTATACAATCTGCTGTATTTGACTAACAATCTCTTTGTACCGTTGTAGAGCGTTGCCCAAAGGTGAATGTCGGCGCGGAATTCGCTTCTTTCACCGATCGTACGATATTTATTCCCACTCCGCTCTCCGTATTGTTTTCGATGTCACTCCAACTAGTATTTGCTTATCGGATACTTCCTCTACTTGCGTTTATAGTTCGTTGAACTAATATCCGGAGAGATTTTCGTTGTTTACTAGAACTGCTTTATATTTTCTTTATATATGTATGTATATATATATATAACCATCAAATTTAACGGGTTGGGAACACACTATCTTATCGTTGTTGGCGATAAATTACATCGTATTCGATACACAATCAAAACGTGTTGAACGTAAGCATTCTATCAACAGTTGGTCTTACGAGCGCGGGCAGAACGCTACCTCTGTGAGGTTTTGATGCGTGTATTATGAAAATAAATTATTTTCCATTTAAATAAACGTTACCAGCTTCACCGGTTTATAAAAGTACAAGTGTGTTGTCATAAAACATGTGTTATACTGTGAGTTAGTCGGTGTGATGCTATTCCAATACACGACATAGAAACTGTTTCCATGTAGTTAACGATTAATATATTGCGTCCTCGAAAAATGGCATTAAAAATATAGAAAAATTGAAAATTTTTATTTCATTAATCTTATCATTGATCATTGACGTTGTAATTGGGGGTCAACTGGTTTATTCCTCGTCACATAAGTTGTTGTATTTCATTCATTCATTCACAGTCTATCAAGTGATGCAGACGTCACATGTATAATATATAGACTGTCAGCGGTTATAATGATAAAGATTGTTGTTTCATCTCCCGCTATGGGAATGTTAAAACCGATGTGTGTTGAATGTTTGTGTGTTAGTATGTGATATATGAAGGCGGTATAATGGTGGACAATGCCTCTTTCGAATATTCAGACGAGTCGAGTGGTGAGGGCAGCATCGTCAATGTAGCGAATCAGGGGTGAGAAACAGTTTATTTATGCATTTTATTAATATATTTAGATTCGTTCATATTAAGAGGTATGCTCTAATTTATATGAAATTTATATAATACTCGAGATTATATTTCAAATGCACATCTATATGTATAAATGTAGAATGATCTAAGCATCTTCTCACATGATTATTTATTGAACTTGGCATTGAGGTCCCGTATCTCGTGTCTGTATAAATATTTATGTTAGACGCAGACTTTCCCACTTGGTCGAGCATAGTTTTTTTATGATTTATTTATATTAAATATTTATAGTCCATAAAATTTTTGCGATCCACTTTATACTAGCAATATGCAAGTTTAATTTACAAAGTTTACATGTGAAATTTCAAATGTTACCAAATAATACTTAAAAGGATATAAATAATTTTTAGGTCCTTAAACTAAAAAATATTTTTATTTCTGTCTTAAGATCATGTAAGTAAACACGAATAATATATTTAAAAAAAGTAACAATTAAAATAGGGAGAAAATTTGTGACATATTTATATTCAAAAATATATTTCTTCCTTATGTATAAATGAAAATATGTTACTAATCTAAATAGGGTAATTTCTATTAGAATACTTTCCGTCAGGTCATCTCATATTTCCTTCGCCTGTTCCAATCAGATATATTCTATACAAACTTTCCAATACCCGTGACATATTATGTAGCATATGATCTTATATCTTTTCCATCTAAATGTATTGTATCATAACAGTACATAATTTTTTCTATTTGTGTCATATTAATATACAATGTAATGCGTGGGTCCCGTCATGTTTTATTTATTTGGCACATAGCCTCTGTTATGATTGCTATAAGGTTGATGTTTGCTTGGCATTTTTTAAATTTATTTTGTATATGTTTTGCATCGGGATTTACAATTCAGTATTGGGACATAAAAGCTGGAATAGCCTCCGTTTTTACACAGTTGTCCTGTTAGTGAACTATAATCAAGAGTGCTTCGTATTTTCTTTGATAGAAAATGGGTGTTTTGTTGTTTAAAAAGTATGTTACTAATTGTTTTATTTTAAAGTATAGTTCTGTTTAACTAATCTAATAAAAAAATATAACGGTAATTTTTACGTATAATATTTACCTATAGTATTTTTTATACGATAAATATCTGAGCTAAATTTCTATTTCAAAATGTTTGTAAGCGTATTGCACCATTTCTTTTCGCTGCTTTTGATTTTGTTTCAACTTTACCGTTGATCGTTTGTAAGTCACGGTATAATCGAATTGAATTATCTTTCGATGCTTGTCGGTTTGGTTCCGGATTTAGCAATGATTTTACTAAAATGTTCAGCCGATAATTTATTTTTAAAGATATTTTTATATATATTTTTTATAGTTGTAGCCCATGTGTTACTTTTGCAATCTTTGATCAATACAAAGTTATAATTGAGAACGGTAATTTGATACAATATGATTGGTCGTGTTTTTGTCTGTGAGAGAAATATGTACATATATATGGATAGATCATTAAAAAATATATATCTTCATAGATAATTTGATATCATAATTGGCTTTGATTTATCAATACCCAACCAGAAAAGATCCGGTTTGCATAATCTTGAAATGTCTGTAATGAATACATATTGAACCTACATTTCCAATTACCTATCAGAATAATCAAGATTTTAATAAAATAATATGTAAATGTGTGTTTTATCAGGAATGTAAAAGCGTTGTCGGGCTCGGCGCCGTCGATGCGTGGTTTGTCTGGTGATGAGACGACGGAAGGCAAGCAGCCCAGCAAATCTAGGCAGAAGAAGCTCATGAGGCACTTCCCTCAAGTCGGCCCCGAGGAACGGGTTCTCAACTGTGAGTATGAAAAATTGAAAAAATATATAAAAAAACATTCATTGATAAAAATAATCATAATTAAAGATTGATACAAAAAATATCGTAACTTTTTTTTTGTTTCAATTATCAATAAGTAAACATTTTCGTTAAGCTAGTCCATCTATGTAAAGTAAGTACGTTGTAAAGTAATCTTGACAGCAGTATCATCTAATTAGATGGAGAGGCAAAAATATTCGAGTCCTTTTTTTACGTTTAAATCAGGTAGTAAATGTTCTTCAAACTACCCTAATTTTTTTCGGTAAGGTAACGGCAAACGAGTCAAGTGTAGTCCAGTTTTCAAAGTTTCAAGCAAAATAATATCAAATTCTTAAATAAAAGTTAAAAAAACTTGTTATAAATTTGTTAAAACAAAAATACTTTTTTTATCGTCTGTTTAAATATTCTAATTGAAGTTCACTTTTAAGTAGGTAATTGGAATTGCAAATTTTGGTATTAGAAGTTCTAAATAAATTTCAGTACTTATACAAACTCGTAAGATACCTTTTAAAGATTAATGGGACATTAAATTGACGTCATACAAAAATTATATATTGACTTTCAAATTTCGATCGCGAGTTGGAAAATTAATTCGTATTTCATGACGTCATAACGTTTAAGTTCGTCGTTAAAAAAATTATCCACGTGTTATGAATACATTTCCCAAGTTATCCTGTTCTCGGAAATATTGATCTAAGCGATTAATAATGTTCATGGCTAACATCAATATAAACTGCGGAACGTTTTTATTTTTATTTTTACCTGTTTTTCAGCGTTAGACTTATTATAAATTTGTTTTGAATAACAGAACTATGTACTTAAAATAAATTAGTTCTTTGAATTTGTTTTGATTTTTATTTCGTAATAAATGTTTTTCAGATTACTCATGTGCATTGGTTGGAGATCTGCTTCTACAAGGACATCTGTATATAACCAAGAACTACTTCGCTTTCTATTCAAACGTATTCGGCTACGTCACCAAGGTGAGATTTTTTTCTTTTTAACATAATATGTGTTCCTTGTTCCAGCTTCCTTGTTTATAAACTGATTTTGTTTAAGAATTTTTCTAAGACCTTACACGTAATCTTTTCAACAACAACAACGGTTTCTTTTGTAATCCGATATAATTGCAAAGATTTATCCTTAATATGGTTTATGTAGAAATGAAAATACCGCAATTAATTTGAGTCAGTGATTTTAATGAGGAAAAATTTATATATATTTTGCATGTATAATGAAACTGATAAATCCGACCATTAAAAAAGCATCAATAAAATGTCTTACTGCTACCAAACTAAACATGAGTATGCACAGTAGAACAAGATAGCTAACAGATGGTAAACTCACAATTATCTAACAGAACTCCACGAAAATAACCAAATGATTGCTGACCTACATAATATGTTACAACGAGATCAAGAGATATAACTACGGTGCAATAAAAAATTACATTAAACAACCAAAGAATAACTTTCTTATAATATGATCAGATAAAATCTAACGAGGTCTTTCAAGAGCCGTAACAAACAATATTACATTTGTCACAGGCACAAGTAATTGTAACAACGTCAAATGCAACGAGTGTATGAATATTATTTTAAAATAGCAAATAGAAACATCAATATCATTAATATAAATTGTACGTTACATAATCTTTTTACGTCAATGGAAAAATATTGCTTAGATATACAATTTTTTTTGCGAATTTCGTCTTAGTTTGTTTAAACGTTATTTAAACGCGATGTTTTATACAAAATCAATTATGATTAGGAGTTAAAAGTGGGAAGTTCAAAATGATTTGGTAATCAAGGCTTAAGCAATTTTCTTTCAATTATATTTAGGGTTTACAAAACAAATGATTCAACAATCCCTTAAACCTTTAACTGTTTTATTATCAGAAAGAAACGAATTTTTTCATGGAACATTCCAGAACCATTGTAAATAGTTTATATTATATATTTTTACATAATTATTTAAAAACGATTAAATATAAAAGTAATCATTATATTCCGAAGATTCTAGTTTTTGTGTTAAATACTTTGTAACATCGACATCGTTTAACCTTGAAGTTAAACAACTATAATATCAAAAATTTATATTTTAATGTGTGTATGAGAAAACACACACACACACACACGCATACACACACACAAATACACGTAAAGCCACAATACATATTACAGTTTGTGTTAATAATACAGTTATATGATATTTTGGATTAAAAAAAATTTAGTTTAAATATATTTTAATGACAGTATTATCTATAGTTTCGTATCAGTCTACTGATTCTTTTAATTCTATCATAACAAAAGGTAATTTGCCGAATAATATACCTATTATAATGTTTACATTCAGATTATAGGACAAAAAAGTGGAAATTTTATTTACGTAAATGGAAACAAAAATATTTTGTTTCTAAAAACTTCTACAAAAATAAAAATATATTTATACACATACAGTCATACACAGCTTTTTTCTATTATTCTTTTACACATGGTACACATGCCTATCATAACACAACAGATTTTGTGTATTCTTCTAAAAGATTTATGTGTTTATAATTATATATAAATAACTCGAATCGTACAGAAAGTATGGCTTTTTTATTTGAATTACTTATATTTATTTGTATTTTTTATCTCCTAAGTATAATAAATAATCTTGACCCAAGTCCTGTATAATTTCAGTTACTAATCCCTACGTCATCAGTGCTACGTATAACGAAGGAGAAGGTAGCTCGTATAATACCTAATGCTGTTGGTGTGTGCACACGAGATGAGAGACATGTCTTCGGATCACTTCTATCTCGAGACTCGACCTACAAACTGATGATGCATGTATGGAAGTCAGCGAGAACACCTGAACTAACAGTGCCTAAACCACCGGTGAGTTTAATTTAATTATAATATCTAAATAATATTTTTTGGGGCTATATATTTATATAGTTTTGGTTATATTTCATTACATTCACCAGCAATGAATTTATTTTAAATGACATTTATTTATTTTAATATTTTTTGTACGAAATTATTTTTAAAAAAGAAACGAAATATTTTTAATGTACATGTGTATACAAAGGTCATATAGACAAATATTTTGTCATATATATTATAAGTTATTGATAAGGATAAACGCGCTAGACATATTTTTTATACAAATTTTTGGGCTTCCTCAGAATTCTAAAATAAAAAGAGACAAAAAACATGCTGTGATAAATAAAGGAATTTTTTGAAAATATCCTAAAGTACCTATATTATTTCATACAAGTATCAAGTACGCCCTACATATTGTATAAGTCTTGAACAACATTTTACTTCCATTTCTATTGATTCTACTGCATTGTATTAAGTAATAATATCATCTTGAATACGAACAACCTTGTCTTATATAAGCGAATGAAATGTATTCATAAAATGTATGAGTTAACGAATTTATTATGATCCGGTAAATTACAAGGTCGACCTGTTCTTCAAAACTAATGGCCATTGTTATTTACTACTTTGGGTTTTTTATATGAACGTACTTAAATTTTTTGTATCTTTGAATTCAAGATTAGGTCGTATTTTTAAGTATACACACACACACACACACACACATGTACATATATTAATGTGTGTATTTTTAATGACGTGTATCTAATAATATTAATATAATAATTCCAGGAACTTCGTACTTCGGAGATTGAAGCATCGGAGTACTCGCCCGATGATAGCAGTTCAGGTGGCGCTGACACAATAGACGCTCCCGACACTATGAGACCTGAACCAGACGCTATTATAGCAGCCGGTTAGTGACACAGTCTAGACTAGTCTAGTTTATACAGACTAGACAGTCTACATGACTGCTTGTACTATTACAGTCCACGTACAACTTGGTACCATCACAGTCTAAATAAGTGTTAATCGTCTCTCCTCCTTTATGTCAGTAGTATAACACAACTTAGTATTGTAATATTATAGTCTACGACCACAACTTTATAGTGTCACAGACTAAATAAGTGTTAATAATTTCGCCTCTTATATATCAGGAGTATAAAAATTAACTACACTTTAGTCATCTATTTTTATATACCTACTGTGGTACTTATTACATATATATCTTTTTTCTTCTAGCGGGTGCGGCTGTAATCCAACCCGCACTATTAACTGGTGCCGCGCCGCCTCGCCGTCCGCCGCGCTACTGGCACGCTATACTACTAGCGCTGGCCTTGCTACTGACGTGCTCGGCGTTATATTTTGCATACACGCTGTACTATGTTGATAATAGTGTAAGTATCAAATAGCTTAGTATTATTATGTATAGTGATTTTACATTTAATATTACTCTAAAATATAGTGTAACTAGCTTATCGCCCGCAGCTTCGCCCGCGTGGAGTTTGTTTATATCGCGTTTCCAAGGGAACCTTTCAAAAGTCTGGGATAAAAACTATACTATGTTCTTTCTCAAGCTCAACTCTTTATCATCATATATCCTTACCAAATTTTATTAAAATCAATTCAGTGGTTTAGACGTGAAAGCGTAACAGACAGACAGAGTTACTTTTGCATTTATAATATTAATAGGGATATAAGTTATTTTAAATTAATAATTGAATCTGATATATCTTTCAGATGAGTTTTTTCGATTTCTTAATTAAGAATCTAGGTGTAAAATAGTTTGTAGGCAATAGCATAGACAAGAATATGTTTTAAACATTGTTAGATGTTAAGACCAATAAATGATATACATACGTTCAAAGCTTCATATAAATTAAATAATTTGAGTGAACATTTAATAAAATTGTAACTGAAAAAAAATCGCATTGTTATAATGGGCCAGTCTGGAAATATAACAACTTTTTTTTTGCAAATAAAGTCAAAAGCTAATATTTGCTAGAATTTTATATTATATATTTTTTTCTATACACCAGACACTTATGAGAAACCAGTTATAAAGTTCTTATTGTTTTTCTGACGCTTTTTTATATTCCTTTAATAATTATTCTGAAAACAAAATAAACAACAATAAGGATAAAATAATTTTTCGATAACTTAAATGTTTAAAATATAGATAAATTAAAAAATATTGAAAAGAAAATCGAGAGTTTTGTTACATTGCCAATCTTAAATCAAAAATAAGCCTGAGTTAAATTATGTCGTTATATATTCTTTATATATACTACTCTTCTCTATATATATATTCTCTTCTTTATATATACTACTCTCTATATAACATCTTTGTCTATTTGTAACTCTATATAACGTCGCTATATTCTCTATATAACGTTATTCCAGGAGGACGTGTCCGGTGAGGAGCTGTACGCGGAGTTAGTCAGGTGGCGAGCGAAGTTACACGGACGAGCTGCTGGTGAACTGCACGCCTTCCTCTCCACCAACCTACTGCTGCTGGCTAAGGTGACACCTTCTTTATATACTCTCACACACACATGCACACACTCACACATTCTTGTATACGATAAACGCACCGTTCCTAAGTATATGAACATGTTTTACACACAACTGTATGTTATATACATGTTGTTATAGAAAATAGATGTTCGTAGTCCATTATATTCGTATTTCGTTATAAGTAATTAATTCTATTATTAATAAGTACGTTATTAATATATATTTGTTTGCAGGTGAGACAGTCGTTGGAGGCGTTGTCGGGAGTGATCTTGACGGACATGTCTCAAGCTAATATGGAAGTCGAGCTCGATGTACCAAACGAGACGGTCGTCAGTTAGCAAGACAGATGCTAACGAGCGGGAAATACATTACGGACCTTTGTGATCATTATTGATCATGGTTGACCATGATCGTGGTAATGTTCTTGGAAGTGGTTGGGAAGGTGATCATGTTCGTGAAAGTTGTCGTTATCGTGATCATACATGTGAAGTGATCGTAAATGACCATGATCGTGTTCGTGAATGATCATGATCATGTATGTGAAAGCGGTCGTGAATGATCGTGATCATTTTTTAGTTGAGCCACATTCGATTTAGGACCTGCTTCGCTTTCACGTCCTTTTACGTAGCGTTCTGTGATTTGTTTGGGATTTTTTTTTAAATATTCTATTAAGTATAGTTGAGTTAACTATCCAAAGATGTTCTGGTTTATGTGATTTTGTATATACGGTAACAAATTGATGCCTATAAGGCGTAGGTCATATTGAATGTGTCAAACACGTTAGGTTAAGTATGTACCAGTGTAATTTGAACCGTGGCTTGGTCGAGTTGTCTGTGGCTAGTTACCACTATTTATTCATTTTAATAATATCGGATTCATTATTATTATTCTATATACTTTTAATGCCTGATATTGTCATTTTTAACAAAAAATTAATCTATATCAAATATAATAAACTAAATAATGCTTCGCTTTTAAAAGTAATTGGAGAAGTGTAGTATGAATAAAAATGCATTTTTTATAATACAAGTGATTTTGTTTAAAAATATGAAGAGGCATTAAATAATAATTTTGAATGTGATATATAAAGCTGGTGCTAGATAATAGCGAACGACATTCCTTGAAACAGTTGAATAAATAAAAATTGATTGCTTAAAATGAAATGAAATCAATAAGACAATATTTTTGAAATGTTTGATATTAAATATAAATACATTGTAAAAACTATTTCCTCTACTCCGATGGGAGACAAATTGTTTTGCAGATTATATTAATTTTATTTTTATGGTTGATCAAATAAATATTTCTTGCCAGTACTTTAGACAGACCTTGTACTTCTGGTAGCAGTACATTCATATATTCAGTTTGTATGAGCCATTTAATATTAATGATATATTTTGGATTGCATTATTGTTAGTAAAATTGAATTACACTAAATTGCTCAACAGCATTATTTAGTATGTTAATAAGGAAATGCAATCAGAAGCTTAATATTATTTATTATTCTAGTCTTGTAGTAAAGCTCAAGTTGCATGTTTATGAATGTAAATGAACATTATAAAAACATTGATGTATTTTTCATTAATTTTCAAGATTGTTACTTTCTGTTATCTTGAATATTTCATAAAATTCTAATGTGAAGTAATTTAACATATTATTTATTTAATTTATTCTTATATATTTCTGTATAAACAAATATCTTTTCACTGCTGTTACCAGTGTGCCAAAGTATCACGAACTTGTATGGCAAAATTGTTAAAATATTTTGGGCTGTTTTCTGATAATTATTGCCAAAGACAAAACAGTAGTATATAATAAATATCGTAGGTTAGTGATTGTACAATATCCCATAGCTAGTTATCATGTAAAGTTTATAAATGCTTAAGTTGTGTCCTTATAATTTTAACAATTTTATGTAGATCTGTCTGTCGATATACAACATGTATGAGCATAGTATATTGTTTTAATGGACAATTAAACAAATGTTATGTATAAATCAAATATGGTGTCAAGAACTGTTACAAATATAGGTGATTAAAATTGTATTATAGATTGTTGGTTTTCTTTTGGATGCAGTCTTCATTTTAAACGTTATGTATTGGTGTATGGAATATTGTTAACTAAGTTGGTTCAGACGGTGTAAGTGCAATCATGAATTCGTTAATGATTTCATTTATCGAATGTTAAGGTCTTTGTTATGCGATAATTTTGTAAAATATAATTGGTATTTGTTTGTTATTTTATGTAAATAATAGATAAAGGACTTTATCGAGCATATTTACTCGTTTTATTAAATTGAAAAATAAAATAGATTAGTTAACAACACTACTAACATAACTTACCTTAAAAAGCCATATTCACTTTCTGGACAATTAAAAGATATAAATGATTTGTTTATTAATTCTAACTTAAGAAAATTAAAACCAGAAAAAAATGTTGTTTACAAAAGCAAATCAAAGGAAAGGAGTAGTCAAGAAAATAGTTTCATTAACTTCAATGTATTACACTTGTATCGAAATTCTTTTTAATTTTTCGAAATTTTTAAAATGGAAAATATTTTTAACAAATTTAATCCCTACTACATACATTATAAGGATCAAAAACTTTGCATTCAATGTGTTCATGTCCCATACAAGGTTAGGATAAACAATGAAAGAGACATTTTCTAAACAGAAACGTTTAATAGCTTCTATGAACATACTTTTAGTAATTTTATTAATAAATGCCAATCTATATAAGGGGAATACATAATGTTTATACAGAGCAACGATAATGTAACCAAAAATTTTGTTCATTTAAATACTTTTATACAGGGAATATAAGTGAAAAACATTCACAAGTAAACAATCAAAACAATTCAAATGTTAACAACACTACAGTTTAATAAATGTTTCATTTTATAAGAATACAAAATATAGTAATCATATATCAAATTGGTCACTGTATAGAGAATTTTTCAGGGAAGAGAACGTACATATATTTTTAGTACCTTTATAATTATTTCTTTTTAGACAAAGTCCTTTGTTTCTCAGCGTGTTGTACAAGTTGTTTGTCGGTAGCAAGTCCCTTTCTAGTTCTTACAGAGTCCATATAAGCCTTCGCCCTGTTAACTCCGTCCCATTTCTCTCCCCAGTGAAGATATTCTTCTTCGGTCCGCGGCCTCCAGAATGGATCAATATCGATTATCTGTATTTACAAGTATAAAGTTAGCTACGAATGGTATGTATAATAATGATTTAACTGCTGTATAAATGTGAAATAAAAAAATAATACAGCATTTACATATAAAAAAATTAAGTTATTTATTGTAAACTATATCTCACACCAATAGTTGTTCCACCTATGGCTTTTTCTATGAGCTTTCTCTTCTTTTTCTTTTTCTAATACGAATAGCTGAAGAAGCGGACTACTAAATATTTATCATTTGATATAACAGTCTATTGCGTAATATCCCAGAGATTTTATAAAAGCATAAAAGCTTTTGGACACTTTTGCCAAATTAAAAAATTAATAAGTTTAAAACTGGTAAAACAATTGAAGTTTTACGAGGGAAGGTCAAAAAGTTCGCGGAATGGAGGGGATGGAGGGGGTTGATTTACTCGTCCAGGAAGTAACTTGTTCAACACCTCATTAATAGTATATATACCAAGTTTGAACCAAATCGGGTCATAAACTTTTGAGTTATTAACCTGCAAACGAGTGAATCGGGAAGAAGTCAGTGAGTATGGAGAAAATTGAACACCGCGCCGTTATTAAGTTCCTCACCAAGCAAGGAAAATCCGCTCAGACGATTTTTGAAGAGCTGTTATCAGTTTACGCGGTCTCTGCCCCTGGTAAAACCATGGTTTACAAGTGGCATGGACTTTTTAAACAAGGGAGAGAGTCCATTGAAGATGACCCCCGCTCCGGACGACCGATTGAGGCCACCACACCGGAAATCGTCGCAAAAGTAGAAAAACTTATATTGGAAGATGCCCGGTTGAAGAAGAAACAACTTGCAGCAATGGTTGGAGTATCCGAAACCAGCATTTTAAATATCCTACATCATCATCTTGGGATGACTAAGGTCAGTGCAAGATGGGTTCCACGAATGCTCACGCCACTTCAAAAGAGCGAGCGTGTCGAGTGTTCTCGCCAGTTTTTGAAGCTCTGTGGGGAGAATAAGGATGAAGTTATGGACCGGATTGTTACTGGTGATGAAACCTGGGTTCACCACTATGAACCTGAATCGAAGCAAGAATCGATGCAGTGGCATAAAAAAGGCACAGCTCCTCCCAAGTAGTTTAAAGTGTCACAATCGGCCGGAAAGATCATGGCGACTGTCCTTTGGGATACAGAAGGTATTTTGCTGATCAATTATAAAGATCGTGTTGTGACTATAACGGGACAGTACTACGCTTCTTTATTAGATAGATTGAAAGAAGCTATGAAGGAAAAAAGAAGAGGAAAGCTGTCAAAAGGTGTGCTCCTTTTGCACGACAACGCAACAGTCCACACGTGCCATGTTGTGACGGCTGCCATTCACCGATGCGGATTCGAAAAATTACACCACCCACCATACAGTCTAGACTTAGTCCCCAGCGACTATTATTTGTTTTCAAAAATGAAAAAAAAGCTGCGTGGAAAAAAATTTGAGAAGTCAAGTCCGCAATTTCGGCCTATTTTGATAGCCAAGATAAATAATTTTTTTCGATGGTATTAATAAATTATTTGTGAGATCCGAAAAATGTATTAAGGTTAAGGGAGGTTATATTGAAAAGGAAAAATAGTTTCGTGTTAAATTTCAACCCCCTTCCCGCTCATTCCGCGAACTTATTGACCTCCCCTCGTATATGAACATGCTTGAATAATATAGCTTGTCATAATATTGTCTCACCTCCCAATGACTGAACATCATTTGTGGCGCTGCCAGCCCCGAGGTATGGGTCCTCAGTTCTATGGCGAACTTGAAGCTCTCCGCGACCGGCATCAGGGCGCGTACTCTGAACGATGCGGAACCACTCTGAAGATCACTTCCAACGATTCTTCCTCCTCGCTTACCGAGAGATGCATATAATTTTCCTGTAAACATTTTTTACATAAGTTAATATAATGGCCAAAGGATTCTTCTCACATGGTTTCTTTATCATAATATAATTGGTACTCCTATTGGAGCAAAAATTGGTATAGGCTGAATTAAGGAATTATTTTAATGAATTAAAAAAAGTCAGTTATAGTACATTTTCCTGCATGAATTTAATTTAAACAGTTTAATGATTGAAAGTTGCTACAATTAGATAGTATTTATTTTTCGAAGTTTAGCATTATCCTGGATGTACCCTATGGCAGATATCCGGTATGGATATAATCAATCACTTAGCAAAGGGTTCGAGCAAAATTTTTAAATTTTTGCATCAACTGCCCGTTAACTGTAAATCCACACGGGTATCAAATGTCGTGATCGTTTTACAAGGATACAGAAAAAGCTCTAAATAAAAAAAAATATGTTTCGCTTCGTGATGTCCATAACTTGACAAAATATTTAGTGCCCAATCGCGTAGAAAAATTTCTTGGCTTTAAACAAATTCGTCGTGCCATTTTAAGATGAAAGGAGGTCTTCCGGTCACGGGCGTGCATCCGGTATAATTTGTCACGTCCGATGAGATGCAGTGAGGCCTTCGCTTAGGACAAATATATCAATGATAAGAGAGAGCAGTGTGAAGTGGACAAGTTGTAAAACAAAGATCGCTCAGAAAGATACCAATAAAGTTCAATAGATTCATAAGTGTTTCATATTTTTAGGTATTAAAATAAGGCAATATAACAATATAATACATGTTACCTTCAAGTAACTAAAATCTAAACTCTTTACGAGATAATAATAATTGCTAGTGAAACGCACAAAGTTGTTTTTGATGTTATTGATGCGTTCTGTGATTGTTTTATGTAGAGCATAACACTGAGGTAGTATTTGTTACCTAATCATATATCTAAAAAACCAACAAGAGTTATCTTATAAGAGAAATCTGTTGCGGTAAATTAGTAAGTTCCATTCATATTATTATGAACAGTGTGAATGGCAGTAGATATGTAATATTACAATGACTGAAGCAGTTTACGCACGCATGTCTGAGTTTTCTATAAAAAGAGATTATTAGAGTTGTTCGTTATTCAAAAAAGTCTCCTTAATTTAAATGACTATCGAATAATATGTTTATGGAAACAACAAATTAAAATTTTAATGCCATGTTATTATTTTGTTATCTCTAAAAAATAAGTTTAAATCGCTGATTTAATGTTTTTAAATTTCATGAATTAAGTTTTTTATTATTATTATTAGGTAACTTAAGTAAACGTAGGCAAACTTAATCTTAATATTGGTATTTCTTATTAGTTATTAGTTTAGGGCCTAGAGTCGAATTAATACAATTATAAATGTTTAAAATTATATAATATATGAATTTTGCGATTTTTGAACACCTTTTTAATGAAAAAAGCATTTCACAATATTTTTTTTTGAAAAGTATGAATATTTTTTTTTAATTAAACATTTGATTTTTTTCAATAGATTCTATAATAATATCCAAGAAAAGAAATTTCACCATAATTCTTTCGACAGAGCCGGCTCTGATTTAGATAGTTCCTAATAAATAATAGTGACTACAAAAAAATTAAGAAAATGCATACCATTTTTACAAAATTAAACATTATGAATTAAAATATAATGTTATGAACAATAACGAAAAGATTCTTAAAAATTTCATCGAATGGTATTAAAAATAAAACTAAACATTTATTTCATCCTAAATAATCAAACGTTGCCTTTGGTTTTTTTTTCAATTAAAAGACGAGATATGTTAATTCACCTATAGCCGTGTCTGTTGTATATTTTGTCTTTTTATTTGTAGAATTGTGTAATTAGCTGGAACGACGTTGACGTTAGAAATGCTGTGTGCGATCCGAATCGGTCGGGAGCCCATTTCCTGTGGTTTCGTTTTGTAAATAATATAATTGCTTTATATAAACCAAGAGAAAGAAAAAAATACCGTTAGTATTAAGGTTGAGAAATAAAAAATATTGTTTCTATCTCGCGGTTACATAGAAAGCTTGGTATTATATTTTCATATCTGAACGAGACTATTTAACCTAAGCTAATGGTCGTAGATAGCTGGGATCGTAGTAATAAATTAGGATAAAATCGACCAATTTATTGTTATACCACTATAGAATAACTCACATATAGAAGGTTAGACTGACCTCTTAACTTTCATGACTTCTCAATTTTGTTTCGTCGTGTATTTTCCGTAAGACACTTGTGACAAATGAAAAATATATTCCATAAGTACTTATCGATATTGCGCGAGCGAATGCATAATATTTTCCGCTGTCACAAATTTTGCGTAATATTGTATTACAGAAATCCTGGATATGACGAAACATTGTATAAAAATTATGTAAGCAATTCATATAGTAACGGAAGGAGGGTTTCAATTTCGCTGATTAATTTCAACTAAAGTCATTTGCTATTACCGATTTTTAAGTACAAAGTTTAATTGTCCAATTAATTTTGATTTGGACTGCTATTGTTGCAACGAAAGGGGTTTCTGTTCTTGATATAGTTCCATCTATGATTTTGATGATACGAACTTTCAAATCGTTTCATGATGTCTGAATTAAGAATACATATTTGTTTTCGAATAATATTGCCTATATTGATAGTTTACTATGAAGATACTTTCAAAATTTAATTTTAATTGAGGATATCACAGACGTTATAAAAAACATAGTAACATATAATAATTACAACTATATAATATATATTCATGCAGTAAATTCCGCAATGTCGTGAAGTACAGGCACCGTTGCCTTGTGGCCGATATACTCGTGTATCGTGGTCTTAGAGGTATGTTGTTCCCGCGACATCCGCTTACCACCCAGGCTTGTTAAAACATAACGAAATAAAAACAAAAACATCATTCACTATATACAATAAAAAAACCGAGAACACAATTCGTTGCTATTAACGAAGCAGATTATACTTAAGATAGGAATCTTATCAAATTAAAGATTTGGTTAGAATTGTTTAAAACAAAGAACGGAACCACGTTTTTTCGAGATGATGCAAGACAGTTCTAATTGTAATAGTAACACGCACTTGTAATTGTATATCTACAATCGTCCTTAATGAATGCGACCTTCGTAGGAGTACCGATTTATTGCTGCATCATATAGTGTTGTACCGCAAACATCCGTCGCTTCAGAAAAACATCTTATAATAAGCTTACAAGCTCCGTTTGTATGTAACGGAACGGTAAATAAATGCAGCGAACAAACGATCGAGGAAATATAACACAATTTAATTGAACAAACCGTCTCTTTGATATAATTATGTTTGTATAAAATTCTAACAATATATTACATACTGCCATCATGTACTACTGCGTCCTTAACAATTTATATAAACAAATTTTCGGTAACAACCAACTGTATGAGATTAACATGGAATTTTAGCACTTCCTTAGTAGATACCAGTTCCATTGCCTATTACTATAACATTAAGAGGACCTGGAGCTTGTTTCGCCAGTCTTTGGTGTACAAAAACGAGGTCATTAGAAACTAGACTCGGTGGAATCTATCCATTTAGACTCTTATTATTTTACATATACTTAACCAACATTCTATTTAACAAGCCCTAGAAGTTAATGAAAAATATTTATGATTAAACTGCGGGAGAAGTTAATTAATTAAAAAAGATTTAAAAATGAATTTCTATGGATTCTACAAAAGCATTTCCGAAGTACTATTCTACAGAACTCTTATCTTAAAATATTTAGTATTAAATTTATTCTAAAGATATTACTTGAGACGTGTTATTATGGAATATCCTCAAGATCCGATCGGATTTTGTTTTTATGTTATTCGTTATCGTGACGGGAAACGGTCGACGGGAAGGGAGAAAAACGTAATGACCGACTTTTTACTGTCGTCTTGCCGGTGACAAATTGCACACCGCAATACAAGTTGGTATCGACACAGCAGATGATTTGACAGAAAGAAACCATTTTGATATCATATATCTAAACACGAGTATATATTTGGAAAAAAACTAACAATTAATTTGTTATATAGACCTTTTTTTTGATTTTATAACAAATTATTTTCAATTGCGCTGAAAAAACAATATTACGTTTAACTTAATACCCTTATATGTGTATGTATATCGAACTATTCAAACCATCATGACATTGCAAGTACAGTAAGGTCATACTGTCGACTGTTACACAGGATTGAAAATAGAAAATCGTGGGTATGTGGATAACTAACAACATTAAATAGGTAATGATGTAAAGTAATTGCACTATTTATTAAAATTTATCAATGTATTAATAGTATTTGATTGTCGTGCAGTTGTATTCGTTTGATGAGATGGTGATTTTATTCTATTTTGGGGTTATCAATGGCGCCTTATAGAGGTTACACGTGGGAGATACATCCACGTGGACTTATGGATACAGCTAAAATAGCACTGATTGTGACTTTAACATTGGAATTAGGAGTTATTGTTGCTTGAATTTTTATAAGTGACGGTTGAATGTAAAATAGAACCATTAATTGAATAATTATATTAATGAAGTAAAAATAGCTGCATATTTCTTTGATACATTACGACTAATAACTTTGTAATTTAAGTGGATCGATGGAAGAACTTTTCTCTTCGCAAAATCTACTAAGCGGTTTATTTAAAAAAATGTAGTCTGAATCTAAAAAAAAGCAATTCTAATTTCTGAATATTTTTTTGATCTAGTCATAACTTACTATATGGTGAATAAAGATAAGGAAAATAGCTAATTATTTAAATAGAAAATATTTAACAATAAAAATTCCTTGTACACTCCACTTCAACGTTTAAAATTATTTTCACATCAACACCATGCTATTAGAATAAATGAATAATGGGACGAATTTGTTGGATTATCGATGAGGTCGACGCAGACTTCATACATTACAGGAAAATAATTTCTGTATTATACACTAATACGGTATTCTTTTAACTTAAAATTTAATTAACAAAATAGAAATAAGCTTTCAGAAGATCTAACTCATGCAAGAAGCTAATTGAAAATAGCTATGCTTTTGATAATGAATATTGTATAGTAATTTCAATAAATTGTAAAGAAAAAAAAATTTTTTTTTAGGAAATTATTTGTGATAACATTTTAATTTGCGCTTTAATGTTTCGTTACATACGACTTATGACCGTCTTGACTTAGGATTGTGATTTTTACACGTGGAGCTCACATGGAATACTTAAGGATCATACGGACCTTTTATTTTATCATATATATTCTTGGTTTCCGCATATTTCTATGGGAAAAAAATACTTCTTTATTACTTATTCATTTTAATAATCATTTATGTTTACGGTTGTATATAAATTTAAAAAATATTACAAAAAAATAATTGAACCATTATAAGGATATCAAATAAAAATAATTTAGACGTCTCAAATTAAACTAAATCTTCAATACATAATAATAAAAATAACGATCGTTCCATTTTATTCTCTCACTATTAATGTCCTTATGAATTATGTAAGTTTAAATTTGAAAGAGAAAAAATAATTTTAGTAACTGATGAACGTTAAACATAAAAAGTTATGTTGTTGTAATTAGTGCCCATAAAAGGGATGTATCAACGGCACATTTAGATGATCAAAAAAATTTTATTATTGTAAAAATTTTTTGTCATATTAAGAATTTCTTTTGGAATTAATCGTCGTTTTCGAGAATCCTTATATCACTTTTTTATGATTTAATCACATTTCAAAGGATTTTAAAAATTAATTGACGGTAATAGGTAATTACGTATTTGAAGGGCCGAGATTTATGAAACAATTTCGAAACTGCTGCATTTTTTAAATATATGTAATATCACCGAAAAGTTTACCTAGTGTTTAACAATTTTATACTAAAGACTATAGGTACAAAAATATTTAAGACGTTTCACAAAGTATTTCTTAAAGTTTTTATGTCTATCTAAATTAATCTCTTAAAAGCCAATAGAATAGATGGTTTCAACTAACGGATGATTCTCCATTCATTAAATTTATGCCAAAGTATATTAAATAAATAATTAACAGGATTTTATACAAAATTATTATAACGAAAACATATTTTATCTCTACGTTTTTTAAATATAATAATAATAGCAAGAACCATTCATTTATGGAGAACCATTTCATAAAGTATTTCAAAACAAACGATAATCCCAAATCTTAAAACAAGACATGAACAATAAACCTTTTATCAGCTGGACGTGTTAAGGTGGTACATTAAATACGACCGGATACATCACTTCTAAGTAAAGAACAAAACAATCACTAAGGGATGGACAATGGATACGCGTGCCTATACTCTATGAGGTGCAAAAAATGATGGCCACTTGAGTTTCGAGTGGCCATTGTTAGCATGGCATGGGAAATTTCGAGTAGATCTCAACTCAGCTATCGGTATTTGACTGACGTGTGCTGATATGCAGTTAAGGAATATATAGGTACTTTAAAGCATCAGATACTAAACCTCCTCTGAATTTGATTTTTTTTAATAAAGTAAAATGTTTGTATAAATCATTATTTACACATTTTCCTCTTTCATTTAAATTTTTTGTCACGTTATGTAAAGATGGAATAAAAGTAAGCTTTTACATATAAATAACACAGTTAGCATATAAAAAATAGCTTCTCAGAAAAAAGAGAAATAAAACTAGCAGATACATTCAATGTCAAAAAGAGTTTTAAGTTTTTTAAAACAAGAGGCCAACTAAATAGAAATAATCGGATTATATCGAAAACTTAGAATAATAAAAAGAATAGCATTAAGAATTCTCACAAAATTCGAATCTGATTAAAAAAAAATACCATCGTGAGAAAAAAAACTTGTAACCACGTGCCACCACACTTACATTCATATAAAATATACATATATACATAGTACTATGGCGACTGTCCATTCATTCATAAGAAGCAGTTCATTGATGTGAGAGGACAGTGAATGGGAGCGAGAGAGACGGAAGATAACTTAAGGTACCATTACATTGACAATTTCCAATTCCAGTTAACGGCTCGCCTTGAAATACGCTCGGAAACAATAACTGGAACTGTTTGCTGTTCGTTACGAAGAATTATTGTAAGACCATTGTCTTTCGAGTGGGGTTGTAAAATTGTTTTTGAAGTTGAATGGAGTATCTGATTGTATCCGCTGATCCGTAGTATTATGACCAGAAAAAATATAACAATTAACTATTCAAATCCTTTGATAGTAGAATAAGATGGCAGAAATGTTTTAGTATTTACTAGGTAGTATATCGAGAGCATATTATATAACTTAGACCTACTTAATTTTAGCTTAACGTCGATGTGAACGTGTCTTTAGAGTCGAGCAACAAGATTGTGTAAAAAAAACATCGTCGGTAGGAAGTCAACCCGAGCGCGACCCAACATTCTTGATACGTGGAAGATTCCATAAACATATAATACCTAATACACATTGTAATGGTCATTCGTTTATAAGATAACAAACGAAAAACATAAAAATTATAACATATTATTATCGATTTAGTAATAAATCCAGAACAATTTTTTTTTTTCCTTATATAATATCATTTTCAAACTTAAGCCTACTTATGAATGTAATGAATTGTACGTATAATCTTGACGCTTATCATGAACAAGCTTAATCTGTAAGTACCAAGGAGCGTCGTTCGCTATAGGAGGTTGTTTTACCGGGCGCGTAGGCTAAGTGGTACCTGCCTCGGCGCGCCGGCTCAGTTCAAGCCCGACCCGCAATCAACTCGCCCGAACCGTTCAGTGACAGTGAACATGCAAGTGTTAGCCACTCTTCTGGTTGCGTGCGTGTTGGCCAGCGTCCGTGCTGTTATACGTACACCCCTGGAAGCCTTCCGGCCTTCCGGAGAGATACATATACGAAGACCGGACAAACTTCCACTCCTGCCCCACAGACGGACCCAACAGAAGAACGGTCTAAAGATTCTCTACCAAACTGGAGTAAGTCCTCTTCTTTTTCGTTTGTATGGAATGGCCATAGTAATTGCTTAATGTTTATCAACTTGAATTGTATATCGTCTTGTCCCAATTATGTTTAATATTTCAATTACGAAATCGTTATTAATAAACGTAATATAGTGTTATTGGGTCCATTATTTCGAATTGAACAGTAATAACTAAATAGCTTATTCAAGTTTGCAATTCACGTTATAAAGTATTGTTTGTTATTTAAACGATTTGCGTTAAAATCGCCGGCAAAACTTGTCAGTTTACCCGACAACGGTTTAATGAATACATTTATCATATTATAAGAAACCGTTGACACTTTTGTGGTTTTTTGAATTGGCATAAGCAGATCTAAAACAACAAATGATAGAATGAGTTCATATGTATAACTAAAAATTCTTAATTTATCTGGATGTATTGGCGCGAAAGCTGTTATTATATCGAGATCAGAGAAATAAATGAATACATATGTTAATTATGTAATTCCTTTAATTAACCTTTGCGTACGTGCGGTTCTACATTATATAATATATAAAGTAACTTAGCTATGTGTAAGACGAGCCACAAATGCAGACTATTGGAGTCGAACAATGATCTTGAAACAGCTATACATGTCATGTTAATTAATGATTAGAACCATTATAACTTTAATCATATATAAGAAGAATGTATTGAATATCTATCAATACTTTTTTGGCGCTGTAGTCCTATTATGATTTTTTAACATTTCAAAATGTTTTCCACGAAAATATTAAGAAAGGTTTATAGACGCGAAGCTTTTTCATTACACATACCACATTTATTAGTGAACAAAATTACTGAGAACACATTCTTAACTAAACTCTAGGAACTCGTTCGATTGTGTAGAAAATATTTTAAATATCCGAGCCTTTTCCTGGAGTATCAGGTACCATCGTTTTATATCTACAAAACGTACACACATTAGTCACATGCACGAGTGATTCTATGAAAGGAGCCCAACAATTAGATCAATTAAGACAAAAAAAAATCTACCATATATCAGATGTGACTAACAAATTAAAGAGGAAATCGAGTTTATAATATTTAATACTACAATTATTGTTGTTCATACGTAATAAGTTCAACATATTATATTAGCTAACAATTAAATAATATATATCGATACAATTAAAATCTAAACCATTGTATAGTGATATGATATTCAAAAGTTACAAGTCACGGATGTCAATTTTTGTAAGTAATATTTTAAAAACAAAGTTAATCATATTATTATGCCTAATTCTAAAGTCGATCCATGAAGATAATCGCTCCAACCTAGCCTCGATATAATGGAAGCTATTATAGCATCAAGTGTCGATATTTTGATATATAAAAATGATCTGTATGACATATGAAATAAAAGTGGAAATGTTTTAATATTTTGTATGTTATTAAATGCTGTATTGTAATAGACAGCTGGTGTACGCCCGTGTAGGAGAATGCGTAACACTGGTAGTCGCAGGTGTTCATTCACTCATTCTTATCTTGACAGTTTTGATGACTTACGACCGAGGCTTCCCGGCCAGTGAATACTATTTGGTTAAAAATATATCTTTTAATGTATGATTGGATTTAAACACATTCGTAACGGTAACCGTTTTAGTGTAGCGGAATGGAATTTTATAGTTTGTTATATTCTTTTTTTTATATACGATCATAAAATATAAGTTACGCTTGTAATGATAATTCAATTGGATTTAACATAAACATATATAGATGTATAATATATTTTATAGTTTAAAATGTTAACAATGGATACACAAAAAGGCTTGTTTCAAGTGGCGGCAGGGATTGTTACAAAAAGGAAAGAAGAACGAAAGAACCGACAAATAAACAAAAGAAATTCTGTGAATGACATAACCGCAGGAGGGTGCTGGTCAATGATCACCTGCTTCTTCATAAAGAACTCTTTTCATACCAGACACAATTCACGATTAAATTGTCAAGTCAGTTGTCACTTAAAATAAAGTCAACACAAGCGCAGTACGATAGTATCGTTATTGAGAAATATTTTGAATTATTTCTTTTGTAATACAAAAGTTAAGATAATTTAATATTTATATCTTTAATCAAAAGTGCAGTCTTAAAAATACTCAATGCCACCTTATTCTCGATTATTCAATAAAATAATATGAGCAGAAATCTATATCACAAATCACAATAAATTTGTATAATTAATGTATATTTTATATTTAATTCACACGAGAAAGAGAACGGATGAAATCATTAAAATTAGAACCCAACTCAATGTCACTACACGCCTCAATAGAATAATGGCTATGCAATTTCACTATCATAATATATTAGACTATTGCCGTTGCGATTTAAGCCCTAGAAAAAATTAGCACAGATTCAGTATAACTCAAATTTTAACGCATTATTTCTATACGAATTTGCTAATAATAATAAAGCGTAAATAAATAATTATATATTGTAATATGATTGGTGTTTTCGAATTAAAATGAATTATAAAACATACTTATTACATTAGACAAACTGTCAAGTCAACGGATATTGGAAAGGATCGATTTGGTAAATTCATCAATCATTTTAACGTAATAGGTTTTGATAGGGTGTGGACTCACGAAATACCTATGATAGGAGCATAATATGTTTTATAAACAAGATTTAATATCTAAAAAATCAACGACAGTTTCTATCTTTTAAATCAATCGTATTATTTCTGTAAATAAAAAACTTTTATCGGTAAAAGGTACCTATATCAAAATTAATAGCATTGTAATATTATACGTAATGTATTTTAACGAATAATTTTCCTTAGCATTCAATTTATCAAACTTCTTAACACGAGTTAATAATTCCACTTGTAATAAAAAAATAATTTTAAACAAGTTGTACCTAATAGTGAAAAATGTCAACTCTTTTTTTTTCATTCTATATTATGTCTAATTATTATATTTTTTGAATCAAAATTTAACAAATGCTTTGTGATAAATAAATTTAATACCGAGTCAGTTTAAATGAAGAGTCAATGTGGATAAAAACCCATAAAAATACATAGTATTTCTAATTCTAAAATAGTCATTTCAATTTTTCACCCGCCATATAATATATATCCGATAGGAAGGCAATAAACGAAGCGGACGTTGAAATAGATAACAATTCGGGGTTTCAAAAAGCAACTATATATACAATCCTAACATTATTATACTTGTAACTTGAGAAGTCTTTTTTAGGACTATGTTTTTATTTCATAAGACTATATGAATTAACAAATGTATTATCTGATTAACATTTCTAAAACCTAAAATACCCATTGAAAGCTGACTCATCATATAGAAGCAATCAAATCGCTATGTAATAAGCTGATTAAGGCTTTTTCCGCGGGTCGTATCGGACAAATAGCGTGACTGGCACGAGTGAATGTAAAAAGTGACCTCGGGATGGCATCGAGTTAAAAACGTCGTTGGTGAAGGAGGCACCAGTGCTCGGAATGCTGTTCGAATTCAAGCATAGATAAAGATTACTGTTTGGAAAAACACATTTAAAATTACTGACCGCTAAATAGTACAATACAATATTACGTAATTAATGTTAATAAAAATAAATTCTGTATATAGATCTAGCTTCATACAACGGATGAGTCGTAAAAGTAAAAAAAGAATGAAATATAGATAAATAACTCAAAAGAGGTACAAAAGAGTAAGATATAAAAAACATCCCAATAAGACCAACACTCAAAACAGCACCTGCGTTACGCGACCAAAAAGAAAGAAAAAAAAAACTTGAATACGATGCTTGTTTTATTGCTTTATTTTTAACAAACGACCCAAAACTAAATATTTATTGACATAGTTATTTTGTATTTCGAATAGATTTTATTTTTATGTATTAAGATGTTTTAGCGATTTGATTAAAGTTTTATTAAGACGACATCGTGCAAGACTTATACTTGAAGACATGACTGACAATTCTATAGCGGTGGACATCTACCATACATTGAAGATCCCCTTTAGATCATAAGCTGGGGGCATCTTCAATAGGACACGTGCGTTTTGAATTACTCCGGATACCGACACAATGAAAAAACATACTGTTATATGAGAACCGCTTTCATATTAAAATACATGAATACAATATTATGCATAAAATTGATGAAAATAAATAAGATGATAAGATATTTAAGATATTCACATTTTATTATAATTGCATATTCGTCACAAGATTTTATACGACGCCATCTAAGCAAGAAACAAGTATTGTTAGTAAAGGTTTGGATTTCAAGTCGTTGAAGTCTTTTAAAGCAACACTTACAGTACAGAAATATGTTATAAAAATGTTTTCTAAATGCAGATGAGGATATTAGAAACTTCTAACAAAGGCATATTGAAGTATAGATTCATAAATTATGGGAAATTTTATATTATTTTAATGAAAATATATTATATGAGTATTATCGACTTAATTCCAGCAAATGTAATAAAACTACCAAAAGAATTGATAATTAAAATTCGTTAATAATATATTTCAACCTAGATCATATATGTATTATATTACAAACTGTAAATATCTAATTTTGAATGTAAATATTCAACCACAGTAATAACATTAACCAGAACAAACCGAGATACGTCAATGATTTGATAATATTAAATTAATTCATATGATGAAGCTCCCGTCAAAATTCGCACTAATAAGTCTTAAGTGAAGGGCAATTTCCTTTGAATTAATAATCGTCTTCCTCACAAATTAAATCCACCGTACAAGAGGATGTGAACTAATTTAAAAAACACAAGAGGTACACGTTCGCGAGACGGATGTTGAAACGCCGAAAGCTCTGAACGCCGGCTAATTACACTTGTAATAAATAATATTTGGCTCCCGGCAATAAGCTATTACGCATTAGTAATTTGTTTTTGGCTACCTGTGTTCCACAGCGGGCCTGACTTATGTATATACACTTCATGCGAAATTGGCCTCTACGTACAATATATTATGCTCGTAATAATCTTCTATTTTTAGGTCCGCTGTCCATCGCTTAAGGCTGTATCGTATCAGTATTATAATTAACCGAGACCGAATTGATCGTACCAATTTATAAGGATAGCGTTTATGAGTTATTATAAACCCTTTTCAATCGTATATGTAGATGCAAATTAAGTTCAAGGAAACGAAGGACGCAAGCGACATTTATAAGGATGCAATTTGAATATTGTTGGATCTTTTAGCTAGAAATCCGATTAATGTATGTAGTGTAGTGTAGTGTGTTCTGACAAACAGAAAAATGATACCGGCTAGGTTTTATAATACGTATTGTCTTGGGCATAATGATATTATATTACAGTTAGGAGGGTTTGTTTGTGTTTTGCAACATAGGTTTTAAATCTATTTTTGTCACTAATATTTGGAATGAAATATTCTGTCTATTTCGTCAGTGTTCTTAAATAACAAATACTTAAAAGAAATAGTATAGGCGTGTGCCCACATAGGGTTAGGCGTACTTGAAAGGTTGTGGAAGGTCGTTCGGGCACAGATTAGAGTGGGCGCGGCACGCCACCTGTTCACACCGGATACCTCGGTCCCCGAACCCCCCACTGCCTTCAAGCGAAAACACGACCATCTTCCGACAAACACCATGTAAAATAGTTTCTATACCATAACGAGAAAGTATAATTTCAATTGCTGCCAGACAGGATCATGTCAGCATTTTCGACTCCACCATTTTGTGCGACGATTTATCCAATAATTGTATATTGGGATACAAAGAAAAAATGAACCAAAAACGAACGCAAGACCGTCAGTCAAGCTTTAGACATTCGAAAAAATTACATCCGATGAGTGATACCACAGAATAATTGGTTAATCTCGTGAACGTCGTTATCTCGACTTATGCAAAGGGGCAAATTAACCACGCGATAGTTAGAAATGTGTCTCGTGTTCCGTTACAATCGTTAGTTTGATTTATACTAAACGATTCTGTTCAGATAATACCTAACATCTTTTTATATCTTTTTATCACTCGATTGAACGGTTATTAGCATTTCTTATTTGTATCCAGAAAGGTGTGCAGATGTTATCTTTTCATTATTATTACTCGTAATGTATTCCAAACACGTGTCAAAATTGCAACAATGGCACAATCGTTAAAGTTTGATCACATTAAAAATTCCGTGATGCTCAAGCAAAAAGTTATTTTCTTAGTGCGAGCATTAGCATGCAAGCCGAATTCGGGAGTCCGTTAAAAAAAATACAAAGTAAGTCAACAACCCATACATTGTGTATAGTCCATATGAGATTTTTTGTTTGCTTCACAAAAGGGCTATATCCGGCTTTTGAAAGATCCGTCCGAGGCCGTTTCCGCGAAATTCATCGCAATACACAAGAAACGGGAAGTCTATCCGGAACAACCAATGTTTTTCACGCCTTTTATTTTATTAGGAATATAGAGGTATCTAATTTTGTTTATAAAAAAAATGTGTACAATTTTTATATGTAAAATACCAGTTTTTGTTGTATTTGAACAAAAGAAATAATAATAATATCAAGAGATTATTTTCTCATTTAAGTGTTTTTTTCGTTTTAAAATATAAAAATCGTATCTAAGAATTTATATAATTGAAGGGAATGTCCGGTAGAAAAAGCACATTGGGCAAAAAAAAAAGTATTCTCACAGCCTACAGGTTGCCGAATGGCATGTCTTCCGGTCGGAAGTAAGCCTCAGACCGATGGACCTTCGCCACAAAAAGTGAATGGATTTGAAACGCACATGTCCCTTCATTGTTAAATCCAACGAATCGTTATGATTAACATCTTTCGGACGTCGTTATAATGATCTCTCGTAATTCACTCCTGTTTTCTTCATTCACTAAGGGCGGCAGGTGCGAAATATAGTCAAACACATTTCGAATTTCCCACGCATAGTTCAAAGATATTTATTGTATAAGACATTTGGACGGAGCATGCTAAAACTTTAATGTCCTGATGATTTACGAATCTTTCAATGCAAAGAAGTGATTGATGCGTGCTGACTTTAAAAATAGAAACTAATTACATATGCAAGCCTACATTGGGAAGTTTCACGTACAAATATTGTGCATTGTTTTACAACACGATAGCGACGTGTCAAATACAAAGATGTTATATCAGACGATGTTATCGTTGCATAAACATATGTCAATATACAATAAAAGACTTTCAGATACAAGCTTTTGTAGTATTTATATTTCTAGTGTCTTTCACATTAAGCTTTTTCTAATGTTAGGGATATACACATTAAAAAGTTGTAATTCATTACAGTTAAAGCATTGTTTTTAAAGCATACTTTTTTTTTATTAAAGGTCTCTGAGGATGATCTACCAGATTGCAGGCCAAGACAAGTGTGCAGCAAAGTGGATCTCTACGATCCAGCGCAGCCCTGGATTGAAAGGAAGTGTCGCTGCTTGGGACATAGGCCTTGTTCTAGGTAAGCACTTGGTTTTAATTCATTTAACAAATACATTTATTTACGATAGCAGAAGATTTTAGAAAAGCTAATAATGCATATAGATTACTTAATTTAAATGTATTTTTGTTGTTATTAAATAAAATTCAAACATATATATTTAAGGTGGGATGGATAAATTATCTTATAAGGGTCTACCTACTTCATTGCATAGTAATGGAAGGTGTTGAAATAAATAAAAACCTACGCTAGATACTTCGCAGAGCAAAAGTTACGAAACGAACTGTTGAGGCCTTATTCCGAAGGTTACTTGTCATAAGGTTAATTCTATGGAAAAAAGGTTTACAAACGTGGGCAGATCATCCTTAGGAAGGCTCCTACAATCACGTGGGCAGATAACGGTGTCACATTAAAATACTTTGTTTAGTTCTTTGATTTGCATTAACCGGTATATATTCTTGAATATACTATGGACAAGCTCTATTATGATATCTTGCCTACACATTTATCTGGATACTTCTCTATGTAAACGATCTTTGGTAGTGGTTTTAAAATATATGTATATTATATTACGTTTTCTTATAATAGATGAACTAGTACAGAAGTTAATGCTCTCAAACCTTTTTTGTATACTTAAGTATAAAAATAATAAGTTAGAATGGTGTTTTTGTTTATAGTACATAAGTAAAGAAACGTACACTCGATATATTTTGTATGTACCTAAGGTTAAAGAATTTACCGTCTGTTACAGTGAGCTCTCCGATGACGACAACCATACACTGGCAGATAAGACAACCCTGTATAAGACATGCGAGCCAGTGAAGCGGCTGCCAAAATGCCGTTACTTCAAGGACGCAGCGTGGATTATATATTCTTTCCCTGATAGCAACGCTACGCAACAAATTGTTAACTGCCACTGTCCGAAGCAGTCCATGACGTACCTACTGAAGAAACTGCCGTACACGACACCTAGCGGAGAACAAGGAAATCAGTATCAGTTCGCGTGTTCACCGCAAAGCGTGAGTAGTCTTCTTATTTAGTTCCATCTTTTGCTCACAGATGTCGCACATACCTACACATGTCGCGTCTGGAAATTATAACTTTGAAATAATAATGTTTTTCTCTTTTATTTCCAGAGGTTACGATGCTCTCGAAAAGAACCATGCAAATTGTTCAGTGCTCGGCGTCGTCATGAACAAATAGACGAGGTGAACGCCAGCACTATCTGCCAATGTCCTAAAGATCATACGTGCCCTAAACACCACACTGAACCTGGGGTACTACCAGGGGTGACGTACATCGCTGAAGATATTCGCACATACCATGGCTACTGTATGCCAGAACCTCCCCCTGATACGTACAGATTTGTAGGAGACAAAGACTGAAAATTATTAACTATATGTGAAGGCTTATTGTACGTAGAGTACATGAACTTGAAAATTAGGCAGCTTTTATGATTTGCTCATTACCTGTTTAGTACAAAAAATTAATAACTATACTAGGGCCTCCAAAATAACCTGCAAATATTAAGAACAACGATTACGTGCTTTAAGTAGTAGTAGTAGTTGCTAAGTGCTTACTGAATATTACTGGGAAGACTTTTACACAATTTTAGGTTTGAACATTCCCTTTTTATTTTATTCGAGTTAAGACTTTTATGCCAATATCGTATATATTTAAGTAATTTATTACCAGATTGAGGAGTGTCGATCTTGTATATACTTGCAACGTGTAGCTTGCTATTACGTATTGTTTCTGTTATATTTGTAAATAATATTAGTGTAAGCATGATTCCAATGGTTTAGTTTAAATTATTTTTCATATTTTAATTATTTACTTGCCATACTTACGTAGTTGTTGCGTTACATTCAGTCATTATAATTGACTTGAGAGTTTGTTCCGAGTCTTCCATACAGTCACGGAGACATTTTATGTTCTTTGTTTTGTTTGTGTTTATGATTGTCTATTTGTTATGCGATAACGGATCTGTAGCCATATTTTGTTTTAGTTATTATGTTTAAGTTATTCATAACTTCCATTGATATTTTATCGACTTTTAAACTAAATAAAAGTTCAAAATATGGCAACATAAATAGTGATTTTTATGTGAGACACTAAGTAGAAGTCATATGTATGTATGTAAATATGAAATATGTTGATATTTGTAAAATCATACCGATATGACGGTAAGTCTTCCTTATTTGTTTCATGTATAGTAGATAAGTTAAATTATTGACAGAAAAATGAATAAATGTTTAAAAATTAAGATTTAGCGTTTATTTTAATAAATTTATTTACAATTTTTTTAAAACATACAAAACATAAAAAAACCTAGATAAATTTTGAAATAACTAATAAAATGAATTCAATTGAAAAAAATACTAACATTTTGTGTAATAAACATATTAATATTTGGACACTTATAAAATCTTCAAATAACAGTTATTAAAATTTAGAAGTTTAGCGAATTTACCATAACTAACGCAAGCTCCCAAAAGTTTTTTGCTCTGAGAAAAATTATACAAGTTTACTAGCTGAAAAATACCGTTTAACATATTATAACGTTTTACTTTGAATATTCATGTTAATTATATGAGTAGATTTTAATTAATAGGCAATGTCATTGAAAAAAGTGTTTATTGTAAATAATTTTAATTAGATTTCTGACACACCTATTTTTTGTCATGAAATGTATTCGATTCAACATAGGTTTTTGGCTTAGGCTTTTACCAAAGATAAAATATGTACAATAATCTTGTTTAGGTTTTGTAAGTATACTTTTCATGATACATATATGATATTTTGAAATAAGTCGGATTCGCAGAACAGGGTTTCACATAAATTTCTCGGTTATCACGGACGTTTTCATACCCGAATAACTGAATGAAAGAAAATAGTTTTGTTAAACTCCCACGGGCACAAAGGTATGAATAAATCTTTGTAAACAGAGAACAGAGGTTTAGGGTCATAAACAACGAAGCTTCTCGAATTGCATTCCGATTCCCATAGGAAAGGTAACGCGGACAGTAATGTACGACTGACCGCAGTCTTGAGGTTTCGTTTGATATTTTCAATAGGAATGTAGATCAATGGAATATTGAAATCTTTGAGGTTATTATTTATATAATATGCGTAAATTAGCTAGCTTTTGATTGCTTCAAAAAAACCGTAATTTCATTAAATGAGATTTAAAATGGAGACGTCAAACGGAGTGCGTAAACAATGTTTTTATATACAGAACAAAACTTCCAGAAGCATATTCTTCTTAATAACAAATTATTACTTATATACTCTAGAACAATGAAAAGTCTTCGCAATTATAAGCAAATTTTTAAAAGCATTTTCACAAACGGAATCAATTATAGCGTGTTAGAGGAGAACCAAGTTACGCGGTGTAGACCGTGTCGGATCACTAATAACGTAACAAACACCATAAAAAAACTATTCTGTTCCCGTTAATTCCAGATAATGAGTCATAATCATTGCGAACATGAAAATACGTACTCGAATTAAATACACGTTTATGCATAGTTTGTATGAAAAACTAGTAAAACAAGATTGATTATAATCTGAGACTAATAACTTATAAATGGTTTAATAGAAGCTAGCTGTCTTGTATGTGACAATAGTGGCAACAGTTAATAATTCTTTCCTCGTTAAATATACTAAAGTAATTAAAATATTTTACATGATAGCTTTTTCTTTCGTTTACTAGTCATGATGACATATTGGCTCGCTAGGTGCTAGTTCTGGTATGATGATGTTATAGACATTAATCTAGTTCATTTGTGTGCTTGTCACCTTTCAGATGACTGAATGATCTTGGTACCGGTATATGCATTATAATAATTTAGTTTCTAATAGCATTTTAGTACCGTTCTTATATTTTATTCTGAAAAATTCAGAAGATTATCTGAATAACAATCAAAGAGTCTTATAGTCTTAAATAATATTTTATAACTTTATTATTACTATAAAATGTTTAGTTAAAAATCTTTTTGGGAATGTTTTTATTATATTAATTAATATTCTGTTCGTGGCTACACTTTACATTTAAACTTTAAAACAATCCTAACTTCGACAATTAAAACTTCGACATTATTACAATATTGTTGTTTTATAAATTTTATTTTTCTTAATTGATAAAAGCAAATCCTTTAAGTATACTTTTTTGATAATTAAAACTACATTATTTGATTAATCAAAGTTTCGAGAAGAAAATGAAATGATTTAAATTTTAAGGTAGTATTAATAAACATATATTGAATTGGAAGTTTTTTAAGCAATTCTGTCACTTTCTCTTTGCCTTTGTTTTAAGTGGCACTTTGGTATTGACTTCAATGGACGTTATAACAACCAGTACAGTTAGAACAACACGACTGTTGAATTAAACAGTAATCTTTATTTCAATATTTCGTGATTTTCTTACAAAGTGGACAGCTGTATTTTAATATTAAGTAAATTTAAACTCTATAACAATGCCATAGAATATATAATTGAATTATAATTAGATGAGACGTGATCCGTGGAGAGCTATGATACCAGGCAGATGCTTTTTAATAAATAATTATTACCGAGGCAATTACCTTGATATGGATGCATCTAGTCGATAAGCTTATTAAGAACTTTTATTCTGTTTTGCATTTTAAAAGGATCTTAATATTGAACCTAGCCATATCTGACGGGATATGATAATTATTAAAATGATTTGCGAATGGATCAGAGCGAAAATAAATTGAAATTTAGTGGAGAGTATGATTTGTCAAGATCAAACTTTTATTACTATAATTATGTATTGAATAAGTATTATTATTTTAGAGACCATATGAAAATGCAAATTGGCGATAAATTTATGCATACAGATTAAACTATTAAATTTAATTATTTTATTTAACAGACGTTTTCGTTACAGAATTAACTGTTTATTTTTTGATGACCATATTTAATTACTATAAAACAGTAATAAAAATATAAAAATATAAACTAAAGAGGTAGCCCAATGCGATTTATTTGTAGGAATAAAGGAAATGTTTTACATACTGCATGCACTACACATATTTACACATGCCATTGCATACACATTAAGCTGAGAGCATAAAAAATAGTATATTATATTAAAAAGCAAGAATGATTCTAAGGGAAAACAAAAAGTTATTTTATACGAGGGAGGACGGGAGCTTAACCTAGTCTACCGTAACGAAACAAGTTACTAAATCGTTTTAAATAATAGTTAATAGGACAAAATCCACGAGGAAATAATTTATTTACTATCCATCAAACGACACATTTAGAAGCACATATAATTAGCCGCATATTTAAATTATAATCTCGTAATATCTCAATCTTATCATAATAACGATAAAACGATAGACAATTTATCTCAGAATTATAGGTTAATATAAAGGTTTTGAGGTAAATATCACATAGCGTTGCAGAAATGTGAAAGCCGAGAGGAACAAAGTTGCATATCTTTTTAGTTCGCGATGATTGTGGTTTTTGCAGAATAATCTAATGAATGACTAATGACAGGACCACCTTGGAATCAATTAAGTAACTGTTACATTATAGGAATTGAGTTATAATGTACATGAAGATAACTTAATGGAAGAATGTTTTGTTTACTATTATATTTCGCACTATAAAAATGTCAATTCCATCACGGCAATGAATTAAATGTCTATCTAAATATTTTACTATGATAAGGTCGACCAGATTTATTTATACTTTAACTTGCACTTTACCGCCTACACTTTATTTTAAGTGCATACCTCCTAATACGAATAAATTTCTATACCCCGCAGGTTTTGAATACATTTACAATTTATAGAAGTCCACCGGCTTTTACTTGAGTTTCAAATCCGGATTCCTTTGTACATACTTATTATCAGCGATGCATCTGCTTAGATAAAGTATGAGAATTGTCAAAATTGCAGTTAAACTTTGTTCTCACGGGTTAAACATAAATCGAATTGTAGTTGGGAATTTTCTCTCAGGACTTTTATTATTAGCCAATTTGACTTGGTCACAGATTCACTGAAACGCGGAACACGTCTCAGCTCATTCAATGCCAGTCATTAGTCTATAGAGGGATAATTACGTAATATCTTTGTCTGTGATTGCTCCAGGAAAATGAGAAATGTGAAGTAAAAGTGTTGACGTAGGTTCACACCATTATCTGTGTTATTATGTCCTGTTATTTTCTCTTAACCGTGTTAGCTCGGTATCATGTGCGAAATTGGATATGAGCTTTTACATAGACAATCTATTAGAAAATATCTATCCAAATTCAGATCAAAAGTCAATTTTTTTTTATCGAATGTGTGAGAGGTGAATTTTCAGATACAGACAACAATTTTCAATAAACAATTCGCAGCAATATATTTTATTTACTGACACGAAAAAAATCGCTTTCCAGACAATAATTTAAGAGGTCGAGTAAAATATACATAATGTTCTAAATATAGAGTCGCGCTCGAATTTGATTGTTCTTCACCTAAGACTTTTATGTTCGAATTTTACATTAAAGTGCTCTTACCTTGACGTGAATTATTGAATTTCTCTTTAGAAATTTATTTACATGAAAGCGAAAACGATTTCTATATAGGTTAACAGATTACAAAGAAAATTAGTCTAAACGACAGACACTTTAGGTTAACTCATTCATATTTATGCGGTGGCCCGACAATCTCGATCTTTTCATCATCAATAACTCAATCAGTACATGTAGATAAAATTTCTGACTTTAATTTAATGAAATAAAAAGAAGTTGGACACTCATTTGTTAGGTGAATTTATTTTGAATAAATTGGATTAAAAATATCATGTAAAACAGATATTTCAAAGTACTATTATTTTAATATCATACATATGTAAAAAAACTACTTTGTGATATAATAATAATCAGGTAATATAATTACTTACAGATCTTAAAAAGGTAAGCTACTTTTTCTCGAAATTTATACTTTTACACAAAGTGATGAGTCAAAATAAATATGTTCTTTAAACTTTAGATTTCTACGGCAAAACGAGTGATTACTGAAATAGTTTTACTGTAATACTTCTTCTCTTTTTCCGTATTTGCTCAATAAACAAAACATAAATAAAAGACCGAATTGAAAAAAAGTTCCGCCGTGAGATTAAAAATTAGTTAACATAAAGATGTTTCCAAATAGAGCGTGTAGAACAGATCACCACGGTTTGTGGTATTTGATTCTTTATCAATTTCTGAAACCAGACGTGTTTCGGTACTATCACCAAAGAATTTATTGCTTACGTCTGAATAGCTGTAAAATGTTAATTATAATAAGGAAAGTCATTATGAAAATTAACATCAAGAATTAATGATTATTAATTAATTAACAGGTCATCAAAGAAAGCAAAAAAAAGTTACATTTGTTATTTTTTGTTCACAGGGTTTGTTATTAGATGCTTTAATTACAATTAATATTTGGGTTTGTGTTAGGACAAGTTTTAGATACATATTATTATATATAATTCTTTCTGTATAAAAAAGTTATATACACAATGTTATATCAACAAAGTTCTTATTAATTTATATAATATCATATAACATTGTTTGCAACAATATGCAGGCTGCATCTGCTTGCCGAGCCTACATAATCTATTGGGTGAGCAAGCGGTGGTCTGTTCGTTAGTTTTTCGGTGCGCGCGAGCAGTCCCGCTCTGATCGTCACAGCGGCTGCACGTGCCCGCTGCGCAATGACTAGTAAACTGTTTGCACTTGTAGCGCTGGCTGCACTCGCGGCCGTTCACGCTGACCCGCCGCGACCGCGACTCATTGACTTCAACCCTTGGTCCTGGATTCCCAGCAACCGTAATAAATCTCCGTCTATCATGGACTACTTCTTTCCACCATCCAGAACTCCCAAAAATTCAAATCTAGATCCACCGGCCGATAGGCAACCTCCGACTGATTTCACTACACAAGATAATACTCCAACTATGACCACTATCCAAGAACGTCCTACAACGGTAGCTAGAAAGTCCCATAATAAAATTAAAACAACCGTGTCAGTTGTTCGTCCAACTGCGACAACTCCCCCAAAAACGAAAAAATCATCCCAAAAACACGTCGCCACTGATACAACCATTGAGATTAAAACAACACCAACAATAAAGACTGAAACATTGCCACCGACGACAACAACTGTTACATCTACAGCTAAGCCTCCGAAAAGATATTCCATCAAACCCGTGCGAACTACTGAAACCCCGACGGTTCAAGATACGGAGTCAACTGTGAATGTAAACAGCGATAGCACGGAGACGGTCATGGGTACGGACACGTCAGGTACAACAGCTGAAATTACAAAAGAAACTGCTGTGACATCAAATATTGCTACGGAGACTCGTACAACAGATTCAAACACGGGCACAGAAACAACCATAATGGCGGAAAGCACTGTAACGGAACCGGCGGACAGTCGTGAGGGCTACTTACCATTGCGGGACAAACCACAGCAAACCCACGTCAAGATCAACGAGCAGACAAATAAAGAGGTCAGTAATTTTTAAATCGTTAAAATCCCATATTAAATAATGGAAACAATTTTTAACATAGTTAGTAACAGTTAATATATAAAGTAGTTGTAACATGTTCAATGGGGAAGTGCAATACGTAAACAAATGTATAATTAAAACCTGAAAGCATTGAACCGTATAAAGAATGGTGTCCTCAGAAAAAGTTGCCTTTATCCATCAATTCTCACATAAACTCGGTAAAGTTGGTTAATTATAACAAACTGAGGAGAAAAAGGTTCGTAGTTAATTACTTTACGTAAAACTTTTTATTGGCTTACAAACTGCTACTGTTGATAATAATAGATGCGAGCGACTTATAATAGTGTTCCCTTTCTATGGTTTTTTAAGCTTTACTAAAAAAAACACAAGCTAAAGAAAAAGTTTTATCTCATAATGAGATGTCTGACTTTTGCATGTATTCATCTAAACAAAACTAATATTTTCGGATTTATAACTCATTTTTACGAAAAACTTTTCTTCTTGTTTATCAGTGATTACGGTTGCAGCAAAGTGAACGAAAAGTCGGGAGTATGTAGTTTTAAATGTTAAAAAAGGTACATAGAAAACCAAATATACATATTTAGTATGATCTCAGACAGATTAAGTTCGAAGCCTATATTTTTTTTTATAATTTCTGTTGCGCTCACATATAATATAAAATAACGTTACTGAAAAAAATTCAACAAAAGCATTACTTTTAAACTTAAACAATACGACAAAGTCAAATAACAATACGGCCCATTAACTTGTAGTAAAAACGAGGCAATTATGTCTTCCAATATTAAGTCATTAAACTCATTTGCACGCGCAAATTGTATAAAAACCTGTGACTTCTAGAAAACAATTATATATCAAAGGTTAGGGGAGAAGATGGATCGTTGTATATTTTATTCTTGAATAAGTTTGATTCAAAATTTGTTATGCTTCATATGTTATTTTTTTATATATATAAAAAGAAAACGGTTTATACTTTACATGGTCTATAGCGTTTATGTTTAAATTATAGTATTTTCTATAAGGCTTACTTAGTAGACTGTACTTAAAAAGTTATAACTCACTAGTCATGACTTTGTCGGAGAGCTAGCAAAGTAAGTCCTTACATACGAGTTTCTTAAGAATACTTTGGTTTTAAGATGCAGTTTTATATTAAGTTTGCTATAATATTATCATATAATCCAGAGACATATTTGTGGTATTACTTTATTTTTTATAAATAATAACGTTGTTAATTCAAAATTTGTCTTCCTTTATAGGGAGGTTGTAAACATTTCAGATTGTAAAAGCATATTACACATAAAAATACATATAAAAAAACCTATTTACAAAGAATAGTAATAATTCAATACAGTTATGGAAAATTAATATCTTACAGTTTCAATATTGGTGGGTTTTATTAAAATATCATGAAATACACTAGAAAACTGGGATGTGATATTTTTTAAAGCTATTCACTAGTTTGAACAAACATTTAGATTTTTCTTGCTATAAAGCATAAAAAAACTATAAAGTAAGTATTCTAATCACGTAGAAGGTACTTTCTTCTCATTAGTCTTTTGCGGTTGGAAAGACGTGTCTTAAAACTTTTTCATGAAAAATTACCTTCTGAATATATTTTTTACCCTTTTTAACCTTTGTCATATGGTCGCTTTCAAAATATTTTAATATCTTTAGAAAAAATTATAAGGAATGAGAGATTCGAAAACGTAAAAAGTTTTAATATAATTTTGATTGCTAATGCTTCATAGCAGGTTTTGAATAAATTGTTCCAAGTACGTAGGTGTATCAATATGTTATAGACATGCATAAAGCATGATTCTTGATACAATTTTCAACTCAGCGTACAAGAACATTTCATTTATAAATATGGTTGTAAAAACATTTATGTCTGATGATGGGATATTATCCCTTGAGATTATTTTCTGCGATTCTGATTACATGTCAGGCGATTTGAGTTTGATTGTGTAAGGTGGTAATAGCTTTTTTATTGCTATAGTATTTTATAATATGCTAGTATAAAATAATATAATTCGATAATAATAAATTATTAAACATAAAGAGGATTCGTACAGGTTTATAATTTTCAATTTAAATAATATTATTTAACTATTGTTGGAAGGGAAGGAAACTGAAGAAAAAACAATCATTTCCAATAGTATCGCTAAATAAGTTACGTCTTAAGAATCTTACGAATCGGTTGACGGTTCAAATACTAATCGTGTCTAATTAATCAGTACGCATTACTAGAAAGTCGATAGCCTATCTTATGATTGGAAGAGAAAGGGGTATGGTACCTTAGGATAGGCGAACTAGGTTAGAATAGTCGTAAACAGAAACTACAGTGGAAAGTATTCAAGTAAAATAATACGTCTATTGTTGGACGCGAGCTTACTTAGTTAGAAACGAACGTGAGCATCATACTTGACGCGATAGTAGTTTAATATTATAAAATAGTCATCATTTATATGATATAGTGATAACTCTTAAAACTTTGAAAAGTCCTCAAATGCAACTCTGAAAGTTGCAAATAATAAAATAATTTAGTATGCTCCAAAACAAGCTACGTTAAAACATACTTGTATTTTAATCATTAAGTCAACAACATATGTGAAAACCCCAGAAGATTATTCTTGATTGGTTAAGAAAAATTCGTGAATACCAAAGCATCAAAACAAACTTTCACCTTAATTACTGTAATACAAGATATTTCCTTAGCTTTGCTTGTGTAATGTTTGTGATACAAATGCAAGCTAGTTTTTAGGTATGTTAATTAATTCTTTTATGTTATTCAGACCATTTAAAAGTTCAAAGAAGTTTGTTAAGTATTTACAACAAGTTGAAGGTTCCATTGTCTGTTACAATTCCTTTCTTTGCCTTTGATATAAAAAAATTATTATGTTATAATGGAGATTATTTTTGAGCACCAAAATAGTATTACGAAGTTCATTCATGAATCGATAAATGTGACGGTTGGAAAGTGATTGAGTATATTAATAATCTGGAGAGAGCAAAAATTATTGAGGTAAATCTTTGATTTTATTCCGTTCGCTGATAGTAAATGTAATTTAACAGATAAACAATAATGAATAGGTTCCGATTTAGACAAAGATGTTGTTATTTCGTAATGCTTTTCATTAAAGTTCTGAAAGTATCCAGTTACGCAACTGCTAAGATTCGTATCAGATAAACAATTTGTTATGACAATTTAATTCATGATGTTATTTTCTTTGGTTCTATAAACTATAATCAATTCGAACACAATTCCGGTGGTGGCAGCTTGGATAAAATCATCATCTTTAACATAGCTTCTTTATCAATTCAAGCTGTAAAAGCTGTTAATAGTGCTTATCTTCAGTAATCAGCGATCGCGTTCGTATAACACGTTAGACGTGATATGATTGAGACAGGTTTCCGTGTGACGCGGTTATTTGTGCATCGCTGCGTGCGACGACCGACATTGACTTTTAAATTCAAGGCCATTTGTTGCGTTTGTTACGTAACTTAATAAAATTTTCGCTTTTTTATCTGCATACATTGCATCTGTATGAGTACATTAAATGGAATGTCTGAAGAAAATTGCATCTATTGGAGTCAGCGTCTTAAAAAAAAGATTTCTACGAAATGAGTGGCAATGTTATTGCTATCTAATATTAATGAAGTATCCTTTAAGAAGTTAGAAGAAAAAAAATATATATTTAATGATTAATACCATAATTCAAATGACGAGACGTGACGAAGACATGACAACGATTAATATCAAATGACGTGATATGGATATATTTTACAGCTAGAATGCGGTTTATCATTCCAACCTTCATTACATTCCCGTTATTTTAAAATTCTATATTGTTTGTTATGGTGGTTTACCGCATGGATGTAACATATGCCCTAAAGCAAAACCCAGACGCGAAGTCATCATACCGTATATGCAGAATAATAAGCGGTTACGGGACTCAATCTTCCTATAAGGTCTGGCCGGTTGAGACCATGCAGAAATAACGTTTCTTCAACTTTTTCATCCGGTTGCATAATGGCTCATGACTAGTTACAAACGGACGGACATAAATCACATAGAACTTATGCTATACCTCATCATGCTGTAATAAAATGTCTTCATTCATGGTAATTGAAGCGCTGATGATAGTAACAGTGAAATGATGTTACAACTTTTTAGAACAATAAACATCAATACGTAATAATAAAAGGAAAGCAATTGGTTATTAGGTAACTACAAATTTTTAATTGATTGTGTCTATACCACGTTATGATTGTGTCACTTTGATAAAACATGAACAGTTTGACTCATCGCAACAGATATATCTACGAAAGCGAAACTAACATTTTGATTGTAGAAAGTGCACAAAATCAATTACTTCAACCGATATGTATTCAAACAGACAAACATTGAAACGGTAGTCGCAATCAACTTGATTCTAGAATTTGGCTTTTCAATGTGTTGATTCGATTGATTGGTGCGATTCAGCGGATTCTCATAATGGGAACTGAGCATCAACATACCAATGTGGTAGATTTAATATCATATATCGTTACATGCTTTAAAATGAAAACGAAAAAAATGCACAAAAGGCTAATGTAAAAAGATACTTTCTCTTTTCAATAGGTCTCGTATAGAGTGTTATAATTAGCATGTCTGGAAATTATACCATATAACTTTAAATAGCGTTTGTTTCCGGAACATTACTTTTATTGGCACTTAAGTAGTGTTAGAGTAGATCGACGTTTACATTCTCGAGTCCAATAGATTCACTTGCACGGGTATAAAAAAAACTAAAACTTTTTCATCATTAGAGATCCGCATCGCATCATTGATCACATGTACTAACTAACGAGATATTTTTAATTTAAATAACATAACTTACTTGTTAACTTGTTTTGTATTTTGATAATTAGTTATTTAAAGACGTAAACGAATGACAGCTCATTAAAATGTGGTAACAAGAACGTATTACACTCACGTTTGA